CTTTCTGAACTCGTCATTAAATTTCCTAACGATTGGCATTTAAACCTTGACAATTTATTTATTTTTAATTTTTCGAAAAAAATCATGGGGTACCCCCTTATAAAAAAATTTAAAATTGGCGAAAATTTTATTTTTCCAAAATCATACGGAAAGTTTAATGGATTTATAGCAAATTTTGTTATCTGTTCAAAACAGTATGAATTTTTGGTGTAGGACCATTTTTGGCCAAGTTACAGCAAAAAAACCAAAAGAAAAAATTCCAATTTTTGTCAAAAACTGAAATCCCGAATTTCCAAAAAAAAACCAAACCCGTTTTTTCGCTAAAACGAACCAGTTTTTTCGCTATAACAAAGCAAATACTGATTCAAAGGATGGATTGTCATACCTTTCTGAACTCGTCATTAAATTTCCTAACGATTGGCATTTAAACCTTGACAATTTATTTATTTTTAATTTTTCGAAAAAAATCATGGGGTACCCCCTTATAAAAAAATTAAAAATTGGCGAAAATTTTATTTTTCCAAAATCATACGGAAAGTTTTATGGATTTATAGCAAATTTTGTTATCTGTTCAAAACAGTATGAATTTTTGGTGTAGGACCATTTTTGGCCAAGTTACAGCAAAAAAACCAAAAGAAAAAATTCCAATTTTTGTCAAAAACTGAAATCCCGAATTTCCAAAAAAAACCAAACCCGTTTTTTCGCTAAAACGAACCAGTTTTTTCGCTATAACAAAGCAAATACTGATTCAAAGTATGGATTGTCATACCTTTCTGAACTCGTCATTAAATTTCCTAACGATTGGCATTTAAACCTTAACAATTTATTTATTTTTAATTTTTCGAAAAAAATCATGGGGTACCCCCTTATAAAAAAATTAAAAATTGGCGAAAATTTTATTTTTCCAAAATCATACGGAAAGTTTTATGGATTTATAGCAAATTTTGTTATCTGTTCAAAACAGTATGAATTTTTGGTGTAGGACCATTTTTGGCCAAGTTACAGCAAAAAAACCAAAAGAAAAAATTCTAATTTTTGTCAAAAACTGAAATCCCGAATTTCCAAAAAAAAACCAAACCCGTTTTTTCGCTAAAACGAACCAGTTTTTTCGCTATAACAAAGCAAATACTGATTCAAAGTATGGATTGTCATACCTTTCTGAACTCGTCATTAAATTTCCTAACGATTGGCATTTAAACCTTGACAATTTATTTATTTTTAATTTTTCGAAAAAAATCATGGGGTACCCCCTTATAAAAAAATTTAAAATTGGCGAAAATTTTATTTTTCCAAAATCATACGGAAAGTTTAATGGATTTATAGCAAATTTTGTTATCTGTTCAAAACAGTATGAATTTTTGGTGTAGGACCATTTTTGGCCAAGTTACAGCAAAAAAACCAAAAGAAAAAATTCCAATTTTTGTCAAAAACTGAAATCCCGAATTTCCAAAAAAAACCAAACCCGTTTTTTCGCTAAAACGAACCAGTTTTTTCGCTATAACAAAGCAAATACTGATTCAAAGTATGGATTGTCATACCTTTCTGAACTCGTCATTAAATTTCCTAACGATTGGCATTTAAACCTTGACAATTTATTTATTTTTAATTTTTCGAAAAAAATCATGGGGTACCCCCTTATAAAAAAATTTAAAATTGGCGAAAATTTTATTTTTCCAAAATCATACGGAAAGTTTTATGGATTTATAGCAAATTTTGTTATCTGTTCAAAACAGTATGAATTTTTGGTGTAGGACCATTTTTGGCCAAGTTACAGCAAAAAAACCAAAAGAAAAAATTCCAATTTTTGTCAAAAACTGAAATCCCGAATTTCCAAAAAAAACCAAACCCGTTTTTTCGCTAAAACGAACCAGTTTTTTCGCTATAACAAAGCAAATACTGATTCAAAGTATGGATTGTCATACCTTTCTGAACTCGTCATTAAATTTCCTAACGATTGGCATTTAAACCTTGACAATTTATTTATTTTTAATTTTTCGAAAAAAATCATGGGGTACCCCCTTATAAAAAAATTAAAAATTGGCAAAAATTTAATTTTTTTAAAATCACACGGAAAGTTGTATGGATTTATTGCAAATTTTGTTATCTGTTCAAAACAGTTTGTATTTTTGGTGTAGGACCATTTTTGGCCAAGTTACAGCAAAAAAACCAAAAGAAAAATTCGAATTTTTTTCAAAAACTGAAATCCCGAATTTCCAAAAAAAAACCAAACCCGTTTTTTCGCTAAAACGAACCAGTTTTTTCGCTATAACAAAGCAAATACTGATTCAAAGGATGGATTGTCATACCTTTCTGAACTCGTCATTAAATTTCCTAACGATTGGCATTTAAACCTTGACAATTTATTTATTTTTAATTTTTCGAAAAAAATCATGGGGTACCCCCTAATAAAAAAATTAAAAATTGGCGAAAATTTTATTTTTCCAAAATCATACGGAAAGTTTTATGGATTTATAGCAAATTTTGTTATCTGTTCAAAACAGTATGAATTTTTGGTGTAGGACCATTTTTGGCCAAGTTACAGCAAAAAAACCAAAAGAAAAGATTCCAATTTTTGTCAAAAACTGAAATCCCGAATTTCCAAAAAAAAACCAAACCCGTTTTTTCGCTAAAACGAACCAGTTTTTTCGCTATAACAAAGCAAATACTGATTCAAAGTATGGATTGTCATACCTTTCTGAACTCGTCATTAAATTTCCTAACGATTGGCATTTAAACCTTGACAATTTATTTATTTTTAATTTGTCGAAAAAAATCATGGGGTACCCCCTTATAAAAAAATTAAAAATTGGCAAAAATTTAATTTTTTCAAAATCACACGGAAAGTTGTATGGATTTATTGCAAATTTTGTTATCTGTTCAAAACAGTATGAATTTTTGGTGTAAATTTCCTAACGAGTGGCATTTAAACCTTGACAATTTATTTATTTTTAATTTTTCGAAAAAAATCATGGGGTACCCCCTTATAAAAAAATTTAAAATTGGCGAAAATTTTATTTTTCCAAAATCATACGGAAAGTTTTATGGATTTATAGCAAATTTTGTTATCTGTTCAAAGCAGTATGAATTTTTGGTGTAGGACCATTTTTGGCCAAGTTACAGCAAAAAAACCAAAAGAAAAAATTCCAATTTTTGTCAAAAACTGAAATCCCGAATTTCCAAAAAAAAACCAAACCCGTTTTTTCGCTAAAACGAACCAGTTTTTTCGCTATAACAAAGCAAATACTGATTCAAAGTATGGATTGTCATACCTTTCTGAACTCGTCATTAAATTTCCTAACGATTGGCATTTAAACCTTGACAATTTATTTATTTTTAATTTTTCGAAAAAAATCATGGGGTACCCCCTTATAAAAAAATTAAAAATTGGCGAAAATTTTATTTTTCCAAAATCATACGGAAAGTTTTATGGATTTATAGCAAATTTTGTTATCTGTTCAAAGCAGTATGAATTTTTGGTGTAGGACCATTTTTGGCCAAGTTACAGCAAAAAAACCAAAAGAAAAGATTCCAATTTTTGTCAAAAACTGAAATCCCGAATTTCCAAAAAAAACCAAACCCGTTTTTTCGCTAAAACGAACCAGTTTTTTCGCTATAACAAAGCAAATACTGATTCAAAGTATGGATTGTCATACCTTTCTGAACTCGTCATTAAATTTCCTAACGATTGGCATTTAAACCTTGACAATTTATTTATTTTTAATTTGTCGAAAAAAATCATGGGGTACCCCCTTATAAAAAAATTAAAAATTGGCAAAAATTTAATTTTTTCAAAATCACACGGAAAGTTGTATGGATTTATTGCAAATTTTGTTATCTGTTCAAAACAGTATGAATTTTTGGTGTAAATTTCCTAACGAGTGGCATTTAAACCTTGACAATTTATTTATTTTTAATTTTTCGAAAAAAATCATGGGGTACCCCCTTATAAAAAAATTTAAAATTGGCGAAAATTTTATTTTTCCAAAATCATACGGAAAGTTTTATGGATTTATAGCAAATTTTGTTATCTGTTCAAAGCAGTATGAATTTTTGGTGTAGGACCATTTTTGGCCAAGTTACAGCAAAAAAACCAAAAGAAAAAATTCCAATTTTTGTCAAAAACTGAAATCCCGAATTTCCAAAAAAAACCAAACCCGTTTTTTCGCTAAAACGAACCAGTTTTTTCGCTATAACAAAGCAAATACTGATTCAAAGTATGGATTGTCATACCTTTCTGAACTCGTCATTAAATTTCCTAACGATTGGCATTTAAACCTTGACAATTTATTTATTTTTAATTTTTCGAAAAAAATCATGGGGTACCCCCTTATAAAAAAATTAAAAATTGGCAAAAATTTAATTTTTTCAAAATCACACGGAAAGTTGTATGGATTTATTGCAAATTTTGTTATCTGTTCAAAACAGTTTGTATTTTTGGTGTAGGACCATTTTTGGCCAAGTTACAGCAAAAAAAAAAAAAAAAATAAAAAATTCCATTTTTGTCAAAAACTAAAATCCCGAATTTCCAAAAAAAAACCAAAACCGGTCCGAGTAAATTTTGCCGCCAAACGGTAAATTTAATTGAATTAAAATGGCAATGCGGTCGCATTTTACTTTAGCTTACAATGTATGTTATTCGTTCGATAGTCGGGAGGAGGCATATGTACAGATATTTACAAGAGCCGTTCTTAGGGCTACAATTCGGCAAGTCGAGGGCGTTGGGCGGTGGATATCGTCTAACTAGAAGTCTACGCTAGGTCTACTTAGTAGGTGTCTAGGGTCTAGGATCTAGAACAGGGGTGCTCAAAATTGGCTCACGCAAGTAACTACTCACACACAATCATGAAAAAGACAACAGCACTTTGCACAAAAAAAAAGTTCAATGAAATTTGTTGTTGGCTTGGCTCGATCTTATCTATTACGGACAGCGACACAAAGAGGACTCGGGGTGTGCATAGGCAAGCATTGCGAGTGCACTGCCGTATGCTTATAGGAATGAGCACCTCTGATCTAGAAGCTGGAATTTCGAGTCTAGACGAGTGTGGATAGCTCGTGCAGCAGGACGGTGATGTTGCTCATGTCCAGCGTCGGCGGGATCCCGGGACTGACCGATCCGCTGGCCTCGCGGCCCGTCGTCAGGCAGCTGCTGTTCGCCAGTGTCCTCGGCGTGGGCGTGGGGGGCGTGGCCGTGGCGGGACGCACCAAGAAGGATGAGTTGACGGCTCCTGCTCCTCCTCCTCCTCCTCCTCCTCCTCCGCCGCAGCAGCCATTTCCTCCTCCTCCGAGGAGCAGCGGATTGAAGCTGCCATGCGAATGATTGGGTGAGACCGCCGTCACGCTGGGCGGCACCAGGTGACCGCCGCCCTGGTGATACCCATGGTACGGACCCCCCGGCGGTGGCAGTGGCAAGGGCATAGGCATAGTCATAGTCATAGGCATGGGCAGCTGGGCGGCCGAGATCACCGACAGGCTGTGGGCCGCTCCACCCCGATAGCTGATGGTCTTCTCGCGCTGCCACACAAAGACGTTGTGCACCATGGCGCCGCCGCAGAAGACGATGCCCACGCCGATCAGCAGGCTGGTCACGATCGCCGGCGTCGAGTGGAAGTGGCTGAAGGTGTAGAGGATGAGGCCGGTGAGGAAGACCGGTATCGAGATGAAGAACCCGCTGACGGCGCACGTCCGGCTGGCACTCGACTTGGCCAGGTACTGGTTCTCCCGCCCCTCGAACGCGGGTTCGCGCAGCTTCACGGCGAACAGGAACTGGATGGCGCAGACCAGCAGGCAGCAAAGGTTCAGCGACAGCGACAGGGCGCCCAGGGCCAAGGTCACGTCGTAGACGACAATGAAGTCCTCGCCGCCAGCGCCACGACCCACGGCGTCCTCGCGTCCATTCGGCGAGATCCTCAGCAGGAAGATCAGCGAGAGCAGCGCCAGGAGCAGGGAAACTGCAGGGAAGGACCAGAAACAATGGTTACTAGATGATCTTTCATCTTTTCTATTTATATGTAATTTATGGGTATTTCCTATAGAAAATATCTTAACAATCTCCAAAACAAGAAATCTACTTTCCTTTAAAAACTAATAACTAAAATATATAACTTCAAAAAAACTGTAGTAAATCCATTCCTCTCATTTTCATTGTTTTTAGAAAATCTTAAATATGAAAATATTACATTTAACTATTTGAGTTAGTTTGAGTATTTTACATTTTTATTTTTAAATCAAATTTTTTTACAAAAAAATTAGTTTTTTTGTACTTACAAAATTGTTAACGTTCTTATTAATATTTTGTATCTTGAATTAAATATTTTTAAATTGAGTTATGGAACTATTTAATTATATTTATATAAAAATAGACTTTATTTTTTAGTTAACAAATTGTAAAAATTGTAATAAACATTTCCACTTTGATTTAAATAGTTTTTAATGAAATCAGGGAATTTAATATGTTTTCGATATTAAATAAAAGGTATTAAAAAGGATTTATAGGCCATCCATTATCACTAGAAACTGGATGTTAATACAATGACTTTCCATATAAACCTTACTCAAAAAACTGTTAAAGTATTAATAATTATTTTTTACCTTGACTTAAATATTTTTTAAAAAAATCAGGCAATTTAATATGTTTTTAATATTAAATATTTAGTAAAATGTTATAAAAAGGATTTATAGGCCATCCATTATCACTAGAAACTAGATGTTAATACAATGACTTTCCATATAAACCTTACTTAAAAAACTGTTAAAGTATTAATAATTATTTTTTACCTTGACTTAAATATTTTTTAAAAAAATCAGGCAATTTAATATGTTTTTAATATTAAATATTTAGTAAAATGTTATAAAAAGGATTTATAGGCCATCCATTATCACTAGAAACTAGATGTTAATACAATGACTTTCCATATAAACCTTACTTAAAAAACTGTTAAAGTATTAATAATTATTTTTTACCTTGACTTAAATATTTTTTAAAAAAATCAGGCAATTTAATATGTTTTTAATATTAAATATTTAGTAAAATGTTATAAAAAGGATTTATAGGCAATCCATTATCATTAGAAACTGGATTTTAATACAGTGACTTTCCATTTAAACCTTACTTAAAAAATTGTTTAAGTATTAATGCTTATTTTGTACCTCGATTTAAATATTTTTTAATGAAATCAGGGAATTTAATATGTTTTTAATATTAAATATAGATAGATAATACTTACTCAGACATAGCAATCCCAGGCTGGTGAGGGCCTCGCGGGGCGAAGGACCCGACTTGGGCAGCTTGTGGCGCGCAGGATTGGGCGTCAGGTGGCTGTAGTTCCTGCTGTAGTTGGGCGCCACTTGGCTGAGACTGTGCGCATGCGCCGGCGCATGTGGCAGCTGTTGCTGCTGTTGCTGCTGCTGCTGCGGCTGCTGTTGCGTCTGCTGTTGCTGGCCACCAGCACCACCGCTGCTGGCCAGGATGTGCTGGTTGGTGTAGGTGTGGTGGTGCACACTCCCGTTGCCCAGAAAGTGTCCGTTGGGCGTCAGCTGGGTGAGCGGCGTGAGCGGGGTGAGCGGGGTGAGCGGCTTGAGCGGCGTGCTGGGCGTGGCGATATTCAGCAGCGTGGAGGAGTTGCCCCTGTGACCTCCTCCTCCTCCTCCACCTCCTCCTCCCTCGTTGAGCAGCGTGCTCGAGGCGGAGGCATTCAGGGCGGATATATTCAGCGGCTGCGGCGGTCGCAGGTGGATGTTGCGCGCGGTACTTGCCACCGCAGCTGCTGCGGGTGTCGGTGAGCCGCCATTGGTGGTTGCACTTCCATTTCCAATTCCACTTCCAATTCCCGCTTCCGCTTCCACCAGCGGAACTGGGGGTGTGTTGTGGCCACTGCCGCCGCTTCCAGTTTGGTTGTTGCTGCTGCTGCTGTTGGTGTTGCTGTTGCTATTGCAATTGCTGTTGCTGTTGCCATTGCAATTGATGTTGCTGCTGCTGTTGGCGGCGGTGCGCAGCAGCTGGCCGCCCAGCAAAGTGGACAGCGGGTTGATGGCCACCGCTGCCGTGGCGACGGCCGCAGCGGTACTGCTCGTCGTCGAGGCGTGCTTCAGCATTTCCGGTCCGGCGCTCCGGTCACATTCTGCACTGGCTGCCCAGGACCAAGTGCTATTGCTGAATCAATCTGCGAATTACAAAAGAAAATTATTATACATATTTATTTCATGGATTAAAAAGGAATTAAATGCTAGGGTGGGGTGAAATCGCCCTACAAATAAGAAATTTATGCATTTAAAAATTATCAGAAGAACGTAAAGCTGAAATAAAATTAAGATTTCCTGGCATTTTATATAACTATAGATACTAAAACAAAAAATAAAAATTTAATAGCTATTCCTTAAACAGAACTAATCGACCTGCGAATTTGTGGGCTACCCTATGGGTTATATACAATTAAATGCTAGTATGGTATATAAAAAAGAATAATAGATCAAAAGATCATAAAAAATATATGATTTTTTGCATTATTGATGATTTGATCTTTTTGTTAGAACTAAACAAAGGAGTTTTAATTTTTTAGGTAGTATTTATAGGTAAGTTTCTAACGCACATTAAGAAATAAAAAAACCGATGATCAGATCATCAGTACTGTATATTGACTAACTGCTAAGTGCAACGGTAGTTGACTGTTAAAATCTAAAAAAAAAAACACCGCCTCATGGGCACTTTCATTTCGCCACTGGCCGCTGCGCATGCGCAAAAGAAAACTTTCCCATCAATTATGAGTATTTCGCCTCGCATGCATTGTGTAATTAGCGGATGGTGAAGAACTTTTCACCAGAATATGGGGATAAAAGCAAAAGCAACTGAAGAGTAGATAGTGAGTTCAGGCTTAAGCAAGAAAGATTTGCATTTTACATATATTTTTGTGAAATTATAGGATTATTCCCACAAAAAAGTTTTAGGATCGGTAGATATATGCATTCTTAAGTAAAAAAAAAAACTAAAATAATGAGAGTTTTGTTGAACATAATATTGTTTTTGTTAATTTTCTTCATACAAACGGTTAATCCTTATCTTCATCTAATTTATTTTATAGGAAAACGATTCTATACTATACTTTCTTCAATAGAATCTAGTTTATATAGTGTATCATATACATTTTCAAGGACCCAAAGTACGATAGCTTGGTTCCCATGGTCCCAGACAAATTCCTCGGAAATCTTTCGGTTGCTTGGAAACTCTTTTTTCGCTGAGCCAACGGTTTTTCACAGCACAAACAAAATTAAAGTCAAAAGGTGTCAACCAATTAAAAATGATTCTTTGATGTTTCAACATTAATGACAAACTTGACCTGGTTTCAGTCCACTTTAAGGGAACGGTATCTATATTTTCTGGGTTTTCAATGCACTTCCCTTGCAATCTTAATGTTTCTGATATACAAATATCAAAAAAAAAAAAAACACCTGGCTTTGCCGCGCATTCCAACCAAAAGCCAATAAACCGAAACCGAAAAAAACGAAAGACAAATTGCAATTGGCAGGTTGTAAAACGGGTTTACCTCCGGATTCTTTTTCGGTACTTTAATTTCCGTTCTTGACCTGTGACCTTTACATGGTCGTCGTGAGATCGATAAAGATCGATAATTGGCGGATCAATGGGGCGGCAGCTCCTTCCTCCTCCTCCTCCTGCTCCCCAGCCTCATCCGCACTGGACGAGTCCAGCTCCCAAGTTCCAAGCAATCCAATCCAATCCGATCTCAGAGAGAGCGGGCGACAAGTGGACGCGATGACCGATCGAGTGACAAAATACGACTAATACTATATCGGATCTCGAACCTCGGTTTCGGATACTGGCGGTTCGTTCGGTTCGTTCGGTTCTGGCCGCCGGCCAACCAGTTAGCAAGTGAAGGGATCCTCTCTCTCTCACTCTCTTCACCCATCTCTTTCTCCTTTTCCCGCTCTCACCCACTCAGGTGGGACAGGTGAGCGAGCTGAGGAACGAGCCAATTCCCATTCCAAACGCCACTTGCCACAGTGGAACTGCAAAGGGCCAAAAAATCGAAAACGATCGATTTTGACCAGGTTAAATAGATACCTTGTTTATAAGGGGATTATAAACTACTAAGATACTATAGTCATATCATTTTAAGTTGACCGGATAAGGAAAATCATCAAAATAAAAAACAGGGAAATTTCATTCAATTATTTCTCAAGTAAAACTAAATTTTGGGTTTATAGAAAATAAAATTCAGAACTAAAAATACTTTCTAATATTTATTATATTGCAAATTATAATAGTAATAGTCTCCTACAGAAACCTCCAGATTCGATATTTTTTCTCGCTTTTATAGTAAACTAAAAGTAGGTTTTGAACTTTGAAATCGTATGTGTATTTAAACTTCATAACTTACTTTTAGTTTAACATAAGGACAAGTAAAAGGTTCTACAAATTATAAGGATAAATGCCGAAAGATGATACTAACTCATTTTCAAGAATTTTAGAACCTCAAAAGATTTGCATTTTTTTTTGTAGGTTGATTTTTTGATCCTGCCACCGATTTTGCTAAGAAAGCAAGCGATGCAACCCACTGTGCCGCAAACCTGCTCAACTCACAAGCACACGCAACACACGCGATGCGGCGGCTGCTGCTGCTGCTCCTGCCTCACTCCACAAGATACAAAACCACAACAACACACAGGTAAAGAATGGAAATGGAGGCAACTTCAACGGCAACGGCTCCAACTTGCTGAGCCGCATTCCACGAGCTCCGAACTGGAAGGTTGTTGTCGATCGTCGATCGTCGACTGGCGGTTATTGCTATTTGCCTCGATGCTATGGGGCTGCTGTTTCGACACTGGGCCAGCGAAATTGGCCAGAGATTACGAAGGAGTTAGCATTTCGCCTTTCCCGAGTCGCGATTTAATTCAACCTTATTTAATTCGAATTGGCGCTTGTCGACTTGCAATTTCCTTCGGTTGGAATTCAAAAATAAAAAAGGCGGCCAGTGCTGCCAGACTGGTTTGAACAATTAGCCAGTGTGGGTAAACTATGGGAATGTGTGAATTACAGCATATCGATACAGCAAACTTTAATAATCGATAAAACAAAACAAAGTTAGCACACATATTTAAAGTTAGTAGATGTTTTAACTTTATTTATTTTATATTTGGCGCTTGTCGTTGGCAATTTCCTTCGGTTAGAATTCAAAAATAAGAATGGCGATATTATTCATATCGATATCTTAATATCGAGGTTCTTGCATCGCAGATCTTAACACATTTGTTTTGAATATTAAATTTCGAGTGATTCCCACGACCCCAGGCGTGGTGCAGTGCCGAGAGATCGGCCAGAAATACGTAATACCCATAGTTTGACCCCGCACCCAGTTGGGGTAGGATTTTCCCCTCCGGAATCGCAGCCAATGAAATCCCACAAGTGAATCGCGACGAGTCCGACAGTCGCGTGCGTGATTCGTTCGACATCGGTCGTTATATCTTTTATATAGCCATATAATCGGGAGGGGACTGGCCAAGATGAGCGCAACTGGGACGCACAAGGAGTACGCCAAGTTCAAGTACTACATGGAGAAGTGCTACGTGCTGCCGCTGGAGCTCAAGAACGACATTATCTACTGCCAGCGTGCGATGCGCGACTTCCTCAAGGTCCACGGCGTAAGTTTCGATTTGGGGGCCTTTACCTCAGCGCAACCTAATTCCTTTGTCTTCTTTTATTCTTCATCTCCATCTCCAGTTGGTCTCGGACGTCTTCAAGGAGCAGGCGGATGCGGTGGGTTAACGACCAGAGTCCTTTGTTCCGCGGCGGGAGCAGGGTTGCCTAGCCACCTGGTGGACCCATGGGCTTGTATAGGAATTAACCCCTTAGTAGCCCCAGAGTTCCATTTCCCATTGAACACAAAGAGCTGTATGTAGAACGTATTTCTAGATGCCTGATGGGAGGATATTCAGTTGGAGGGTTCGGAATTTAAAAGAAATTTAAGCAGGGTTGCCATCGCCACTTAGCCTAGCCCCTGGTGGACCCATAGGCTTGTATAGGAATTAACCCTTTAGAAGCCCCAGAGTTCCATTTCCCTTTGAACACAAAGAGCTGTTTGTAAAACTTATTTCTAGAACGCGTTACTGAAAAAGCTCTATTACAATTTATGTAGTATTACCCATCCTGAGATCCCTGATGGGAAGATAAAATAGATATAATCAATATATTATTGCCAGTAATTTAGTCAGAGATATCGGTTTCCGAGGGAAGCACATGTCTTTAGTAGAAACCTACAATACTTTTCATATGTAGTAAATTTTCATTGTCTCATGTAAACACTTTTTAAAGAATATATGTATTGCACATATTTAGTATAACAAGCAGATCCACATACTTCACAAGGAACCACGTTTCCAATTTTCAGCACTTTGTCTTACTTTCACTTTTAACCTGTTTTTTTTTTTAATTTAAAAATAAAAAATGCAGGGTATTTATATATTTTTATATAATATACATTTTATATATTAATTAATTTTTAAAATATATTAATATATATAAATAAATATGAAATACATATATTAATATACTTTAGAAATACATGAGATTAAAGATAAATATTTCCCAACTATTTGCTAACTTTTGCTCAGTGTTTTTGGCCATGACATGTACATACTTAGTATTACAATCCACTTAATTTACAAGGAACCACGTTTCTAATTTTCTACATTTTGTATTACTTTCACTTTTAACCTGTTTTTTTGTAACGCAGATTATTAATATATTTATTTATATATATTATATTTTATATATTAATAAATTTTTAAAATATATTAATATATATAAATAAATATGAAATACATATATTAATATATTTTAGAAATACATGAGGTTAAAGATAAATATTTCGCAACTAGTTGCCAACTTTTGCTCAGTGTTTTTGGCCCATTAGCACCTGCAATACTCTTAATGTAAAACTCATCCAACCATCCACCCCCCAGGATCCCGTGCAGATGCGCCGCATCCTGGACGAGCTGGAGGAGGAGGTGTACGAGATCAACGCCGAGCAGCAGTTCCTGCTGCTGCGCCTGAACGACGACCTGGAGGGCTTCTGCCTGAAGCTGAAGGAGAACAACATCGCCACGCAGCCGGACCTGGCCAACGAGTTCGTCTCCGGCCAGATAGTGCCCCTGATCGCGGACCCCAACTACAAGATCTGTCCGCAGTCGGTGATGAGTCGCGACAACGAGGAGATGCTCATCCGCAAGCACTTCCTGCTGAGCCAGGACGACGAGGCGGGCGTGCCGCCGCTGAAGCTGAGCGACCTGGACGAGAACATCCCGCTGATGCTGGCTCCGCCGGTCAGGGGACTGGGTCAGCAGATCGCAGCCGTGCATCCGCAGGTCAAGTGGCCGCTTAAATCCGAGGAGCCACTGCAGTCGCAGCTGGAGATGATGAAGCGCTCGCTGGATGCCCAAGCGATGCCGCCCAAGCGCAAGAACATCACCTGCAGTTCGCCGCCGCCGCTGGCGCCCATAACGCAAACCCAAACCCAAACGGTGGTGGCCGCCGCACCGCCGCAACCAGCGAATCCGCCGCCAGACTTTGAGGTGGTGGCCCAGAGCAGGAAGAACCTGCATCAGGCGCTGAAGCGGGCCCGCAAGACGAAGCAGCAGCCGCGCCTGTGCGACGAGGAGGAGGATTTGGAGATCAGCGGTCTGGAGAACAGCCGCAAGAGCAAGTGCAGCGAGGGCAGGAAGACTCCGCCGCCGCCACCGCCGCTGGAGCCAACGAATGCTGCCGCCTTGAACAAGGGGCCGTCGGAGAAGAAGAACAGTTCGCAGAAGACCAGAAACACGCGCCGGAAGTCCTCGCCGACGCCCCCATCGAATTCCCAGCCGCAGCCGCAGCCAGCGGGTTCGCCAGGTTCCGGCGGCAGCTCAGATGATTCCAGCGCGGAGCTGCAGCAGGAGCAGCAGCGGCTCTGCGCATCCGCCGCCCAGTGGCGCGACGAGCCGCGCGAGAGCCGCATCCTGCCGGCGGAGTACGGCCAGGAGACCTTCCTCGGCCTCTTCGGCCTCTACACGCCCGAGGTGCTCAAGAAGCTCAACCAGCGGCATTCGAAGCGCAAGCGGCGCACCGTCCAGAATGCCAGCGGCGTGGACTTTCACTACGGCCAGCAGCTGAATGCCATGGACACGCTGGTCCTCGGCGTTCGCGGGCACAAGAAGGCCAAGGACAAGCCCGAGTTCCTGCTGTCGCCCAAGGAGAAGCGGCTGCAGGCCAACTCGAAGAGGGCCTACACGCGCAAGAGCAAATCGCCGGACAAGATTACGGATAAGGGTGCTGGATCTGCAGCTTCACCCTGCCAGCATGGCGAGGGCGGCGCCTCAAAGTGCCGAAAGTGCCGCGAGTGCAGGGAATGCAAACGCCGCGTGGGTGAGTCAGCGTCCCAGTATTTTTATGACCTCAATTTCGTAAGATCATTTATGGAGAGGCGAGCGAAACTGATGACGAAATCACTGGCTAATCGGAGTTCGTAGTCTTGAGTTTAAAGTCGTTTTAAATGTATTTAAGTGACTCAGATGAGCATAAAACCAGAAAGAACGATTTAGTTACTCAGTTAAAGGGAGTGCGAGGGAGATGGGGATATGCTATGGTATGATATACTAGCGCCACCTAGCGACTGTTTCAATTTTTGCTAATAACTTTTCAATGATTTGTCCGATCTTACAAATTTTCTTTCACATTTCAAAAGTTATTAATAGTATTTAATACACACGACAAAATGACATTTACACTTTTTCAAAATCGGTAAAAGTTTATTTTTAATATATTTTAAAGCGATTGTGGGTGTTAGAGTGGGTGTGGATCTTGGCTGAAACAGCAGTGCGCTGCGTAGGAAGCTCAAGAATATGTGTGGTTAATCCCAACTGAAAAACTTTTGTAGTTTCCGAGATCTCAGCGTTCAAGAATCCTTTTGCCCGAATGCAATATACCCTTTTATGTACGACTAACGGGTATAAATAGAAAGCATTAATATAGGCTATTTAAATATATTTAATTTTGCCTTTAAAACCTTTTCTAATTCCCTGCTTTCGCTTTTTCAGAGCCCGAAGCGATGTACTGCCATTTCTGCAGTGGCCTCTACCACCTCGACTGCCACGAGGCCACCAAAAACCGCCAGCAAATGCAGCTCCAGAACTCCCGCTGCCCGCCGTGTTTGCGCGAGCAAATGGATAAGTAGCGTCGTGATACGAAGTCAACGGACATTGGATACTTATCTTACTATTTTCGCCTGTTTTCCAAAGGACACCAAAAGTTGTTGGATGAATTGTTTGCCTCCTCAGTCCAATGGACATGGGCACTTACTTCCCTTCGTTTCTTTCTTGGCTCCGCTGTTTTAAGGGTCCTGAACCCATTTTTTTTTTCTATTTTGGAGCAAGGGCGGGGGATAACATTGATTTAAACTTGATTTCCTACATTTTCGCATTAAAGAAAGTTCTCTTAGTTAAGTTTGTATGTAAATGTGCATACGCAAAAGTGATTAAAATAAATATATATGAATATTGAGTGGCTTCTTTGGGAGAATAAACGGGCACAAGGCATTTCCTTTGGCGATTCGCTGATAGCTGATAGCCGATCGACCCTCATTTGGAACTTGGGGTGGGGGTTTGATTACGTTTATAAAGCGTGGTTTCAAGTTGTTCCCATTATCAACCTTTTCAATGTCGATAGGCGTGGTTTTCTTTTTCATTTCTGCTATATTAAAGGTAATTACATATGTAAGTAGGTAGAAATAATAAAAATACTACCTATATAATATATTATTTTGTTGTTTTAATGAGCGAAAAAATATAGAAAATTACTAATTGTCGAATAAGAAATTCTTTTTTTTACTTTATATTTTAAAAATATTTTTATCCAAAAGGAAAACCTTTCAAGTGCCCTTAAAATATAACAAATAAATTCTAAAGCGAAGCCAGAAAATACATTTTAAATATTAACAAAAAAAGGTTTTTATTTTCGAATTGAAAGTATTGCATTTCGTGTTGATTGAGTATTATAAAATGTATATACATTGCAGGCCAAAGGCCAAAAAAGCAGTCTAGGCTCGGAAACACTTAATCAATCCGCCGATTAAAGGCAGCATTAGGAGGAGGATCATCGGAGGCGCACTGGACCAGCTGCTCGTTCCGTTGCACAGGTCGCCCTGGCAGAAGCACATGTACACCTTCTTGTAGTTGTAGATGGTGTCCGCGCAGCGGTCCATGTTGTCGTCCGGACCGCGCTGCACGCACATCCGCTGGATGGCCAGGTCGTAGTCGTCGATGGCATAGGTGCCGCCGCCCTCGATCACCTTGCCGCACCAGCCGCTGGCGCAGGGAATGGCCGCCACCCCGGGCTCCTGCTCCACGTCCGTCGCGTTGAAGGCGAACGGGTCCTTGCAGCTGCCCAGATCCCCGCGGGATCGGCACTGGTAGCAGCGACGCAGGAGGCCTGAAAGCGGATAGGAAATCAAACAAACTTTAATAAATAATATGATATGATAGGTTAGAAAATAAACGTTTTAAATAACGAATATCTAAATAAAAAATTACACATTTCCAAAGAAAAATAAATATATTTTAATTAAAATATGTTATATTAAAAAAACTGGATTTTATTGGTATTGTGAAAGGATTATATAAATCAGTGTCGTAGCTATTCGATTTTGTGTGCGGAGGTTAAATATATAAAACTTTTTAAACAATGGGTGATAAGTTAGAAACTAAACGTTTTAAATAAATAATATCTAAATAAAAAATTACACATTTCCAAAGAAAAAGGAACATGTTTTACTTAATATATTTAATATTAAAAAAAAACTGTAATTTATTGTAATTGTGAAAGGATTATATAAATCAATATCGTAGCTATTCGATTTTGTGTGCGGTGTAAATTATATTTAATTACATAAAAACAAAAAATAAATATATGATATGTTATGTTAGTAGTTATTTTAGAAACACATGAGAGCGTTCCTTTTCCTTATATAAAATTAAATTTATATTATTTATAAAAGAAATGTAATTATAATTAAATTGCAATTATAATTGGAGAAAATAATCCATGTTTGTTTACTTGAATGTATTTTTAAGAGAGCAATCCGATTCATTTTTACACTGAGTCATTAAGTTTTTAGTTTTACTTTTTTCATACCAAAAAGAAATACAAAAAATTATATAAAAGCTAAAATTAAATGAATACATACAAAATAAGAATTTCTTAAAATAAGCTAAAAATGCAGATTTGCACAGAAAATAAGTCAATTTATAATCAATTTGACCGCTTTATTTTGTTAACTGATTTTGGCCGTTTTCCCCGTGTGAAAGCACGCACACCAATGCAAAACACACAACTGAAACAAAAGACTTCAACGGGAACACGAACTCACCATCGATTTGGACAAAACTTATAAGGAAAATCACAGCCAGAAAAAGGCTAGTGGATTGCATGTTCCCGACTTTAAATATTAACTATATACAAAACAACTGGTGGTAAAGTAAAAAATATAAATGTTAAGATCAAGGCAGACCGTAAATAAAATACCGTGAGATAGTATTACCAGGCGATAGTATTCCAGTTGGAAACTAGAGATGGCCAAAAAAACAAGCGATAGGTGTGTGTACTCTCTAATTTGGTATGACCGTTTATGGGATGGGGATGGCCGATTAATCGATAGGCGATCAAACACCGATGACCCCAAAACATCGATCCATCGCTGCTCCACCACTACCGCACGGTCACACTGCTCCTGTCGTACAAAATATTTTTTCCCAGCGAAAAAACTGAATTTCCTCGCTCGCGTTGATATTTTTTTGTTATTTTTTGTCGGCCACAATTGGAGCGATCGAAAGGAGGCCCAGCGGACGTGCGTGAAAATCCAGGGCCGCGAGTTTTCACCGGAGAGCGAAGAGCGTGAGAAACTGCGTACGTACGAAAGGAAAAAAGTGGGCAACCCAAAAAAGAAAGACGGAAAAGAGAGAGAAGAGAAAAAAATTTGCGAATTCGAATTTGTCAGCAGCTGTGCGTCGTAACTAAAGCAACAAAAAGCGAGAAAGACGGACAGAGCGAGAGCGAGAGAGCGGTGACACACGCAGGGAAAAACAAAAAAATAAGAAGAAAAGTGCAACCTTGCAGCGCCATAAACAAATAAAGTAAAATTATTTAAATAGACTGCAAAATCATATGCAGCCGACACCTGGCAGCCGTCTCGCTCTGTCGCGCATGTGTTTGTTTTTGTTTGCCAACTGTTTCTCATCTCCCGTCTCCCTCCCTCGCACGCAGCGCAGCACATCCCGATTCCCAATTGGACCCGAGCAGGAGTGGAGAGCGTTCCAATAGGAGTACTGCAGCAGCAACAACAACAACAACAACAACAACAACATGGCACTGGACAGTGGGACGCAAACGAATGCGCTGACATCATCCTTCACCACCAAGAAAAAGGATGCGGCCGCGGAAAAGGAGAACCTATGGTGAGTGCACCGGCAGTCTCAAGAATTAATGCTAAGAAAAAGCCCTCAAAAAATATAGAAATCAATGGAAACACAAATATTGGGGTCCCTAAAATATAGTTTAAAGAGCTTCAATAGGTAGAAAAATCACAAATATATTATATTATTTAGAGCACCTTAAAAGATGCAAAGTGCACTGTAATTAGACCACACAAAAAGAGAATCCGAAAAGTTAACTTTTTTGATAACTTTCTATAGATGACGTTTGCTAGCTGATTTTTGCCACCACTGTTATCTATAATTTCTAGCCGTTGGTAACTAATATTTTTATTCCATTTGTTGTCCGAATATTTCAATATATTATTTATTAATATTTTTTACCTGCCGGCAACTCCCTGATTTTTTTTTCTAGAGCCAAAAACCAGCTGATTTCATTCGCATGTTGTCATTTCTTTTTTTCTACCCATATTTCCGTACTTAACCTCAAATTATTAACCAACTATTTGAGAGCTTTTGCCAATATACATTAATAAACAAAATGCGTAGATAAGTAATATTACAAAAACACGAAAAAGAGAATGAGGAAAGAGGGATAAAGACGCCCAGAGGGAAAAACAGAGAGGAAAATAGCTAGGGAGAGGGCGAAAAAAGAGCAACAATGTGCGGGGATGATTCATAAATTCACCAAACAAAAAAGAAACAAATCGAGGGCACCTTTTTCTGGCTTTATCAATTTTCTAGACTCATACTTATGAATAAAGCCCAGCTTAATGGGCTGCCAATTGGAATCCAAACTTGGCTTTAAGACCTGCGTGTATTGGTTTCCGCTGGTGTGTGTGTGTGTGTGTGCCAACGATGTTGTCATCACTTGAATATGTCGTTTGGTTTAAACGGCACTAGTTAACACAATTCGGGGAAAACACCTGCAAAAGTAATAACAGCTGTTTTAAAAAAAAAAATTCACACCTTGAATTCCCCTAAAATATATCACTAAATGGGTATTTTCTTAAAATGAATAGACTTATCATCTAAAAGTTTTCTATTTAGTATTCGAAATTTAAATATTTTTAAAAATCAAGTATATAAATTTTACTGGAATAAGGCGCTATGATTAATTCGCCATATTTCAGAGAATCAGGTGAAAGCGGAATGAAATCCCACCTGGACAATAAAAACTTGTTCAACAAAGCATTATTGATATCCAATCGGTAATACCGATTCGGTATATAGGATTTCACAAATGTTTTTCTGCACATAATCACTAATAATTATTTTTTAAAAACGTATATAATCCGTAATATAATCTAGTATTATATTCTGACCCAGTTCAATCCAAATCCAAAGTTTGTAGCTTAGTGTCTTGAAACAGCAGGAACTTGTTCGCTTTTACAGTTCTTTTTTGAACAGAAATCGTCATCATTGTTTATGTTTTAGGGGGTCATTACCAAACGATATTGATATTTTCGAATCATAAAACTGTCGGCATTTAATGTTTGTAATTTTAGCATTAATCGGAAATAATATCCCCCGTATCAAGAGTATTTTCAAACATTTTTAATTGGCTCTGATTATTTGGTTAAAGATATTTATCGAATAATAGATAGGTAAACACATAGAAACACTATAAACTATCGAACGAACTCTGTTACTACATTTCCTCGATGAATACGTCGTTATCGTCTTCGTTATCGACAACCAATGTCTGCGATTGCTGCTGTCTATCAAAGTTGTTTTGGATGCGTTCCAGCAAATCGGTGGCCACCAGGGCGAAATCCTCCCACAAAGCATCGTGGGCCTCAGGATCTGGATCTGGATCTGTTTCCGTTTCCGTCGCCTCCACATTCTCCTGTTCCCTCTCCGGATCGTCCTCTTCGTTATCGTTATCGCCGGGCAGTAATCGCTCCTCATCGAGATAATCGGCCAGCAAATCGCTCACTTCATCGAGGATATTGCCGCTCTGGCAGAGATTGGCCGCACACTGGCCGTCGATGAGGAGATTCCAGAGGGCCTGGCAAACGATATTGGCCAGGAACCAATCCTCCTGCTCCAGGGCTCCGCGCAGCAGCAGGGACAGCAGTTCCGCCCCTCGGAGCTGCAGAAAAGGACCTCGCTGCTCACCATCGCCCAGCAGATTGACCAGGACCCCAATGGCACAGGTGCGCAGCTCGTAATCCTGGCCAGACGCCTGCTTCGTCAGTTGCTGCACCATCAGCGGCAATCCTCCGGCGGCACAGAAGCAGCGACGAGCTCGCTCGTTCCTCGTCAGATTGCCCAGCACGCGGGACAACTCCACTTTGGTCACTGACGCCGCACAGTTGCTTAAAACACTGGCCAACGAAGCGGACAGGTCGTCAATGAGGCTCTGAAGGGATCCCTCGGCCAAAGGATGCACCACTGCCTGTTTGTCCTGATAGAAACACAGATTGTGCAGGGCTCCCAAGGTGGCGTGCAGCAGCTCCTGTTGTTCCGCCGTCTAAAACGAAAGCAGCATGAGTTTCTGGAGAGGATTAGGGGTTAAGGGTTAAGAACCCACCTTCTTCTTGGCCAACTCTGCGCTGGTTTTGCTCAGCAGCTGCAGGAGAACGGCGCCCAGGGAACGGACATTGCCCAAACCGGCGCCCACCTCGGGATTCACACTCATATTGGCCACCACGCGTATCAACTTGATTTGGGCATCCAAGAGAGCCACACTAACGGGCGAACGTTCGTTGAGCTGCTCCAGGACATTCAGCAGATACTCCATGGCCACATCGTTGTGAAAGTACTGGGAAAATAACATAAGTATATCATTTAAATTTAAAAAAGCTAATATTCAAACCAAACTATTGGTTATTCTTGTCAAGGAACCCACCTGAATGCGCGCCGATTCGTGTTTGGCCAGTATATTGCCCAGCATATAGCCCAGGCGACTGAGCACCGCCAGGAGACGCTCACCGCACTGCCCGCCGCCGGCGCAGGAAGGACCCAGGAGCAGGCCAATCCTGGCCGCATAGTTGTGCAGCGTCTCACAGCAATCGGAGTCCTCGGAAAGAACGCTGGGAATGGATAAGATTAATGAAAGCCAGAAAGAATTCCTTAACTTATATAGCCACCTCAGCGTGCGCACCACATTGGCCTGCACCTCCAGTTCGCCCATGGAGACCTCGGCCGCCCGGATGAGATGCGGACAGGCCAGCTGCAACTGGAGCTGCAGGCTCTGCTGCTGCTGCTGCTGTTGGGAAACATCCGCCAAAGCTCTCATGGCGGCCGACAGTTGATAGAGCGTGTGAAGCGGCGGCCCCTGGAGCCTCTTGGTGGCCCCCGCCTCGTTCAGCATCTGCAGGTGCAGGATCATCAGCTCCACGGCGCCGTGGCGAGCCAGGCGGGAAACCAACGTCTGCTGGCCCGTCAGTTTCCGCGGGGAAAGCGCCGACGAAATGGCCGATAGGGCGGGAATAGACAGCTCGCCAGTGCCCTCCAGACCAATCCAATTGCGGTTGAGGGCATCGTCGCGCTCCTGGGCACTGCTGGCGGTCAGGAAGCGTATGCAGCCGTAGGCATAAATGCAGGCCTCCGGCTCGTCCAAGGGCGACGCGTGTCCCAGGCCATCGATGAGCAGCTCGAGGACGTCGTGTTCGTGGAACAGAGCATCATGCTGCTCGTGCCTGGCCACCTTGAAGATCAGCTTGCAGGCACCTGTGAGGTTGCTGCCCGTGACTCGGAGCTAGAAAATAAATAAGGGAAAATAGAAAGTATATTTCACAGGAGGATGATAACTCACGGCCAAGACCACACGAGCCACGGCCAAGAGAACACGTGGCGAACTGCATTCCACCAAACCATAGAGTCCGCCCAGGATGAAGCCACGCTTGAAGCTGCGCTCCTGCTTTCTCACGCGCGTGTAGAGCTCCTGGAGGATCTGAAATTGAGGAAATGGCGTTTATTAGAACTGATTTGAATGGAATGTTAAGACACCAAGCTATAATTTCACTAACTATTGAGCAAAATGGTGAAATGCAGATGGAAAAACATTTAAATGGAAGAATTAAAACCCATGAAATGACCACAACTTGCCGCATTTATGTGCTGCACTGTCTCATCGCTGCAATCCTTTAGGCCACGATGCTGCTTGAGCAGCTCAATCAGGGTCTCAGTGCTGGACTGGCAGAGCAGAGCTCCGTTCCTGGTGGGCATGGGTGCGGCGGGTCCGGAGCCAGACAAAGCCGGCAGCTGGCGGGGCGTGGATGGTTTCTCGTTCTGCAGATACCGCATGCTGTAAGGGAATGAAATAAATTTAAATCCCTTCATATGTATACAAGGAACTCTAAGGATAACCTACGAGAAAGCGCTCGGTGGGCGTCCTGCGAGGGCCACTTTGCCGTACAAAACCCTGCCGGATTCGCGGGGCGTAATGGGTCGACGGGTGCTGACCAAACGAGCTCCACCGGTGGCCATCATGGGAGCGGCGCCCACGGATTCGCCCAGGAACAGCTTGGCCTCGCTTATCAGCTCTGCCGATGTCTTGCGCCTGCCCATTCCGCCAGTGGAGCCACTAGAACTAGAAACCAGGCCCAATTTGTTCAGATTCTGCTCACTGGCATGCGGATAATGATGGCGCACTTGGTGCTGCTTCGCCTGCTGTCTCTCCGCCTCCGGCTGCTTGGCCTTCTCCGCGGGAATCTCCTGAGGACGCGTCTCGCTGCGTGAACGTCGCCTCAAAAGCAAACTCATCTTTGATAGCCGTGTGCTGCAATTTTTTCTAATATTTGGAAAATATTCAGCTCTCAACCAGCGCGACCAATTGTTCTCTGCGGACTCCTCGATGGCAGCCAGGAGTTTGCCTGGAAAATTTACCTTTCGTTTGGCTTTTTCGCGTGCACCATGCCAACGGGGAACCACTCCTCCTCCTCCTGCACCATCGCCGCCCCTTCGAAGGAGTCCGCCAGCCAACTAGCCACCACCAAATGGAGAACGTTAAAACGTTCGTTTACCACCGCACAGTGGGGCGCAGGTGGATTTTCCCTTGAAGTGGGTCAACGCATAGGGAAAGGTTGGAAAAATTATATGGAAAAGTATTGGAAATTTAATGGGTTTTTAGGGGATTTTTTTTTTTTGATTTATTAATTAGAAGTATTTTTAAGGACAGATGATAGCCATAAAAGAAAACTGTTTTTTTTAATACATTTCCATTATTTAAAGGTTAGGAAAATTATATGGAAATGGATGTGAAGTTTAATGGGTTGTTAAGGGGAATTGTAAAAATAGAGAGGGAAGTTTATTTTTCATTAGGAATAAGTCGATTTTTTTTTTTGATTTATTATTTAGAAGTATTTTTAAGGACAGATAATAGCCATAAAAGAAAACTGATTTTTGTTTAATACATTTCCATTACTTAAAGGTTAGGAAAATTATATAAAAAAAGGATGTGAAATTTAATGGCTTAGGGGAATCGGTAACAGAAAATTGATTTTTGGTAAACACATTTCCATTATTTAATTTCCATTATTTAATTACTTTTATAAGCTAAAATAATGTGAAACAAAATGGTAAAAGGGCAAGATTTTGAAAATGACCACAAAACGAAAAGTAAAAAACTTAATACAAAAATCTTAAAAAGTTATTAAGAATAATTTTTACCAATCTGAACAAGTCATATTTTTGTGGCACTCCGAACCACTGTGCCTTTTTCACAGGCAAATGAGAAAGCGCCGCATTCAATAAAGGAACCGACCAAAACAAAACAATCGAAAAGAACTGGAAAGTGCCTGGCAATCGATATTCCCCATAGTCCCATGGAGAACTCTGGAGATGAGGGGTGCGGAGGGGTGCGGGGTGCGGGACCTGTGGGTCAATTTGCATGTCCTGGCTGCCAGGACGGACATTCTGTCCGAGCTGTCTGTCCGCCAGGATGATTTTTTTTTTTTGGACGAGCACAACTATTCCATTCCACATCAATTGAAAATTATTTAATTGGTCTAATTGAATTGCAGACATTGCTGCGACGTTTGAAAATCGCATGCAAAACCATATCAAATATTGACGCAGTTCCAAAACACTAAAATTGAGCACGAACCGTGGGCTGGGAAATATGAGAGGCGTTTCTATATATACTATATAGGGGGGTCCGCCAATTAACTTGATGGCGGAATGTTGCGAAAAGGGAAATGTGGATGAATGACGGAGCTCTGACCTGAATTCGATTTCGGTGTGTCAGCGGAAAAGCTATATAATGCGTATAATTCGCACAGCTCCAAGAAGTCGGAAGTTAGGATCTAAGCCCATTGAAATAATTTTAATACTGTTCTAGGTTTTATTTGTCTCAAATATTTATACAATTCAAAAAAGTATGACATTTTTTAGCTAAATATATATTACATATTTCTTATAACTCCCTTAAAAAGAATCGAAAAAATATTTAATTTGAGGTTTTTTGACCTATAACCTCCTACGCTTGGGAATAACATTTTTTCCATAATTCGGAATTTCGAATTTAATTTTATCAAATGATCTAAAAATGAATGGGAAGTTAATAGGTAACATATTATAACTCCTTTGGTTTTTATTGCATTATCTCCTATTTTGGGATATGACTTTTTTTTAATATTTCAGGAATATTTCAGGAATATAAGCTTCCCTTCTTGTTCCTCGTTTATCTGGCTTTTACTAATCACCTGTTTTCCTTGCCTTAGGAACGATTGAAAAATGAATGGGAAGCTAATAGCTAAAAAATTATAACTCCGTTGGTTTTTATTGTATTCTTCTACTCTGAGATATTACTTTTTTTAATATTACAGAATTTCAAATTAAATTCCTTTCTTGTTCCCAGTATATCTACCGTCAACTAACCACCTTTTTTCCCTACAGGTCGGCGATATTGAATGAAGTACAAACACAGGGCAGCACAAAACTTCCATCAAACAAATCTGTACTAGTATTAGGCGACAATGCCACCGGAAAGACCACACTCATAGCCAAACTGCAGGGCGTCGAGGATCCGAAGAAGGGTTCCGGCCTGGAGTATGCCTACATCGATGTGAAGGACGAGTACAGAGACGGTAAATGATCAGATGCGGCATTTGCATGAATTATATTATATATATTTATTATCTTTCAGACATGACGCGTTTGGGCGTTTGGGTCCTGGACGGCGATCCAGGACACACAAACCTGCTGCACTATGCGCTCAATGAAACGAACTATGCACACACCCTCGTCATCCTCACCGTTTCGATGACGCAGCCGTGGGGCTGGCTGGAGCAGCTGAATCACTGGATCAAGGTACTCGGCCAGCACATCGAGAGCCTGCAGCTGGAGGCCAAAGAGAAGGAGGCGGCCCGCCAGCGGCTGGCCACCACGTGGCAGAGCTACTGCGAGGTGGGCGACGACCTGGATCCGGGCTCCCCGGTCAAGCGGACGATGCGCAACAACTCGATCGACGAGGACGACCTGCTGCCGCTGACGGAGGACGCACTAATTACAAATCTGGGCCTGGACATCGTGGTGGTGGTCACAAAGGTTAGTTATATATTTTATTTTAATTTAATTTAAAGCTAATAATTTAATTTTCACCCACAGACGGACTACATGACCACTTTGGAGAAGGAGTACGAGTATCGCGACGAGCACTTCGACTTCATCCAGCAGTGGATACGCAACTTCTGCCTGCGGCACGGCACCTCGCTCTTCTACACGAGCGTCAAAGAAGACAAAAACTGTGATCTCCTCTACAAATATCTGACGCATCGAATTTATGGTCTGCCATTCCGTACGCCAGCGCTAGTCGTTGAGAAGGATGCGGTACTCATGTGGGTGTTTTCTGCTCTCTCTGTTTGAAAGAATATACCTATAACCTATGTCTACTTTCAGTCCGGCTGGCTGGGATAGCCTGAAAAAGATTAGTATTCTGTACGAGAACATGCACGGAGTCAAGGCCGAGAATCCCTACACAGACATCATCAAATCGCCGCCAACTAGAAAGGTATGTCTATCTAAAGACCCTTTTAAGGATCCAGAGTAATCGAGGTGGTTTCCATTCCCCAGGCGGTTTCCAATCGCGAGGCAGAAGTGCAGACGGAGGACGAGCAGGCCTTCCTGGCTCGCCAGCAGGAGATCCTCAAGCAGGGCGACCAGGTGCGCGGGGAATCGCCGCTGCGATCGCAGGGCGTGGGCAGCAACAAGAGCGGACCCCGAACGCCCGGCACCACGGGACAGAGTTCGCCCAAGAAGGTGGGTTAAATATATTAAAAAACAGGGATCGAAAATAACTATTATTGTATATTTTTCTTAACCTTACTTAGAAGGGTCCTGACATTTTTTTAAATACACCACTATTTTTATTAGCCATTGTAGTTTACAAATCCGTCATGATTTTTATTTTTTGATTTTTATGTATAACAGTTATTGCCTTGACATTTTTGAAAAAATTTAATAATTGAAAAAAAACATGCTAACCGTGTTTTATATAACTTACTAAAAATTTGTTAAAAAAGGCTATCGCGCATATTTTATAACTACATTTTTTGTAAATTTATTTTACCCACAAAATTGCCATAAATCAAGTTTGAGTTTTATTTTTGATCACGAGGAATAACTGTTATTTGTCAACTTTTATTATAAAACTCAAGAAATAACAGATATTCTTTGAGTTTTACTTTACAAATCAGAAAATAACTGTTAAAGTGTGATTTTAAAAAATTAAAATATTTAAAAAATTAAAAAATAAAACAAATCAATTCTAACTCTGTCGTAACCCCTCTCCAGATTGATCCCAAACTGACGCCAGCCACGCCCGGCGCCGAGGGCGTTCTGGCCAACTTCTTCAACTCGCTGCTACACAAAAAGTCCGGCAGTCCGGCGGGCGGCGGCCCCGGCGGAGCTGGCAGTCCGGCGGGACCGGGAGGCCGCACGGCCAACGGCGGAACGGATGCAATGATGACGCCCGAGAAGCTGGCCGTGCGCACGGATGCGGCCGCCGAGCTGGATCGATTGTCGCGCAGCGTGAAGAAGGAGATCGACATGTCGCAGAGTGAGTGTTGAGCCGTAGTCAGCAGTCAGCAGCCACACAGACACCACAGCGAAACACCAGCGGCGGCGGCAGCAGCAGCAACAACAGAACCAGAACATCATGAAAACGTTATTTAAGCATCAAGCGAAGGGCAGGGACTCGTAGAGAACGCAGGACCAGTGGGAGACCACAATTTGGAGCAGCTGTGGGATCATTCAATGGTCTGCAAGTTGCTGTGCAGGCTAATATCAGTTTTTATCAGGGGCATTAGTATTTATAAGGAGAAGGAAGCTCTTGAATTGTTAGGCCAGAAATGCGATTATTTACCAAGAGAACTTTTGTAAATGATTCAAATCCCCGTTGAGCTTAGAAATTCCATTTTCCAGCGCCCCCAAAAACTGTTCAAGGCCCAGAGATTTTTCATAAACTTCTAAAATCTTCCTGGAACTCATGTGATGAGTTCTTTTTACGAGCCTCCTGCGGCATACTCAAAAACTTTCGATAGGAAATGAAACAAAAGGAAAACAAAACGAAAACGAAAACTAGAAATGAGAAATGATAAATGATAAAGAGACATTCGCCACTTAATGGCTTAGCTTAGCAAAAAGGTTTTCTATTTGAGGAAAAGATCTGCGAGGCATACTGTACTCCTCTCCCTGCGCAGCTGCATGTGTGTAAAGGGTCCTGGCGAGCGAGAGGATAATAAGGATAAGGATAATGTGAAGTAGCTTCTTTTTTTTTTTCGTTCGCGGGTCCACAGACACATTTGTATAATAAATTATTTAAAGCGCCGTAAAGTGTAATTAACAAACGGCAGGCAAACGAGAGATTCAAACAGTCCAAGCTCCCCGCAATGAGGATGGTATTCGCCTAGCTTGTATGTACTTTTTAATTATATTAATTAACTACACACCCACTCACACTTGTGTTGATTCGGCAGGCGAAACGTTTATATTAGTATTTATGCCGGGAGAAATCGAGGAGCTCCCTTGTCGTGTGTTCATTTTTAGTTAACCCACGATTTGCGTTTTTTGCTTTTGTTCACCAACCAACCAACCAACCAACCAACGAAACCCATTGTAATTAATTTTAAATCCTAATCCCCTCGATTTTAATGTAGACCTCCGTCGTTATCCGCTCAAGAAACGAGACAGCTGTACGTCTCCATTTTAAAGGAAGTTTTTATTTAAGCCATTTTAATACCGAGCGTGTCTGAATCAAGAAATCAAGATAATAGAGCTGTTCGGCCCAGGCGATTTATATTCTATTTTATTATGATTTATTCGAATCGAGAAGACGCTTTCTTTTTGCCATATGTATTCCACCAAATGTATGTATGCTCTTCTCATCGGGAGATTTAATTTCCACAGCTTTCTTAAACCCCTAATCTATTTCTTTTCTTTCTGTCCCACTCTTTGCCTCTCGCTCTTTGCCGTGTGTCGTCAGAAGCAACCACAAAAATTTGATAAACCAGAAAATAAAAACGAAAAATTAAAATGTGCTACAGAAACTATTTTTATGTATAAATACAAAATAATTATATGAAATATATTGTATAACATTATATATATATTTAAATCAGAGCAAATTAAAAATATTGTGCAAGCGAATTATTTAAACAAATTGATCGGTATTCGAAAACTCCCAACAAAGAACAAAGCTGAAAAACACACACAAATATAAATTAATGTAAATTAAAACCCAAAAAAATATAGGCATCAAATCAGCGTCAAAAACTGCAACAAAAAAGTGAAATAATTTAAATAAAATTTTCCAAAAACACAAAAAAAATTAAATTACTGAAACAGTTGTTTTATTTTGAAGGGGGATTGGATTAGAAATAACTGAAGTTTAAATTTTTCAACGAAATTGTTTGTTTAAATTTAATTTCATTCTTTCGGAAAACATAAAAAAAAAAAAATTAAGTCAGAAATTGACGGGGATTAACTTATTAGTTTAGCTGTGAAAAATCAAGTTACAGAAACCCCCGAATCGGATTTTCGACCGAAAAACATCATTTTAAATTGGAGTTAAGTTTCGATTTTAGTTTTTATTTTTAAACCAATGGTTTGTAGTAAGTAAACATTAGTGGCAATAAAAATAGAAAATACATTAGCGATAATTATAGGGCTGTGTATGATTTTAGATTTGTTTGTGAATACTCGCAGCCGCAACTATTCCGAGTGTGTTTCTTCCAGTTGTGGTGTTTTAGGAGACGCGGGTGCATTAACTTGGTTATAGCGAATGAATCGGGTGAAACAAGGTCTAACCCTTGAGGCTCGTCATGCCCGCACGCATGACCTCGTCGACAAGGAGCAGGTTGCTGGCGATGATCGAGCACGAGTTGAGGATCTGCTTCTTGACGATGTAGTTGTCGTAGACGCCCAGATCGACGGGCTTCATGGGCTCGCCGGTGGCGAGGTCGAGGCCGACCAGTTCGGGACTGAGGCGATCCTCGACGGTCAGCTTGACGATGGTGTCCTGGGCATCGTAGCCGCTGTTGACGGCCAGCGTCTTGGGGATGACCAGCAGGGCATCGGCAAAGGCCTGCACGGCCAGGCGGGACTTGCCCTTGATGGTCTCCTTGAAGGCGACCAGCTCGTTGTAGGCGCGCACCTCAAAGGCCCCAGCTCCGGGCACCAGAGCCTTGTCCGCAATGGTGTTGTTAATGGCCCTTAGACCGTCCCGAATGGCGTCCTTGATCTGGGTGATCGTGTGCTTGTTGGGACCCTTAATCAGAATCGTCACCGAGAGCGGATTCTTGCAGTCCTCCACGAAGGTGTACTTGTTCTCGCCCAGCACATGCTCGTAGACCACGCCGGCGTAGCCCAGGTGCTCCTCCTGCAGGTCGTCGAAGGAGTTCATGGCTGTGCCGCCGCAGGCCAAGGCCAAACGCTCCATGTTGCGCCGCTTGGCGCGACGCAGGGCCAGAATGCCCTCCTTGGCCAAAGCGTCCAGGGAGATGGGGTCGATGCCCTTCTGGTTGATCAGCACGAAGCTCTTGTCGGTGCCATCGCACACAGAGCGCTTCAGCTCGATGACCTTCTTCACGCGCTGGTCAATGAAGTCGCGCTCGGCGCGCACAAAGGCCTCGCGCTCCTCGGCGGTCTTGTAGAAGAAGCCCGAGTTGACCTCGGCCTTCTCGTACTCCAGCGACACGTTGGCCGTCAGGATGTAGGCGTTCTCCAGGCGCTTGGGCATGTCCGGATGGCGGGCACCGTGGTCCATGACCAGGCCGCGCACCAGCTGCGTATCGGTGTCCGTCTTGTGCTGCATCTCCATCAGCTCCACCATGTGCAGATCCACGGGCTTGGACTTGTCCGCACTGGCAATGGTCAGCACGGCGTCCACGCAAACGTCGGTGAGCAGATCGGCCAGGGCGGGATGCACCTTGGTCTTCAGGCTCGTGTTGGCCACCTCCACCAGGCTCTTCTTGTTGATCTCCACGGGCACCTTGACCTGGTCGAGCACCTCCAGCGCCTTGTCGCGGGCCTTCTCGAAGCCCTCGGTCATGATGCGCGGATGCAGGCCCTCGGACAGATAGATGTCCGCCTGCTTGAGCAGCTCGCCGATGAGCATCACCGTGGTGGTGGTCCCGTCGCCAGTGGAGTCATCCTGGGCAGTGCTGGCCCTGGCGATCATGGAGGCGGTGGGGTGCTGGATCTGCATCTCGTGGAGCAGCACGTTGCCGTCCTTGGTGATCTTGATGTCGCCGGCGCCGGAGACCAACCTGCAAAGAAGTTTCTGGAATTTAGTACATATTCACGTGAGTGGCGAGTCACGCCTGTTTTTCTCTCGCTTGCTGAATCACTCAGAGGTTGATATATATCTTTCTCACTAAAATAATAACTATTATTTAACATCCTACTTTTAATTCCTTATAAAAATTAGAAATAACTGTAATTGCAAGCTTTTCTTGCAACATTCCCTCTCTTTCCCTCTCTTGCGATGACGCATGCCGCTTAGGCTCGGCCCTAACCTCAAACTTGCCATAGCCGCAGCTGTGGCCAAAATGCATGTTTTTATGCCTATTAACTCACAGTTTGACTAAAACTGGGCTCGCAAACTATATTAAAGACCAATAGAGGCCCGGTTCAGTCACTTACATCTTCACTGTGCCCTTGGGTCCCAAATTGGTGCGCATCACATCCTGCAGGCCCTTGGCCGCACTGATGTTGATGGCCAGGGCCTGGGCGGCGCGGGCGAACTCGGCCTTGGGGTTCAACAAGCTAATCGAAGCCATCGCGTCTCTCGGTTAAACACTGGTATTACTTATTGGGCGAATTAAATCAAAAAATCGGCACAAACGAAACACGCTGAGCCAAAAGCCGAAAATCAGATGACAAGAGTTGCCGGACCAGCGAAAACTAAGCTCTGCTCTTCGAGTTGACACAAACTATCGATGTATCGATATGGGGGAGTCCGGCCGATTGTTTTTTTAATAAGGGTATTCCCCAATTTGTTTATTGCTTGATATTTTCCAAACAATTTCAATTGTCAGGCATTGCTGATGAGTTTTGAAACAAATCAACAGTTAAATTTTAATAAAGGTATCTTAAATATAAATATTCAATATTTTATTATACATATTAGATATTTTGCAAATGTTTATTGTTTTCCCTTTTCGATTTTTTCTAAATTTAAAAAGATTTCCCGCCAGAAACGGCTATTTTCCCGTTAAAACATACAACAAAACAAGCCGGACGGTCATCGATTGGTGGGCCAGCGCCGATTCCGATAAGCAAACAAAATGCCACCGTGCGCCAACACCAACACTAAAAATTTTTTATTGGCAAAATCGGAGTAAAGTAAAAATAAAGCAGGATTTTCGAGAGCGCCGACCGCAGCGCAGCGTACCGAGAGCCCCAACTGAATCGCGAGCTTTCACCGGACCGGCCGAGGATCCGCAGGCGGCGCGATGAGTGTCCTGGCGTATCCACGCACCAACGACGAGGAGGTTTTCCGTCACTGCACCAAGGACTGCGGCGTGGTGACGGCCACCGAGGACTTCCAGTACTTCGCCCTGCGCTGCATCTTCTGCAGCGAGAAGTTCCTCTACTTCGACTCCTTCATCGGCCACATGCAGACGGCCCACCTGGGCGACCAGTCGGTGGCGAATCCCGGCGACCCGATGTCCCTGTCCAGTCGCAACGGGGATTTGCCCAGCTTCCACGAGATCGAAGACTTGACGGACGCGGACACAGCGCTGCTGGAGCCGCAGATGGTCATCAAGCAGGAGCTGCAGGAGCTGCCCTGCAGCGACGACGAGGTGGCGGCCGACGAGGAGGAGGAGGATCTGCGCGATTCCGAGGACGCCGGCGAGGACGACGACGAGACCATACTGCCCGAGAACGATGCCCCAGTGGTCAGTTCCAAGCCGCGTCCGCGCAAAAAGGTCACCAAGCAGCGGCAGCGGGACATCTCCAGCGAGGCACTCGAGGATTCCTCGCTGGACGACTACGGGGATCCGGAGAACAGCTACATGGACGACAATTCCGGCGAGTACATGGACTACAGCGGCTTCGGGCCCGAGTCGGATTTCCTCAGCTACGACGAGATGGTGGAGGAGTCTCTGCTGGGAGTAAGCCTAGTTAAAATACCCTTTAAACCACTTTCTTTTCCACAAATCCAATTTGAGTTCAATAGGAATGTTTTAAATAATATTTAGGGTCTGCCTAAAAGTTACGCATATAAAATCCCAAATATTTCACCCTTAATACCCGCTAATTTCCATATACCCATTTTGTAATTTATTATTTTCCCAACCCTTAGCGCGACCGGGAGGTTACGATGCACATCAAGGACCGCAAGATGATCCAGTTCCTCATACACTCGTATCAGCGCAACCCCTTTTTGTGGGACCACGGCAACGCACAGTTCCGGGACCGCGTGAAGCGCGCCCGCTTCCTCGACTGGATCGTGCTGGAGTTCAAGAGCCGGTTCAACATCTCGCTGGCCAAGGACGCCATCACCCGCAAGTGGGACAACCTGCGGACGGTCTACAAGCGGGAGTGCAATCGCATGGCCCTGGAGAAGACGAACATCAGTACGCTGTGGTACTTCAAGGAGCTGCACTTCCTCAACGAGGTCTACAGCTACAATGACAAGATGTCCGATGCCGTTGTAAAGGTTAGTGGTTGTCCTTTTAAATCGATGCTGTTTGCTCTTGGCTGGGGGTTGAATTAAATGGACGCGAGCCAGCCGATTAATTTGCATAAACATGGGGGGCGTGCTTCAGTAGCGAGAAACATGTCTGTTAACTCTTGATTTTTTTAATTAAAATGTTGGGCCGCTTTAGCAGCAAATTTACATGGAGAAGATGTGCGTCTGTCCAAAAATTTAAAGTCTTAATTTCTCATACTTGCATTATATATGCGAATTTTGAAGGAAAAACTTGTCTGTCAACTTTTTATTTTATATAATTATATTAGAAAACAATTGTTGGTAATAATAAAACTATAAAACTATACTTTTTTTTATTTTATTAGGTAAAACTTTTTACACTCTTGAAAACTCTTGAAGTGCATTTTATTTTGTTAAAAGTTTTTTTTTTTTAATGTCAACCTTGAGTTAAATTAAACGCCCTACAGGAATTTTTTTATTTTCAACTGTAACATTTTTTTTTCTATAATTTGAAATATGATTTAGATTAACCGTCATACAGAATTTTTTTTACTCACCTCAAATTGCTGTATTCTAAAAAAAGTCATTTAATTATCAGGTAAAAAAAATAATCTTATACACTTTTAAAAAACTTTTGAAATGCATTTTGTTTTGTAAACAATTTTTTTTTAGAGAATCAAACCTTGATTTAAATTAAACGCCATACAGGAATTTTTTTTCTATAATTTTAAATATGATTTAAATTAAACGTCCTACATAATTTTTTTTATGCCCTAAGGATTTTTTTTGTTTTCAACAGTAAACATATGATATCTATAATTTGAAACTTGATTTAAATTAAATTTTTTTATTTACTCACCTCATCTGCATTTTTCAATGCTTGTGCGGTCCAATGTCCAATGGCCAATGAATAACTCTCCTCCTCCCGGCAGGAAACCTCCTACCGCCGCCGCTTCTCGGCCATTTGGAACGACACGTCGACGGCCAAGCTGCTGAGCATGGTGAAGCGGTACCAGTGCTTCTACAACCGCTTCGATCCCGACTACCGCAGCAAGGAGCGGCGCGGCGAGGGCCTCCACCAGATGGCCGTTGAGCTGCAGCAGCTGATCGACGTGACCACCATCCAGATCTCGAAGCGCATCTCCCAGCTGCGCTTCGACTACTCCAGGCAGAAGATGGAGCGCCTCAATTGCGAGCGCCTGGGCAAGAAGTTCATTGCGAACTACACGTACTACGATCAAATGCACTTCATGGACGACGACATACCGCCCTTCAAGTGCCCGCACTGCCCGGAAATTATGCAGACGCTCAGGGAACTGGACCTCCACATGCTCACCCACCAGCCCAGTTTGGGCGGCGGTTACTTCTGCAACATCTGCAGCATTCAGTTCCCCAACGCCGAGGAGTTCGACAGCCACAAGCAGCTGCATTTGGGCGGCGTGGCGGAGGTGAAGTTCAACTGCGAGCTGTGCACGGCCAGCTTCCGCGAGAAGGCCAACTACGAGGAGCACCTGCGGCGGCACAACGAGGAGCTCTTCCTGCCCTCGCTGGCGCTCAATCACAGCATCATGGAGGGCGGTGCCGAGGACGACGAGGAGTCCGGGGGCAGCGGGCAGCGGCGCAGAAAGACGAAGGCCTCCAAGTCGCCCGAGGACGCGGCGGATGATGAGGATCCAATTGCCAAGCCGTACGGCTGCGATGTGTGCCGTCGCAGCTTCGCCACGCCGGGCCACCTGAATGCCCATCGGATTGTCCACCAGGACGAGCGGGAGCGGTGCTACAAATGCGACTATCCGCAGTGCAATAAATCGTTTGTGGCGCGCAACAGCCTGTTCGAGCATCTGAAGCAGCACTACAGCAACGAGGAGTTCAAGTGCGACATCTGCGGCAAGACGTTCAAGTCGACGAAGAACCTGCAGAACCACAAGCAGATCCACGACAAGGTCAAGCGCTACGTCTGCCAGATCTGCGGATCGGCGTTCGCCCAGGCGGCCGGTCTCTATCTGCACAAGCGTCGCCACAATCGGCCCAACGGATCCGTCGGCGCTGTCGGGCGATCGGGGCGCAGCAGTCTGTGAGACAGGGAAAAGGACAAGGGCCGCGGTCGGGGGCGCGGACGTGGCCGTGGGCGTGGTCGCTATGTCAAATAGTTTTACGCGTAATCGAAACTGCAACTGTAACGTCTTTAAATTGCCAGCCAACCCGGCAGCTTAGTTAGCTTTCTTAATATTACTTTTAGACACTCACTCGATGTTCAGCCCCATTAGCAATTCGATTCGGTTAGAGCTTGATTTAAAACAACACTATTTCCCGTACAAATGTTAAACTGAAAGTGGGTTTTAGTTCCCTAAATTTATAACTTAAACCCACTGTCAGTTTAACAAGCCTCCTTAACAATATAAAATTTGTACCTCTAAGTTTGTCTGAATCGAAAACGCCAACAGGGTCTCTTGTATTATTTTGTTTAATATCTTAGTTCCGTGGTAACCTACTATTAATTGTACTTTATATGCATCCACTTACCTGTAGTCGTACTTAAGAGCGAAAAGTATTTAACAACTTTAGTTTTAGGCAAACACTTCCTTCCACTTCCCAATGATTCTTGAGTAAGTTCAAATAGACAGAGGATGTAGAAAGAGTAGAGCGGTACTTATAAACAATAACAAATACTTAACATTTCAGTGCCAATTTCGAGTGCTTCTCCCAGAAAACACACACAACTCAAAGAATGTAATTAACCATGTAAGAATTGTAAACATTCCTCCCCGTCCCCTAAAATCCCCTAAAATCGATGTGAGCCAGTCGATGCATTCCAGAACTAAGTATTTCATTAAGTATTTTATGTACTAACTATATATTTATACGCAAAGCTAAAAGTGCAGACAAACATTTGCCATTAAACCGACGAACAGAAAGAGAAAACCCAGCCACTTGAGCCCATAATTAACAGCAATAACTAAGTTACTAAGCATCTAACAAACCAATTATGTTTAAGCCACTAAAAGCGAAATACACACTCAAATATTATGTACTGACCGCGAACGACTGAATCTGTAATACACTTCGAGGCGCCGCTTCGTCCTGTAATCGTAACTGTAACCGTATTTTGTAATCCTATGTGTAAATATATAACTCGAGCAGGCCGATTAACCATTAACAGCACACATATGTAGCTATAGCCATGGCAATATAGCATACGGAAGAAACGAGAAGCTTCATTTAAGCCTAAGTTCATTTAGCACAATTTACTCATGCGAAATTAACCGAAAATCAAAGACCGCTTATCAAGGTCCGTCGCCGATAACGAATCCACTTGGTTTCCTTCCTTCGGAATCAGTCGAGCGTTCAAACAAATTGTGAAATAGTTAACAGGAAGTTAGGAGCCAGAAGGAGATTAATAATCACAAGAATCGTAACAAAAGTGCGCTTCCAGGAGAATCAGGCGGAAAAAACACACAACCTACAAAAAGCAAAGAGAAACTCATCCGAAAAACGAAAACGAGAGAATATTTTAAAGCATCAGAAGCGTCTGCAAAACATGTAAATTAACTGAGAGATAAAGAAACAAATCACAATTTTATTTATCCTAGTAATATCAAATGAGATTTTAGTACGATACAATATATACACACACATATTCGAAGTATTCTCGAATAAATAGATTTAAATAATTTAAAAACAAGCAACAACTGTGTTTTATTTATCCATGATTTTAGCCCGAAAACGTTGTTTTTGAAGTGTTTCACTTGAACATGCCTCCGTAGATAACCGATGACGTCTCCATCATTATCTTTACAGTTGTTGTCGCACGTCTGGTGACTATATAGCCGCTAAGCCAGACGCCTCAGATGGACCTATACCTTGGAATCGCAGTGCTTGTTTATACCATTTAAATAATATATTTTTAAATGTGTTGACGTCAAAAAAAGTGCAATGTCATGCTTAGTTGGGATTTCGCATTTTGTGCCTGAATAACACCAAACAAAACTGATTGAACTTTTACAAAATTTTAGCATTTTTGTTAAATATTTATAAATAAATAATTTTTTAATTTTGCTTAATATAGTAAAGCAAAATTATTAGAAAAATTGAGATATACAAGAATTGATATATAGATTAATGTGGTTCATCATTTTTAAAGTTCAAAGCAAACTACAGATAGAGAACGAGTTAAATATTTATCAAAATAATCTCTGAAAAAATGTTAAATTATTTTTTTTTTAATTCATTACAATTTTGATTAATTTAGAAAACCAAAATTATTCGAAAAATTAAAATGGACAAGAACTGATATAAGGATTAATGTGGTTCAACATTTTTCAAGTTCTAAATATTTATCAAAATTAATCAGATAATTATTTCTCAAATTCAGTAAATTTGCCTGATATAGAAAAACTAAAATTTGTAGAAAAATTAAGATATACTAGAATTATTACTAACCACATCCAGTTCTTGGTTCAGTGCGATATAGTCACTTGGAGTACATTACAGCCGACGGATGACTCGTATCCCCAGTGGAAATTACAGGCACGTGGGGGTTGAGTTCACCTCCCAAAAACGCTGTTGTTAACCCATTCGGAGGCATATCTTTGTGGGTTAGTGTCATCGCAAGTGGCTGGCTTTCGGCCTCCTAAGACGTAGAAGCGATCACTTGACAGGGGCGTGTTCTATATATATATATATATATATATAGTATGGTCTAGTCTAGCGCCATACCTCCCCGGTAAATTTCACCATTGCGTCGGAGAGGCGGCAGCGTGCCAATTTTTGTTGTTGCGATAATTAGCACCCCGCCTGTGTTTTGATCGATCCGATCAATTAGCAACCTGCCACCAAGCCCCTCGGCTTCTAGGGCTCTCCAGATACGTCGATTTTCGACTGGACGGGATTTCTGGTTTCGGTAAACATTTTAATCAGCGTCTAGTATATATGCGTACGGGTACAGAGAAAGAAAAATAAGTGTAGAATTCTATATATCTTTCTATTAAATCATTCTATTAAATCTTCCTATTATATTTATCAACATCATCTCAAACTCAAACTCTAATTCCTTGAAAAAGCCCAAATTAAATTCAAAATCTAAATTTAAATAATAAATAAAAATGTATCTAATTGGACACCTTGAAAAAGCCCAAATTAAGCTCAAAATCTAAATTCAAATTATAAAAATTAAAGTGTATCTAGCTGCTAGAGCTGTTAATCATAGTTAGCTTATAGTTTTAACTTTAAGTTGGCTTTATATAAATAAATAAATAAATCTTTCTAATATATATCTCTCTATAATAAGGTCACAGCTATTTTTTAAACTTATCAATATGTATCACCACATTGCTCATCATTTTGCTTTCTGTGTACACCGATTAGATAGCCCGAATTTATGGAATATACACATATATGTTTTTAGATTTCGAACTGGACGTTCTTTTAATCACTTTTTAGGCATTACTCACGGCCCGAAACAATCAACAATTACAGTAAAATTATTATTTACAGCCGGCTGAGGTCGGAACAGATTGAGGGATTCCGGTATTCTGGGATTCCGGTTTGTAACTGGGTGCATTTGGGTGCTGGGTTCAATGTGCCCCCCCATGCCGAGTGTGTCCTCCTCGGACACGATTCGCAGGTTGACGACACCAGGTTCTCCTGGCCTGTGTGTACTGTGTACTGATGCCCCCTTGACTAGCGTTCCTAGATGAGCTCGCCGTGCTCGTTCACCTTGATCACCCGGACGCGGGCATGGCGATCGGCCAGCACCTGGTCGATGTTCTTGCTGGTGCTGATGCCCGAACTGATGCTGCTGTCGCCGTCGCTGCCGGTGAAGAGACCGAGGTTGTCCTTGATGAGATGGTCGACGGCACAGCCGTCGCACTGCAGGATCACCACGCCGCTGTAGAAGGCCTCCTCGCTGATGGTCTTCGTGTTGCGGGTGTTGCACAGCTTGCAGCGGTACACGAGCTCCATGCGGCGCTGCATGCGGCCGAAGCGCTTCAGCGTCGTCGGCGACAGGGAGCCATTCCCGGCCTGGCTGCCCGACGCAGTGCGTCCCAGGTCAAAGGGCTTGGCCGTGAATTGGCAGGCATCCAGGATGGAGCGCGGTATGGAGAGCGGAGCGGGACGCGTCGCCTTCAGCTGCTGGTCGGGATCCGCGCCCAGCGGCACCGCGTCCACCGCCTGCTGCTGCTGGGTGGCGTTGAGGATCGCGTTCTGGCCATTCTGCCGCAAATAGTTGAGCGTTCGCGATGTGAAGATGTTGCGCAATGCGTTCATTGTACGTCGCTATCAGTCTGTGTTGCACTTGCAGGTTGCTTCCTGCTCTTATCGCCTGCTGCACTGCGTCCTGGGTTCTGGCGCCGCACGTGCCGAAAGTTGGGTAGTTACTGCGTTTGTTTTCCCCCAAACGGGGAAGAAATTGCGTGAATGGGAGCAAGGCAATCAGCTGTAGGCTATCGTTATCGGCGCTGTGCTGGCGGTGGACTGGAAAAGCTAGCTCTTAAACCGCTATATTCAATCAGCTATTTGGCTATACAAAATTGTTGAATTGCTGAATTGTTGAATTTTGTTCAGCTGTTAATCCATACAAAGTTAACATTCAGATATTTCAGCAATTTCACAGGCTGTTAAAATCTTTTTTAATCCTTATTTTATTAAAAGTCATAACATTTTTAAACAAATAAGAGGTGTTCGAAAATTAAACAGAAACCATTAAGAAATTACTGAATTCAGCAATTTAGTATTTTCAAAAGAAAAACCATATTATTTTTACAGAGTTTATTTTTAATAAAATTTCTTGATATAATTTTAATTTCATTTAATTTTTAGGCAAAAAAAAACATCTAGCTATCATAGAATTTAATGTTATAAAAAATGCCGACAGCTCATCGCCCACAGCGCCTATCGAACTCGATAATCACAACAAAGGACAATCGGAAGGCACCTAACCGGCTAGGCAATTATATATTATATAGCCACCAAATACGATACGTTACCGAACCGATCTCTTAGAAATGGCCAACTAGTCGCTGCTGAAATAACCCGACGTCAAGGAAAACGCCATGAACTTTGCTCGCCTGGGACTCGAGCAGATGGTGCTGCGAGGACTGCGAACTCCGCGCCAGCAGCTCCAGAAACCATGGATGATGATGATGATGAACCGGCGGCTGGCCAGTGGAGCCACCTCTCCTGCCGCCTCCTCTCCCGCCGATCCGGCGCCCAAGAAACAGTCGCAGACGGCGGTGAAACCACTGCCGCTGGCCGAGGAGCGCCTGGAGTCCATCCTCTCGCCCATCCGCACCAGGATCATCCGGAAGAAGCGCCTGGCCATCGACGAGCTGTCCGCCCTGGGCTTCCTCAACACGCGTGGCTACACGACCGCCGAGGAGTACAACCTGGAGGATTTGCAGATCGCCCTCCGCCAACAGAATCTGTACGAAACGAAGCGCTTCTTTTCCACGGACAACCTGGATGTGGAGCAGAACGTGCTCTTTGTGGCGGCCAAGTACCCGACGGGCCAGCAGCCGCGGGAGATATTCTTCTTCCGCGAGGGTTCGGTGGTCTTCTGGAACTGCAGCGACATCGAGACGAACAACGTGCTGAGCTTCCTGCGCTCCTTCGAAAGGGAATCGTATGTCAGCGCTTTGGTGCACGGCGAGAGCGAGGTGATGCCCTACACCTACATCCCGTCGACGGCGGTGGATGTGGAGGGCGATCTGGTGGCGGAGAGCAGCGATTTCAATGTCACGTCGCGCGCCTTCTTCCAGAACGGCAAGTTCTTTGTGACCGCCGACACGGATAGCTTTCTGTACAAGTACACCTTCTCCAATGCGATGGCCCAGTCGATTAAGCTGGGCATTTGGGAGGCCACCCTGGATCGCTACATCGACTCCATAGAGCATCTCACCGAGGATCTGAAGCGGGGTCGCCGCCTGCGCATCTCGCGGGCGGCCATGCTGCGCAAGACCGGCGAACTCTTTGCCCTGCGCCACGTGATCAACCTGTCGTCGGACCTTCTGGACGCCCCCGACTTCTACTGGGACCGCGAGGAGCTGGAGGCGCTCTATCTGCAGGTCTGCTCCTACTTCAGCATCACGCGGCGCACCAAGGTGATGAACGAGAAGATCAACCACTGCGTGGAGCTGGCCGAACTGGTGTCGCACAACCTCAACGACGCCCACCACATCCGGCTGGAGTGGATGATCATCATCCTGATCATGGTCGAGGTGGGCTTCGAGGTGCTGCACTTCGTCAGCGATCACGGTGATGCTCACAAGCTCGAGGTTATGCCATTGGCCGCCTCAATTCCCAAGTAGCACGTAGGCTTAGTCGAGAGTTTTTGTAATATATTCGTATTTGAGCTGAATATAGCATTGTTAGCGTTTGATACCCAACAATTGGCACAAGCGATTTAAAAAACATTGGACAAAGATTTGTTAAGAATTAATTTTTGCAATGGGAAACGGTTAAACCCAATAATACCAAAAGTATTATGTATGTTTAGTCGAGAGGTTTTGTAATATATTCGTATTTGGCCAGAATATAGCATTGTTAGCGATTGATACCCAATAATTGGCACAAACGATTTAAAAACATTGGATAAAGATTTTTAAAGAATTAAATATCTTTTGAAATTGGAAACCGTTAAGTATCATGTAGGCTTAGTCGAGAGTTGGCTAAAATATATCATTGTTAGCCTTTGACTCTACACAATTGGAACAAACGATTTAAAAAACATTGGATAAAGATTTTTCAAAAAAGTGCTTTTGAAATTTAGAACCGTTAAATACTAAATACAAAAAAATACCAAACTTACCCGCTAAAACCGATAGCTCCGATACCCAACGCAGTCGGCCAACACTGGAAACCTATCGAATGCTATCGCCAGCACTAAAGCGAACCGAACCGAATTTGTTGTCATTCCGGAAAATGCTATAAATCCATAAATCGGATCTATAAAGGATGGCCAACGCAGTGGTGGTGCTGGACAACGGGGCGTACACGGCCAAGGTGGGCCTGGCCAGCCAGGAGGAGCCGCAGGTGGTGCCCAACTGCATAATGAAGGCGAAGAGCGAGCGGCGGCGCGCCTTCGTGGGCAACCAGATCGAGGAGTGCCGGGACACCTCGGCGCTCTTCTACATCCTGGCCTTCCAGCGCGGCTACCTGCTGAACTGGGACACCCAGAAGACGGTGTGGGACTACATATTCAGCAAGGACGGCATCGGTTGCACGCTGGAGAACCGCAATATCGTGATCACGGAGCCGCAGATGAATTTCCAGAGCGTCCAGGAGGCGATGATGGAGATGCTGTTCGAGGAATACAGGGCGGCCGGGGTGTACAAGACCACGGCCGCCGATCTGGCCGCCTTTAACTATGTGGCCGACAGCGAGGAGCGCACCACCATGCAAACGCTCAACTGCATCATCATCGATGTGGGCTACAGTTTCACGCACATCGTTCCCTTTGTCCTGGGGCGACGCCTCCTCGAGGGCATACGGCGCATCGACATGGGCGGGAAGGCGCTGACCAATCACCTCAAGGAGCTCATCTCGTACCGCCACCTCAACGTGATGGACGAGAGCCATGTGGTGAATCAGATCAAGGAGGACGTCTGCTTCGTGGCCGAGGACTTCAAGCAGGCCATGCGCGTGCATCAGTCGGAGGAGAGGCGGCGGGAGATATCGCTGGACTATGTCCTGCCGGACTTCACCACCGTGAAGCGCGGCTATGTCCGTGTGCCTGGGCAGCCGCGCGAGGACGAGGATCAGCAGCAGATGGTGCCGCTGTGCAACGAGCGCTTCACGGTGCCCGAGCTGCTCTTCAACCCGTCGGACATCGGGGTGCCGCAGGTGGGCATCCCGGAGGCGGTGGCCGATTGCCTGAAGGCCTGTCCCTGGGAGGCGCATCGCGAGCTGCTGCTCAACATTCTCATCGTGGGCGGCTGCGCCCAGTTTCCCGGCTTCCTGCCGCGCCTCAAGCGGGATTTGCGTGCTTTGGTGCCCGACGACCTGGAGGTCTCGCTCATCTGCCCCGAGGATCCGGTGCGCTACGCCTGGTACGGCGGCAAGGAGGTGGCCACCAGTCCCAACTTCGAGGAGTTCGTCTACACGCGCGACGACTACGAGGAGTACGGCTTCCAGGGAATCAATCAGCGATGAGCTTTCTTCACATAACACACACACAATAAACACAAGAATCGAAGGGTAATCTTTTGTAGAACATTCCTTGTCTATATTTTGAACTAGGGCTAGAAGCGGGTGGGTCACTTACCTAGCGCTACAACTAAAATTTAACTATAGAACACAACTTAACATTTAGAATTCGTTTGCGAAGTGAAATTTACAAAGAAAGAAAAAATGAGATACTAGCTTAGGCCGCGTACTGCATTTAAACTTGGTTAATTTAGGTCTGCGAGGCGGGTGCCGGCGGATCTCCTCCGGATCTCCATCGGTTTACATGCTGAACGATTCGCCGCAGCCGCAGGTGCCCTTGATGTTCGGATTGTTGAACACGAACTCGCTGGACAGCTTCGATTCCACAAAGTCCATCTCGGTGCCTTGGGAATAAATGGGAAATTGGTTTAAATGGGCTTTTGTTACACGGAGGATAATTACCCAACAGCGATAGCTGCGCCTTCTTGTCGATGAACACCTTGACGCCATCCTGGATCACCTCCTCGTCCAACTTGTCTGCTGGTAAATATGAGCAAAAGTTAGTTCTCCCCCGGGAAACTCCAAGTGCAGCGTGGCTTACCTTTTTGACTGGCATAGTCCAGTGTGTAGGAGAGTCCATTGCATCCCCGCTGGCGCACACCCACCTTCAAGCCAACCTGGGGGGAGGAAATACCGAATGATTATTATCTTATCTTGAATTGGAATAAAATTAATTTGATTAAGATGATGGAAAAGGGGTACCCCTTTTAAAGTTAACTAAATTGTATAATTTATTTGTTATTAATGCCATATTTTCCACTTTTAAATGTTTAAATACTCTAATATCTTTGTTCTGCTTTCAAATATTTAAGTCATAAACAAGCTAAATCTTAAATACGATGATAAAAAGGCTTATATCAAGACGTTTGTGCACTCAAGAAAAAGAAGAGATGGTCAAAATCTGCAGAATCTGGGTAGATAATCAGACAAAGACTTGTAAAGATTTTTATGTACATATATTTATTAGCTTATAACCGAAATACAGCATCTATAAAATGTTGCTATCTGAAAAAACGTATTGCAAATGCGCATTTAATTAATAATTTGTACCTCACATGCGGCTCCAAATTATTTTAGTAATTAATGTTATTTTTTTAGATTTTTATGTCAATCCGTTCTGGGTGAAATTCGCTACTGACCGTTTTTTAGAGGTCCAATTTTATAGTAGTTTAGATATGATCTTAGGGGAATTAAATATGCGCTATTTATGAAATGAAATATGACGGTTCGTCAGGACTAATGGACACTTGTAGTACTTAAGCCTTATATAATTATCGGTGGATGCCCTAAGACCCTTTTGGATTGATCTTACCGCTTTTAAGAGCTTAGGTTCTTGGATGGTAAACCTTCAAAGGGGCATTCCTATACCGATCCCCAGTAATCACACACTCACCATGTCCGGTTTGTCCTGCAGCAGGGTCTTGATGCGCAGCACCGCCGCTGGAGTCTGGAAAGGATTAGATTGGATTGGGGGATCAGAATCAGTGGGATTGGTGGAATGTTACTTCATCAGCTCAGCTGGCAGCTGCACGAGCCGATTTCACCAGATTATCGCTGCTCTTACCAACGTCAGAGCGGCCCGCGTCGGGATCAGCTTGCGACCCTTGACCGCCCGCACCGTCGCCGTTGCCACCACACGTGTTGCCATCGCTTCGCGAGCTTTATATAATTTGTTTTCCTCGACAATTTCCACAAAAAAATTCGAAAATACAATAGTTCTATTACCAGACGGTGATGACACTACTGTCGATAGTATCACGTGAGAGTATATCAGCTGCAGCTATCGATATGCCTGAGTCACGGGTTTGGGTGAAAACCGTGACTGGGTTTTTAGAAAATTACCACGATAATTTTGTTAGTTTAATATCTGTGGTAGAGTGGTTAAGTAAGCCATTAAAGTTTGTTATTTAAATAAGTAGTACAATTGATTTAAGTGAAATGACTCTAATTATATGCAAAAGAAAATCTCTGGGATTTTCACTTAATGTGCAAAAGAACGACTGTGTGTAAAGCTCCCTTTCTTTCTCAAATTAGTTTTCTTTTCTTTTAATTCTACATTTTTCTGTTAATTTTAGCTCATTTACGAAATTTGTAGAAGCTCCACTTGTAACTGGACAAGTCACTGTTCACAGTCGTGACATCGCATGGCCAAAAGTGCCATCCCTAAGCGCAACTGTATTTCACACTTCTGGTCGGAATTAAATAATATCAATAAAATCACGAAAATGTGCGCCCTACGGCAAGTGTACAAAACCAGCGTAGGCGTGGCACGACGTACCCTATTCGCGAGTGGCCGAATTACACAAATAGATGCTTTGAATCATCCGCACTTTCCGTTGCAATTGCAATATTTTGCAACCAAAACACAAACAGCTGTTTTGAAGAACAACAACAACTACACGTGCACTTGCCGCAGTTTGCACTGCAGCAAACCGGTGGTAAGTTTGTGAAATTTATATTAAATTCCCCAAGAAGCGCAAAAATACTTAAAAATTATTTCAAAGCTTGACTATCAAATTTTGGTAATATTTCTGTAAACAAAAATCGTTTTGATTTATAAATTTTTCATATTTATTAAAAATCTTTTAATGTATGCTATATGCCACTAAAATTTAATCAACTAAATTTTAAAATTCCATTATAATCATTTTGATAAAACAATTTACATGTAACAACATAAATATAAACAAAATGTATGGCTATTAAAATTAAAGTAACATTTTTCTTGGTGGTTTAATATTAACTACAAAGGCTAAAACGTATCTGACATGTACTATCATTTCAAGGTAAAATTTAAGGTCATCTGTTAAAGTAGAACATGATTTTTGTGGGGTACAAATACCAATCATTATCAAAAAAAAAACTCAACTTATGTATCAATTTTCTGCGCCTCCAGGAAGATGCGGAGAAGACGGTGGCCTCCAGCAGCGTTCCCCTGGCGAAACTAGAGTCCAAGATGCAGCTGATCTACACCTGCAAAGTGTGCCAGACGCGGAACATGAAGACCATTTCGAAGGTGGCCTACCAGCGCGGCGTCGTCATCGTGACCTGCGAGGGCTGCTCCAATCACCACCTGATCGCCGACAATCTCAACTGGTTCACCGATCTGGAGGGCAAGCGCAACATCGAGGAGATCCTGGCGGAGAAGGGCGAGAAGGTGGTTCGCCTGAGCGACGGCAACTGCGAGTTTCTGCCCAAAAGCGATTAAATTGTAATTAACTAAAAACATAGGCCACTTTATTGAGCAGCTCCAGCAGCTGGGCGAATAATTGGGCGGGCAGCTGGGTGCGCAGCTGCTGGGCGAACTGGCGACGAGCCGGAGATCCGGTGGTCAGCATCAGGTGGGTCACAAAGATGGCTTCGTTTAAGGGCAATTCCGGGATAGCCATTACAGGAACCTCTGCGCTCAGTTGCATTTCATCCAGGTCCAAATAAGGCAGCTGACGGCTCCAGTGGCCAGTTAGGTAGCTACTTAGGCTCCCGGCCAGACGCACATGCTCCAGACAGGCGCAGAACCTCATTTCCTGGGCGGGTTGCGCTACAAACAGGTAGATATTGTGCAGGAAGCCGGAACAGGCGGGTGTTCCGCCCTCCGTCAGCGTATCGCAGATCATGTGGCGCACTAGGTGGCAGTCCGAGTGGATCTCGCTTTCCCTGGACTCCCGAAAGAGGTGCAGCCACACCGGGAAGCCCACCAGCTGCATGGCGCGCTGCAGGGCGGTCTCCATGTGCTGGCGGCTGGACAGGCGGCCCAGCCGCTTCACCAAGCGGCGCATCTGCTGGAGATCGGGGCTGATGAGGTCGCTGCAGCAGAGCGACTCCGTCTGGCGCAACTCGCTCCAGTCCAGGTCACGGATCACACTCCAGGCGGGCTGAATCTCGGCGAGAGTGCGGTGCATTAGATGCAGCAGCGGCGCATGGGCCTCCCCTTTCCTTGTCCGCACAATACTCGTGCACAGCTCCCGGATGCACTGCCTCCGATCCTCCGGAGCGGAGCAGCCCGCAAAGAAGCCACTGGAATCGCAGCGATCGGCCAGCGATTCTCCGAAGCGATCGTAGCACTCGAACAGGTAGAGGTAAGCCTTCAGCAAGGATTCTATCAGGGATTGGCTGAGCCGCAGGTGGCGCTGCTGGGAGCGCATCTCCTCCTGGCACCCCTGCAGCCACGTGAGCAGCTTGAGGCACTGCGGCGCCACATCCTCCAGTCCAGTTTCCTTGGCCAAAATCAGCTCCTTCCTGATAAACAAATCCATATGATGTGACCACAATCGATAGCAGCGATCGGTTTGCTAACTCAGGCTATCGATAAATAGTCAACAAATCATCGATACATAAGGATAGTATCGAACTATTTAAAATATGAATTATTAATTAATTATCAATGATTGTATTTAAAATACAGAACCGTATAAATAAAGCTGCTTATCCCCCCCTTCCAATTAAGTCATTTCCGCAAATGTATTTTGATAAATGAGCTTACTCTTACTTTATTCCACATTCTTTAAGTTACATCTGCGGCTCATTATTCCAAAGGTAAACATAAAATGCATAACATAAGGACTTATCTCTTACATCGAAATACTTTAATCCATTTAATTATTTCCGCTGCCTCCCCGTCTCATCTTCGGTAAATTCACTTAAGTAAACAAGAAATCTGTTTATGTGCATTTGCATTTGCGTTCTATAGACTACGTTTAATCCTTTGCTATTCGGTTTCGTGTTTAGGTAAATAAAAATATGTCAAATTGTGTATGTTTTTTTATATAAATCCTTTTGTTTTAATGAAAATGTGCAAAACGACAGGGATAGATTCCGAGAAAATATATAATAGGGATGAGTTACGCAGACAAATTTAAATCGAATATGCTGTTTCGCGTTTGTATCTTATTTTTTTTTTGTAGGTTTCCTTAGACTTTTTTCCGTTTTCTTTTGAAAATTTAAGAAAATATATATTGTATATATATAGGCGCGAAAATTAATAATTAATTCAACATTTTTATATATACTATATAACTATATGTACTGTGTATGTATGCAGTTTCTGTTGCCGCTATCGCAAATTAGCAGTGGCTGTTCTGTTCTGTTCAAATCAATTATGCATTTCTCGTCGTGTCGCCCGTGAATTGGGCGAACTAGGAATAGAGTTGCGTCCATGGGTTCCTGGCTGCTTGGTTGGCTGGCCTCGCTGGAGGCTGGAGGACCGAAAGCCACTGATGTTCCCGCTTAGGCGAAGCCAAAGCCCTCGGAGCACTCGTGTATGGCCTTCAGCAAGCAGCTCCGCAGTTTGTCGTATGACTTGTACATCGGAAGATCCAGTTGGTTGAAGCTGCAGGCAGAAATGGGATTTTTTATTAGTTGAGGTATAAATATAAATGGAGTAATTTAAAATAAGTTTCGAGTTCGAAAGCCTTAGAATAAGAGCTTGAAAATTATCGATATTTTCGATATTTTCACAAAATTTATTCGATAATATCGATAAATTAAAGGAAAAACATATATTAAACATAAAGAAATATCAAACTTTCGATATATTTACTCACCAGGTGTGTGCACAGGGCAATCGATCAGTGGACCGATCGTCCCGATGGATTTGGAACTTCTGAATCCCGTTCATGCCCTCCAGGGAGCCGAAGCCCTGCAGCGGCACCTTCGATGTGCCAGTGACGAACTGCAGGAACTTGGCCCGGTCCGCTTGGTCGAAGCTGCGCAATGCACGCCAGAACCATTGAATCTGTTGGATGGATGGATGGATGGATAAGGCATGGTTTAGAGCGGGATGGCAGGAGGATTAGGCTAAAGATCTCACCTGGGCCGATTTGGAGGTGTACTTGTGGTACTCGGTGTTCGCCTTTAGATCTTCAATGTCAATATCCGGCAGGCCGGATATGAGAAGTTCCAGTTCCTGTTCGTTGAATATCGAAATTAAATGCTTTGGAATAATGTCGTAGAAGCCCTCGAGGAATGCGTCCAATCTGGTGGGGATTCAATGTCACGGTCATAAAAGGAAAATGATTACGGATCTTCGTTAACTTACTGCTGTCGAATGGAGCCGCTCATCTTCAGCTGGCACACCAGCTGCACATACTCGAACTTGTTTTCCTCGGTCACCGCGGTGTCGCGTCCGTTTGGCTTGAGATCACGGATCTGGGTGACACCGAACTCCTGCACCTCCGTGGAGAAGGTCAGCTCGTAGCCCAGGGTGGAGATGTCGTTCTTCATCAGATAGTCGAGGCCCTTGTAGAACTCGTAGTCCTGCGACTCCATGTCCGTGTGCTTCACCTGCTTGCCCAGGATGTGCTTGTAGAAGGATCGGGTGAAGTAGCACTCCAGCAGCTTGTTATCGTGCACGGCCTTGGCTGTTTAGGTGAATCAAAAGGGGTTATTAAACTCTCATGCAAGACGATCATCTGAGAACATGCTCACCAATTACGCGGCCGACGAACTTGAAGTAGCTCAGATGATTCGGATTGGCATGGCTGGAGGGATTGATCATGTAGGTGACGCGATCGCCCGGCGATACGCAGAACAAGGCATACATCGGATTGAAGATCTCGCGCGATATGATCACATACCATTCGCGCAGCAGGCCGCCAGCATCCTGGCCTTCCTCGTCTGCAAAAAAAATCAAAAAGTTAAAAAAAAACATATGTATTTTTACTTAAAATCCTGAGCCCGATTTTCCAGCCAAAAAGAATCAGTATTTTGGCCAAAAGAAATGAAATAATTGCCCAAATTTGGAATGTCATACCTTTCTGAACTCGTTATTAAATTTCCTAACGATTGGCATTTAAACCTGGACATTTTATTTATTTTTAATTTTTCGCAAAAAATCATGGGGTACCCCCTTACAAAAAAATTAAAAATTGGCGAAAATTTTATTTTTCCAAAATCACACGGGAAGTGTTATGATAATAATGATAATTTGGTTATCTGTTCAAAACAGTATGCATTTTTGGTTTAGGACCATTTTTGGCCAAGTTACAGCAAAAAAACCAAAAGAAAAAATTCCAATTTTTGTCAAAAACTGAAATCCCGAATATCCAAAAAAAAAACTAAACGGGTTTTTTCGCTAAAACAAAAAAAATACTGATTCAAAGTATGGATTGTCATACCTTTCTGAACTCGTTATTAAATTTCCAATCGATTGGCATTTAAACCTGGACATTTTATTTTTTGGCCTTTTTTTTGTAAAAAATCATGATGTAAACCCTTATAAAAAATGGGAAAATTGGCGGTTTTCTTAAAAATCACAGTTCATACGGACAAACAACAATGGCTAAAATCCTGATCAAGAATACATGCGTCGAAAACGCTTCCTTCTACCTGTTACATACTTTTTCACGGATACAATATATAAATAATATAGAATAAAGCAAGGTAGCATTCAAATTAGTAGCGTGAACAACCCAACACTAGAAATTCCCCTTCTTTTGGCCCCAAACTCACCCTCGAAGACAATGTAGAAGCGGTTCTTCCACTCCTCCGGTCCCAGGCGGTACAACACGCGGAACGAATCCTCGAAGACGGTCACGCGCCGCACACTGACCGTGTGCTCCTCGCGCCGAATGCCCTCGTCCAGGCGCTCCAGCTCCGTCTGGAAGTACTTCCGCTTGACGTCAAAGTCCAGGATGCGCGTGTGGTCGACGAGAACGGCGAAGGGTCCGTCGGAGAGATGAGTGGGCGACTGGCGCAGTATTTGGTTGAGCACGGTGCGGTGTTTCTCGGCGAACTGCAGGAACTTCTGGCGATCCTGTCGCAGCTGCGCCTCGTGTGCGCTCAGCACAGTGGTGGCGGCGGAGCTGTTGCTCGAAAGCGGCGTGTTTGTGGAGGCGTCCTGCATTCGCGGCTCATCTGAAAAATGATTTATTGTCAGTAAATTACGTATCAATGGATAGAATATCCCCAAACTCACCTTCGAAACTGGCCGAACTAAGGGTATTGGCGCTGCTGGTGTCGTCCATCGATGGACTGTGCTCCTGGGCCGCCGACGCAGCTGCTCCCAATCCTCCAGCTGCCCGCAGTCCGGAGCCCACAACTCCGCCGCGACCCGACTTCTTAGCCCCCGCGCGATGCGAGGCGTGGATGAGGAAGAAGGCCTCCACGGTGGGCTGCAGCACCAGGACGGCGAACTCGTCCTTGGACTCCTCCAGCGCCACCAGGCATTCGCTGAGCGTGTGCCAAAGGACGTCGAGGCAGAGGATCTGGCTGAGCGTGGGCTTGCTTGACTTGCCAGCACTTGCCGCCGCTGGCGATGCCCTGGCCGCATCATCATCGTCCTCCTCCTCCTCCCCATCCTCATCCTCCTCCTCATCGTTAATGTTCTGATTGGTTTCCATCGGTGGCGGCGGCGGCGGAGATATTGTGCTCGCCGAACCGGGCGCCATATCCGAACTGCTGCCGCCCGAAGCTCCGCCATCGCCCTCAATGTCGATGATGTCGTCATCGTTGTCGCCAGCTGCTCCAGCCAAACCACCGCCCGTGGATAAACCATTCTGCGCCTCGTACATGTCGCGCACCTGCATGAAGATCTTCAGGGTGCGCAGGAAGTACGGCTGGGCGGATGAGTTGGACATAAGCTTCTTCATCGACGGCAGCTGGAGTTCGCAGGTGGGCTTGGCGTTCTTCGGCGCCGAAATGATGACATGCTCGGCGGTGAAGCGATCCTGCATGATGCCCTCGTGAACGGCGAGGTTAGGCAGCAGACTGGCTCCTGAAACGGTGGCTCCCGCTGCCGCTGCTCCGGATGTGGAGGCCGTCACTCCATGATGACTGTTGTACATGCGTATCTCATTCAGCAGCATCTGTATCGCCTGGCGCACCTCCTCGGCCAATCCCAGGATGGCAGCGGTCAGGTACTGAATGAAAATCGCATTGGATGCCTGCGAGCACTGCGTTAGATTCACAATCAGCTTGGCCACGTTGTCCAGGCCCTCGGTGGTGCCGCACTGGTGGGTCAGCACCTCGATGACCAGCTGCAGTTGCGAGAAGTTCTTCGAGTAGATCTTGCGCCGCGGCTTCGACGGAGCAACTGGCAGGGCTACACTCAATGTGGGCAGCTGTGTTCGCTTGGCAGCCGCATTGCTGTCACCGGAGGCTGGATTACCGCTGGCCGGCGTGGCTTCCTGCTCCACATTTGCGGCCAGTCCGTCACCAATCTCTGATGGATTCGCTGGGGAATCTGCTGCCGCTGCCGCCGCCTGATTAATGGGTATCAGGGTGGGCATTTGATCGCTCAGCGGCAACTGTTCCTCCTCCTTGGGCAACTCGGTGCTCAGCGAGGCGAGCAACTTGACCAGCATATCGGTGAGATGTGGCGACCGGCAGATGACCTTGTAGGGCAGCATTTCCAGCAGCTGTCCGAAAGGCGAATCGCTGAACGACAGGAAGTCGGCGCTGTTCGCTTGCCATTCCCAAGCTGGCTGCGAGGTGAGTGGAAACTGGGCCACATTGGCCAAACGCACTTGGGTCTGTCGATCGATGTTGAGCACCACATCCCAGAAATTCTTCGCATTCGTTTGATACGGCACCGACTGACTGCTCTGACTCGAAACCTTAGCCGTGGCAGCTGCCTTGGCAGCAGCCGCCTTCGATGTGGAGGGTGCCTCATCCAGGGGAGTTGCACTTTGGGGTTTCGGGGCCGCCGCCGGATGATCGTCGAGTATGCCGCGCAGTCGATTGGCCACCTGGTAGCGGCAGAAACGCGAGCGAAAGTCCAGAGTTCCGCCGGGCGGTGGAAAGTCATCTATATTGCGTGCAGGAGCTCCAGCTCCAGCAGTAGAAGCACCACCCGTGGGCGATGGCATGCCAAATACCGCACTCAGTATGCGCCTGGCCTTCACCTCGCGGTTGAAGGGCACAAAGCTGGACGGATAGTGCTTGGCCAGCACGAAGAGCAGATCCAGACAGTTGCGCACTATCATCTGTGCGGCCTGCGGATTGATGCTGATGCTCCGCGCACTGCCCTCGTACAGCCGATTGATGAGGAAGATGTTGCTCTTGTAGCCAAAGGCGGCGTCCACGCGCAGCTTCAGCCACTCCGGTTTGCCGCCCGCCTGTCCAGCTCCAAAGTTGGCGTTATCCTCGTTGGTCTTTTGGACGATGCTAATCAGAGCGCTGATGATCCAATCGCGCGTGGGTTCGTGGTGGCAAAGGTTGCGAATCACACGATGCAGCCGCATGCTGTTCACCTTCTGATCCTCGACGAACAGGAAGAGCAGCAGGGTGGCCAGCGAGTCCGGATCGAGCAGGATGTTCTCGTCCTCCATCATCAGCAGGGCTAGGGGTTTGCCCATCGTGGGGGCGTGATGTGCGTGGGCATGGTGGTGCACAATCGTGGTGTGCTGGTGGTGCTGCGGCTGGGCATTGCCGCTGGCGTCGTACCAAATGGAGCTGTGCCAGCGGGCCTCGTCCAGGCTCTGCAGCGTCGTCTGGAAGCGGGCTGTTTACGAATAAAGAGAATTATTAAGATACATATTATATATATTTATTTGCGATTTTTTCTATAAAAACTGGTTGGATAGATTTAATTCAAACCTTTTGTATATTATTAGGTGTAATTTAAATAACATTCACTAATTTTTATAGCCGATACTATCGGCTAATATATCGGTGGCAATGCAATTGCTGGAACACAATGAAAAAAAAGCCGTTTTGCGGTGTTCACTGTACCTCCGCTAAAAATGATCGGATTTCCATTTTGTTCTTACATTTCGCTTAAGAATTAAAAGCCCTTTTTTATTTTTAAGAATTTTTTCTATTTTCCAAAGTCAAAAATGCGTTTTTAACCTAAAAAATTTAACTTTCGGCTTTAAAAAAAATATTTAAAGTTAAAAAATAAAAAAAATGCTTGCCAGTGGGCGGGTTTTTTTTAAGCACAAAAATATGCGACCAATTTGAAAACGATCGGTTGAGCCGTTTAGAAATGCCGATGAACACGGACCTTCAAAACGTGGTTTCGAGAAAAACGCACTTAAAGATGCACTTACGTACCTAAAGTTTTAGAGGTTGGGGTACTAATTAAGTTAATAAAGTTTTTGTCCGATTTACTTAAAACTTTTTTTGTATAATCTTAAGATGTTAATCTACAAGAAAAAATGTAAAAAAAAAATCCCACCCCCCTAAGATATTAAAAATTGCAGCACTTACACAACGCATTGCTGGGCGGATGGGCGTCCATGCGGGCGCCATTGCGGGACTCCCAGTCGCGACGCAGGAACTGCGCCTCCGCCGCCAACTCGGGCGGCAAACTGGCTATCTGCGACTCCTCCATGTCGGTGAGTATCTGCAAAATATACGGATTAATTAATTTAGTTCGGGGGAATTCCTTAAATCATTTATAAACTCCCACCGCTTGCCGCAGATTCTCGGGCAGGTTCTGAAAGAAGGCGGCCGTGTCGACGGGATCCTCGGGATTCGCGGTCTGCGCCGCCTGGCGCTGCTGCTCGATCCGCTGCTGCATCAGCACCTCGGACTGAATGTTCAGCGGCAGGGCGGCGAGGAACTCGGGATTCACCTCGACGAGCGAATCGTGCGCAATCTGAATGGCATTCTGCTGCGCCCGCTGGCGAATGCGCTGCATCCGCAGATGCTCCTGGATCACCTCCTCGCGCATCTCGCTGGGCAGGGCGGCCAGGAAGGAGGGATCCACGCCCTCGGGCACCTCCAGATCCCCGAGAGCGGCCCGCACCTCGGGACTCATGTCCGTTACGGTGGCTGCTGTCGTTGTTGCTGTTGCTGTTGTTCCACCTACAGCGGATTCTTCTGCGGTTGCCGGGGTTTGTGTGCTAGCCGAGGCAGCTCCTCCTGCTCCCCCTGCTCCTCCTTCGCCGGATTCTGCTGCTGGGGGAGGAGCCTGCGGGTTCGGGGAAACAGATTCGCTGCTCTCCGGCGTCTGATCCGATTGGTTTGACTCGTTTGCAGCCTCGCTGCTGCCGGCAACTGCCACTGTGGAAGTGGAATCCTCCTCCTCCTCTCTTGTCCCTTGCCACATATCCTCCTCGGTGAGGAGCAAGGGCGCCGTTTCACTGGGCGGCGGCGGAGGTGGCGGTGGTAGCAACAGCTGTTCCTCCTCCTCCTCCTGCTGCTGCGCTTCCTGCTGCTCCTGCTGCTGCTGCGGCAGTATGCGATCCAGTATTCCAGGCAGCACATCCACATCAACCTCCAGGGAAGGTGGCAATGCAAAGTTCCTGTCTGGGCCCACAACATCCGGGCCGGCGGGCGTGACATTCAGCTGCTCCAGCGCCGCACTGGACATGGGCGTGGGCATGGAGACGAGCGTCGGAGCCGGCGTGCTGGCGGCGGATGCATTGATGCGACTGGAAAGGGAGCCATGTGCCTGGACGAGGCGCTGCAGGCGGGCGGGTAGATCGCGATTGGGCCGAGCGTTGATCAGCGCCGATCCCGAGGTGCGCGAGGAATTCGTGTGACCGCTGGACACTTGCAGGCGACTGCGAACAGCCTGGCGATCGGCCAACTAGAGGGTGAAAATGAGGGTTTTAATATATATATTTTGAAATGTGTCAAAATCTGCTCAAGAATTACCTGCAACAGAAGCAGCTCCGCCTCGTCGAGACGCGAGTGAGGTCGCGAAGGCCTTCCACTGGACGGCAGGAGCGGCACCGGTGGATGACGCTGATGCTGAAGGACCGCCCCCTGCGCCAACGAAGGAGCGGAGGAGTTTTGCTGCTGCTGCTGCTGCTGCGGCTGCTGTGCCTGTGATTCCGCTCCATCGTTTGGAGCAGAGCCCGTTGACGTGGCGCCCTGGCTATCCTGTTCGTTGGTCAGATCGATCTCCGCGTAGATGTTGAAGGGCAGCTGGCTGTGCTGGCGCAATCCACCGCGTTGCCGAGGCGCTCGAGTCGTCGTCTGCGACTCCAAGGAGCCACTGCCGCTAATGGATGCTACAAAAATAAATTTATTTATTTATTTATATAAAGCAAACTTAAAGTTAAAACTATAAGCTAACTAAGATTAAGAGCTCTAGCAGCTAAAGCCTTCAGCTCGTCTGAGGTATCGAATTAGTTACATTTTTATTTTATAATTGTGGATTTACTTTTTGAGCTTACAAAAATAAATTAAAATCAGTACATTGTTAATAGAGGTGGAGAAAACATCGATGTTCCCAAAAATTTATATTTCTAATTGTTAAGCTAACGTTTGTGGGAAAGAAAGTACTCACTGGTTGTGTAGGAACTGCTGCTGGTGGTTCCTCCCGTTGTGGCCGTGGCATCGCCAGTGGTTGCACTACCAGGACCGCCGAAGCTCGAGGGAATCAGCACGGGAATCGAGCTGCGCCGGGTGCCTCCCGTGGCGGAGGCTGCCACCGGTGGCACCACCAATCCGCTGCCGCTGCTGCTGCTGCCGCCTGAGCCCGCGGCCACGGCATTCGCCAGTAGACTGGACGCAATGGAGGCCGTCGCTGTTGGGGCCGCTGTGTTCGATAGGATGGAGGTCGCCGGAGCTCCGGCCGAAGACGAAGCCGATGATGCAGGTGTTGTGGTGTTCGTGGCCGTCTGGCGGGCGGCCTCCTCCTGCTTGCGCTGCTGGTGGGCCGTCTTCAGCTCCTTGATGAGATGCGGCAGCAGGAAGTGAGCGGCGTACAGGCAGGCGTCAGTCTGGCTCTCCATATCCAAGACCGTGGCCTCCTCCAGCCACCAATGCAGAGCTACAAGGAAAAAACAAGATCATTAGAAAGCTAGCTTCAATCAGCCGAAGCTTATATACCCTTGCAGATCATTCCTATTAATTTAGAAATCGCAAAAATGTTAAACTTCGTATTATTTTGACATTATTTTTGTATTCTTCCTAATAAAGTCATCCAATTATTGTTTAATTTATTTCGAAATTCGGAAATAATAAAAAAAATAATCATATCCCAGAGTAGAAGAGAATACAATAAAAACCAACGAAGCTATAATTTATTCTCTATTATTTTCCCATTAATGTTTCGATCATTCCTATGGGAGCTTTATGATATATTTGTCCGATTTTAATAAAATTTAATTCGAAATTTAGAATTAGATAAAAAATGGTATTTCCAAAAGTAGGAGGTTATGTCAAAAGACACCGAAGCTTTAATTTTTAAACATTTTTATACCCTTGCAGAGGGTATTATGATTTCAGTCAGAAGTTTGCAACGCAGTGAAGGAGACGTTTCCGACCCCATAAAGTATATATATTCTTGATCAGCATCACAAGACGAGTCGATCTAGCCATGTCCGTCTGTCCGTCTGTCCGTCTGTCCGTCTGTCCGTCTGTCCGTCTGTCCGTCTGTCCGTCCGTCTGTCCGTCTGTCCGTCTGTCCGTCTGTCTGTTTCTACGCAAACTAGTCTCTCAGTTTTTGAGCTATCGGGATGAAACTTTCCCAAAAGTCTTCTTTCTATTGCAGGTAGTATATATGTCGGAGCCGACCGGATCGGACAACTATATCTTATAGCTCCCATAGGAACAATCGGAAAAAAAAACTTTAAAAAATTCTAGCTTCGGTGTTTTTTGAAATATCACCTTCTACTTTTGGGGATGTTATTTTTTAAATATTATTGAATTTCGAATTAATTATTTAAATAATCGGACTACTATATCATATAGCTGCCATAGGAACGATCGGAAAATTAATGGAAAAGTAATAGGAAATAAATTCTAGCTTCTTTGGTTTTTATTGTATTATCTTCTACTCTAGGATATGACTCTTTTTAAATATTTCCGAATTTCAATTTTAATTTAATCAAAATCGGACGACTATATCATATAGCTGCCATAGGAACGATCGGAAAATTAATGAGAAATATTAGAAAATTGAACATTTTTGCGATTTGTTAATTAATAGGAATGATCTGCAAGGGTATATAAGCTTCGGCTGGCCGAAGCTAGCTTCCTTTCTTGTTTTCCGATCATTCCTATGGGAGCTATAAGATATAGTTGTCCGATCCGGCTGATTCCGACTTATATACTACCTGCAACAAAAAGAAGACTTTTGGGAAAGTTTCAAAGCGATAGCTTTAAAACTGAGAGACTAGTTTGCGTAGAAACAGACGGACAAACGGACATACGGACAGATATACGGACAGACGGACGGACATGGCTAGATCGACTGGTTTAATGACGCTAATCAAGAAATATATTCTTTATGGGGTCGGAAACCTCTTCTTCACTTCTGACTGAAATCATTATTATATCCCCTGCAAGGTTATCCAAAAGAAACCCCTCGAATACTCACCATCCTGGGTGAACGTCTCCATCTGGGTCTCTTCCGTGGGATTCTGATGCGTGGGCATGCAGACGCAGTACTGCTGGTCCAAATAGAGCAACCGCCGGCGCACTCCGTTGGCGCAGAGCGTGGCATTCGGATGCTGTCCTGCGGTACCGCCGCCATTGGCTCCTCCTCCACCGCTGACGCCGCCGTTACCAGAGGCGGAACCTCCGCCACTTCCTCCTCCTCCGCCGCCGTTGCCACTGACCGACGGTTGTTCGTCCAGCAGATTGCTCATGTTTTGGCCACTGCCCGAGGCGCCACCACTGCGTTCCAGCTGCGACATGGCGGGCGTGAGGAAGGCGTTCACCTCGCCCCCGTTGGCATTGCTCCCTGAGGCGCCTCCAGAGCCACTGGCTCCTCCACCGCCCGAGACTCCAATGAAATTAAAGTCCGGCGCCATCCAAGAACCGGACGAGGGACGCAAGGCAGCGGAGGCAATGGCTCCAATACTGGCCGTTGTTCCGCCCGACGAGGAGCCTCTTCCGGATCCACCGGCCGTTCCAGTGACGCCTGCTCCGGATCCACCAGATCCACCACCGCCATTTCCGCCATTCACATCAATGTCCAGGGGCTGGGCAATCGAGCTGTTCATGCGGACGCGGAAACCCACCGGTGGCGTGGGCATCAGGCCGCTGCCCAGTCGCTCGTACAGATAGGCCTCCGCCTGGGCAGCCGAGGGGCCGCCAATGGGGTCCACATCGGGATCTCCATCGGGATCGGCGTCCACATCGTCGTCCTCGTCGTCCACCTCCTCGTCGGGATTGGGATCTCGATTGGCGGACGCATCGCCCGAAGCATTAACCGCTGCACTGCGTCGCGGACGATTGTTGGACGAAACCAAGGCGAGGGCAATGTCTATTTGGTTCTCCAACTCGGCATCCATGACACTCTGGCCCTCCTCGCGATCCTCATCGTCGTTATCCTCGTCATCATCATCGTCGTCGTCCACATCGTCCTCATCCTCGTCATCATCGTCGTCGTTATCCACATCCGCATCATTGGAAGCGGTTTCCGAGGATTCCGGTTCGTAGATGTGATCAAAGACCTCGATAAATTGACGTGGCCTTTCCTCATCCACATCCGTTTCGCTATGCTCGTCCACATCTTCATCGGGGGCATCGTCATCCTCGTCCTCGTCCTCCTCATTCCGCTCGTCGTTCTCCGTGGAGGCATCCGAATCGGATTCCGAGGTGCTGACATCGCCCAGCAGCGAGGCATTCAAATCGCGACGTTCGCCGCCCGGAGCTCCAGTGTCCGAGGATGTGGAGGCGCCATCGCTGCCGCCGCCGCCGCCAATTCCATTATCGTTTACCACACCCGAATTGGATGACTGACCACCGCCATTTCCACCGCCGCCCACATCCACATCGGGATTGGTGCGCAGGCGAGGATCTCCGCTGACTGAATTGCTGCCGGAGTTTGCAGAGCCACCAGTGGCATTGCCACCGTTTTGCTGACCCGTTGAGCCTGCTCCTGTGGATCCTGCTCCAGATCCCGCGCCTCCGCCGCTCCGCGAGGCCAATCGCAGTCCCTCGCTCTGCAGGAAGTCGTCCCACAGCTGGTCAAAGTTCAGAACTGGCCGCACGGGACCTCCACTGGTTGAAGATTGAACTGCGCCCGTTCCAGATCCGGAGTTTACATTACCTGGGGGATCGCTGGTATCCCCGCCATTGCTGCGCTCCTCCACCACATCGATGACGGCTGCTCCTGATCCTCCTGCTCCTATTCCGCCTGCTCCCGATCCATTACCACCCACCGCCGGGGCAGCCGAGTCCTCCGAGTCCACGGCCATCTCGTCCGAGTTGAAGATAAACTCAAAGGCGTGCCGCCGATCGGAGAGCACATTGCGTATAATGTCGCGCAGCACATGCTCGCCACCCATCGCATTGGATCGCTCCACGGCCGCACTGACTGCGGTGCGGGCGGCCAAACGAGGATATAGCCGACGATTGATGATGGTTCCATATGTATTGCCCGATCCCGGGCCAGTTCCACTGCCTCCTCCGACAGCACTGTTCCCGCTCCCTGCTCCATTTGCTCCGCCAGCTCCTCCGCCGCCGCCGCCAAAGAGAATCCTCTTCGATCCGAGCGTTGTGGTGGACACACTAAACCTCAGCAAGATCTCCATGGGTCGCAGGATGGCCGCCAGAGTGCTCAGCGTGTTGTGATTGGACAGATCCTTGTACTGGGCCACCTTGGTCAGGTAGGTCATCACTCCCTGGCGCAGCAGCACTCGGTACATGTTGTTGCGATGCATGTGCACCTTATCGTACAGCATCGGCGACTCGATGAGATTGGGAAACAGGCTCATCAGCACCTGGAGTCGCGTGTGCTTCTCCGCCGAGTCCGGTTGGGCCAAAGCCCTGGCCACCGCCGCGTGCAGCTCCTCGGCCACATGGACCTGGACTCCCGGCTGCTGGTAGCAGTCAGAAAGGGAGCAAATGAGCACCCTCGTCATCGTGCTCACCTCGGGCACATGATGCCGCTGCGTGATGGGCAGAAAGCGATCGAGGAGGACGCCCAGGAACGTCTGCTGCGGCGCCGAGATCAGCGGACTGTCGGCGGGCGTGTAAATGTGGGATAGCAGCACGCGGGGCACTAAAGACTGATAGGCCCTCGTTGAATCCGCCAGCAGCTTGAGCAGCGTCGCCCGCGAAATGGTCGGCTTGGCGTGCGTGTGGCCGCTGGTCGGGATGTGCCACGTGCAGCAGCAGGGCTCGAACTTCTCCGTCGTCTGTGGCTGCCCAGCAGATGCTCCTCCTCCTGAGGATTGCTTCTTGCTGCTCGCAGGTGCGGGGGTTTCCTGGAAGCGGAAATACAACTGAATAGAATAATATATAAATAATATATATTAAATTAAAACCGAAAATTCGCAAATTAAATTAAGTTAAGTTATGTATGATCCACAAAAACACATCCTCTTGTTCTTAAGAATTCGCGGTCTTTGAAAAGTCGATATAGAATATATCTTACGGTTTCTTTAATTAAGTTATGTATGATCCACACAAAAAAATCCTCTTGCTCCTAAGAATTCGAGGTTTTATAAAAAAAAACGATAAATATAGGGAGCTTATAAAGATTATATATTGACTATATATTGACTATGCATATATGTATATGCAACCCGCGAATTCTTAAGAGCATGAGAATCTTAAAATAAGAACAATTTTTGTAGTTTTAGGGCGATCTTTGTTTGTCGATATAGAATATATCTTACGGTTTCTTTAATTAACTTATGTATGATCCACACAAATAAATCCTCTTGTTCCTAAGAATTCGCGGTTTAAAGATTATAAAGAAAATATATTGTCTATATATGTATTTTTAACCCGTAAATTCTTAGGAACATGAGGATCTTAAAATAATAACAATTTTTGTAGTTGTAGGGCGATTCTTCAAACCCGCGAATTCTTCAGAACAGAAGGATCTTCAGATTGTTTGGACCGTTCCCTTCTTAGCTGAAGCACTATTTCTTATACTTGGCTCTATAATTATCGATTCTTCAAAAACCGCGAATTCTTAGGATCAAGAGGATTAAAATTGAAAATAAGACTTATTTTCAAATTTTTTTTATAAAAATTATATTATATTTGAAAAATCATAAGAATTACGATCCCTGATATATAACTCACCTCCTCGTCGTGGCCTCCCTGGGCGGCCGTTCCCGGTGGCTGGTCCGGTTGCAGCAGCTCGGCGGCGCCAGGGCCGCGATCCAAGGATCCCGTGCCGCCGTAGTGCCAGCAGGGCTGCACCAATCCATGCAGTAGATCCTTAAGCACAGCCACCGATGACTGAACCTGGGGATCGTCCTTGAGCTGCTCATCCGGCGGCGTGGACGTCTGCGAATTTGGCGTGGCTCCGCCAGCCGCTGCCGTCGGTTGTTGACCAAACTTGGACTTGACCATCACCCGCGCATCGTCCGCCAGCGTCGTGCTGTTCGTGTTCAGGAGGTACTCTCCCTTGAGCATCTCCTTGGCGGCGGCCACAAAGATCTGCGGATTGCGCGAAACCGCTGAGGATACCTGGGTGAGTACATAGATTAGATCCCGATGCCCCACGGGCACAATGCCGGCTGCCCGCATGCCCAGCACTCGTTCCATGGCCTCCTGCAGCACCGGCGGCGCCTCGAGCACGTGACGCAGTATGATATTCGCATAGGTGGGGAAGCCCATGAAGCTGCAGGCCTGCTGCAGATGCAGCAGCATCTTAACGCCGCCCCGCCGGATGAACACCTGGGCATTGTCGTAGTTTCGGGTTAATCTTGCACACAGCCGCAGCAGCGAAAGCTTCGTTTCGTTGAGCATGAGATGCGAAGGCTGCAGGAGATCCACAATGCTGCCAATTATCCGACCGCAGTCGAATTTACTCAGTCCCACCTGCTCCTCGTTGAGTATGATCTTCTGGGTGCGTTTGGGTATGGGCGGTGAGCCATGCGACGAGGATTTCTTCTGGGCAGCGGCTGCAGCGGCGGCGCTCTTTTGCCGCGACTTGCTGCGCGTGGTCATGGCGGCCAGAGGAGATCCACTATCTTCATTTGTTCCCTCTTCATTCGCCGGGTTCTCCTGCGGCTGCTGACCATCCGAAAAGTTGATCAGCTGGCGCAGGGAAATCAATTCGTCGGAATGCACGGTTCCCGAGCCATCGGGTGAGGTTCGCACCACGCGGTTCAGCAGATGCTCCACTTTGTGCAGCGACACGGGACTGTTGAGCGCAGTGATGGCTTCACTGAGCTTGAGAGCCGGACAAACAGGACGATGTGTGCCGGATGCCTCGCTCACCTGCGTCATGCAGTTCAGGCTCACCGTACACCTTTGCCTGCCGATGTTAATGTGCAGCCACCGCTCGCCGGCGGCATAGGCATTCCGAATGAGCTCATTGTTGGCCTCCGAATAGGCATTCCACTTGCCCGTGGAGGCGTCGTACCAGCGCCACACCTCGCTGCTCACCGCCCGCATGTTGGCCTTGCGCTGCAGAATGTGGCTGATGCTGTCGATCGAATCGATTAGATCCACCAGGTTCTGCACCCATCGGGGGACCGTAGCCCTAGAATCCACTGATTGCTCCAGCATCCACTGGCTCATGCAGTCGAGCAGCTTGACCAGCGACACCATGGCATCCTGGGCGGTTATTGCCTCCACCAGCGGACGATGCAAATCACTGTAGTTCTCCTCGAGCAGCCGCGTCGATGTCTTGAGCCGCACAAACAACCGGGTGGCCGTCAATCCCGTCAAGCATTCCTCCAACCGCGAAGCCTTCGACGCTGCCGTTTTCGATGGTTCAAAGAGCTGCAGGGTAAAGTCCACCCACTGGATAATGTTGCGCACAAAGTTGGTCACAAAGACCTGCTTGTTCAGGTGATTGTGGCGTCTATACAGCACGGCTATCAGATCTGCGGCACTGTTCACCGTATCCGGAATGGCCTCCATGAACTCAAAGGCCCGCGAAATGGCCTCGTCGCAGAAGCGATCGAAGATGATCGACGGCATCAGTTTGAGGTGCTTGTAGTCATAGCTGGAGTTCGCCGAACTAGAGCTAGATTTCTCTCCCCCATCCGCTGGCAAATCCATGTCAATGTCCATGGTGGAAGGCGGTGGCGGTGGCGGCGGCGGAGGAGCAGCAGAACCACCAGTCGTTGTGGACAAAGCACTGGCTTCTGGGTTATTCAGCAGATAATCGGTGGCCTCCTCCAGCGAGGCATTCGTGCGGAGAGCCTCAATAACGTGGTAATGCATGAAGCCCATGTCCGTCAGCGTCTTGATGTGATCCGCATTTAGGCCATCGTCCGTGCTGCGGATGTAGAGGTTCTCGAACTTGATCTCCTTCATCCGCGTGTGATAGCGATCGAGCAGCGTTTGATGCGACTTGATCAGATGCTTCAGGATCAGTATCATGGTCTCGAACATACTGGGTCCATAGTTGGGAATCGGGCGACGTGCCCAGATCCTGCGCAGTGCCTGCATGGCCAGCTGGTGGATGTGAATGAGGTAAAAGACCGGCTCGAAGGGCACCGAATCGGGCAGGTAATTCAGCCGCGGACTCATCGTATACGGCGAATCGAGCATGGCACGCGGATTCACCATCTTCTCGAGCAGCTGCAGCCAGGCGTCGAGAAACTCGCCCGTGCCCTCGGGGCAATCGCGCTTGTCGTCCTCGTGCGACTGCATCAGATCCTCCATCGAGGCCCACTGATCGAAATCGAACTTCTGCGAGACATTATCCAGCGACAGCGCCCAGTAGAACATCTCAAAGAAGGCTTTCAATCCATTCTCTGCGCAGAATTGCGATATCATCAGGTGAAAGGCGCTGCGCTTGTCGTCGAACAGCATTGGACCGGTGAATCCCACCGAGCAGATGAGGAAGGTGAGCTTCAACTTGGGCACAGGCTTCGGTAGAATGCTCTCGTGACTGAAGCCATTCACCAGAATCGAGCTGAGGATGCGGGCTATTTCGCGAGCCTCGGGCGTAGGAACTTTGTTGATATTGCTGATCAGATCGTTGATGCGTCGCTGTCGCGTCTGCGGCGAACCCACCGATAGCTTCACCAGCGTGCCCAGCAGCTCGGCGAGCGCCCTGCCGAGCCGAGAGCTCGCCGCCAGCAGGGATTTGATGTACCGGAACTGCTCCTCGGGCGAGTACTTCGTCCGGAATTCCGCCGCACGCTCCAGCTTCCGCGAGAGCTCCGCTTCGGTCAGGGGATCCGCGGTGCCCGCTGCCGCCGACATCTGGGCCGCAATCTCGTCCCAAATGAGATCCGGATGCTGGGTGGGCTCATCCGAGCAGAGATTCAGCAGTATGGTGCTCTCCCACACCAGCGAAATGTACAGCTGGACCAGCTGCTGCAGCAATTGCACTCCAGTCTCGCGATTGACGCCCCAACGCTTGAGCAGAATCGCTCGCATGTCGTTGGAGGCGTTGCGACAGAGATGCACCAGCATCACCACATAGCCGTGCACAAAGCTCATGTTGTGCAGTATCGGTGTGTATTCGGCATTGGCGAAGCCATCCTCCAGCCGCTGACAGCAGACGAGCTCTGCGAGGAGGACACTGCCGCCGGGAAAGGTAAAGTGCTTGATCAGCGGCTTCAGCTGGGCCACAATATCAGCCAGCTGCTTGAGCGCCACATCGAGAACCTTCGTTTCCTGCGCCTGGCTGAGTATGGCCTTGCAGACATTGGCCACCGCCTGTGAGGTGGTGGAAACGGGTGAATCCACCGGCAGATTGGGCAGCGACAGCAGTTGCAGAATGGGCTTTAGTCCGCCGTGGAGGACAAACTCCCGGCAGTGATCGCCATTCGGACTGTTGCTGAAAATCGCCTCGATGAACTTCATCACATTCAAGATATAGTCGATTAGGGGTATTGCCTCTCGTTCCGGGGGCGTCACCACCTTGACGGCCTGCGGGGTGGCTACTCCTCCTCCTGGTTGTTGCGTCCTGGGTGTGGTGGCTCCTCCACTTTGCTGCTGTTGCTGCGAAGCCGAGCTCATTTCATCATCATCGTCGTCATCGTCGCCGCTGCTGTCGTTCGTATCCGCGGCTCCCTGGAGCACCGACGTCGATCCTCCCGAGCCAGCCACCATGACGGCCATGGGCGAGGGTGTGGAGGCCACGTGATGCGAACCGCCGCCGCCATGGCTGCCTGAACCCGAGCCAGAGCCACTGCTCTCCTTGTTGGCCCGCCAGCAAATGAAACTGGGATCGGAACCAAGGCGAACCAGCTCATTCAAAAGCCTCACAATCGCCTCCGTGGCATCGGCTCGCAAATACGGATGATGCTTGATCAGATCGTCCATGGCATTGCCCAAATTGGTGGCCGTATCGCCCAGCGGATCCGAGGAGCGGCGCCTGCGCATGGCCACCAGATAGTCCGGCGAGAGCAGCACCTTCAGCACCTTGTCAAAAGGATCATAGGAGAGGAACTCAAAAAGGCCACGCTCATTCAGGCACAGGGCGGAAAAGACATTCGGCAGGGAGCCCAGCACTTCCCGCGTGGCCGGCACATCCTTCTGGAGCAGCGCCTTCAGCATGACACTCGTGATGCCCAGATCCTGCAGCGAGGAGAGCAGCGAGGGCTCGTTGAACACGTACACGGTGACCACATCGGTGGCCAGCAGGAAGAGCGACGGCCCGTAGTACTCCGCATTGGCTATGATGTGGCGAAGCGACTGCGTTAAGCTGGTCTCCATGATGTTGCGCATGTTGCTAAAGTGCGCATGATCCTGGATGCTCTTCTTCAGGAAATTCAGCATCGACTTGAGCAGCGCCGCCCGCTGGGTGACGCAGGAGGGCTTCTTCGGCGCCAGGCTGCTCGGCAGCTGCGAGGAGAGCTCCGCCTTGCGCTCGGCCAGCGGACGGGCGTAGTAACTGTTTGTGGGGTACATGATGGCCGGCGGACGAGCGGCACTTCCGTCCCGGTTGATTAATCCAATGATCGGTGCGGCTGAAGCACCACCCGATGATCCTCCTCCTGCGCTGCGTGCTCCACCAATGTCCAGGAGTCCCGCTCCTGAGCCCGCTCCTCCTCCACTGTGCTCGTGATAGGCTCTGTAGGCGCTGCTCCCGGCACCGGTGAGCCCGTCACTCGAGTTCTCGCGACGCGGCGATCCACCTCCACTGGCCACGGACGTGTTCTCTCCGGTCTCTGGAATAATATATCGATTTTCCATAGTATTATATTTATATATATTATTTTTCTTTATTATACCCTTGCAGAGATTATTATGATTTCAGTCAGAAGTTTGTCCGTATGTCTGTCCGTCCGTTTCTACGCAAACAAACTAGTCTCTCAGTTGTAAAGCTGGCTAAAACTTTCTTCTCTCTTTTGCATTTAGTATAAAAGTCGGAACGATCTCATAAAGAATATATATATAGTCGATCTAGCCATGTCCGTATGTCTGTCCGTCCGTTTCTACGCAAACTAGTCTCTCAGTTTTACAGCTATCGGGATGAAACTTTTCCAAACGTCTTCTCTCTTTTCTAGGTAGTATATAAGTCGGAACGAGCTGGATCAGACAACTATATCTTATAGCTCCCATAGGAACAGTCGGGGAAAAAATTAAAAAAAAATTATATCTTGTGTGTTTTTCAACATATAACCTCCTAATTTTGGAAATACCATTTTTTATCCAATTCTAAAATCCAAATTAAATTTTATCAAAATCATATATCTGCTATAGGAAAAATCAGAAAATTAATGAGAAATAAAAGGAAATTTAACATTTTTGCAATTTGTTAATTAACAGAAATGATCTGCAAGGGTATATAAGCTCTACCCACCTTCCACATCATCGTCCACTTGCTCCAGCGAGTTATCCAACTTGTGGTCATCGCGCAGCGTCGACTCCTTCAGCGTGATGCCAATGTCGGCCAGTGCCTTGCAGCAGCTCTTGATCTCCTTCTCCAGACGGTCAATGAACACGTTGAGTCCGTTGTTCTGATGGAACCGTGCGATATCTATGTTGGTTATCAGGTCGATCACCCGCACCGCCCGCGTCACGAACGTAATGTGCTCGAGGTCGACTCCCGGCCAGCTGATGACGCACAGGAGGGACTGCATCATGCCGCTTTTGACCAGAGCAGAGCCGCCCATTTCGTAGCTGGCCAAATGGTAGAGCAGCGAGAAGAGTGACGTGGCCAGGATGAGCGGGTAGCGTTCGGTGAGTCCATGGGTGGTTAAATTATCAATGCAGTCGCGCACCAGCAGTGGCAAAGTGCCGCCCTGCCGCTCGGCTCCTGTGTAGTGAACGATCTTCATCAGTCGCGAACCGGCCCTGCTGCACAGAAAACAAGGAAGGAGCGAAGAAGGCAAGCAATTATCGGGGGATCCAGACAATCCAGACGACGACGGCGACCAATCGCTTACCTGGGCACATTCGGATTGCGGTCAAAGTGCAGCATCGAGGTGAGTGTGCGCAGCACTGCCGCCCGTATCTCCACGAGATGCACGTCCTCCTTGTCGATCAGCTCGCACAGCTCCTCGCCGAAGCCGGCATACAGCACCTTGTCCGTGTTGTCCTGCAGGGCATTCGAGTAGATCAGAATGGAGACGGCCTGCAGGCGAGCCTGGACGAACTGGAGGCGCAGCTTGTAGTTGTTGAAGCCTGAGATCAAGCGCACCCGATGAGCAATGCGCATCTACAGAGGGTATATAGGTATTATAGGTATTTTAGGTATTTTAGGTATTAAACTGAACTTAAACTTACCTTGATTGCCTCGCTGGGCTTTGAGATCTGTCCGGCAATCGTCTTGATCACCTCGGGCGCGGACGCCGTGTGGCAGAGGTCCATCATGTCCGGGATTTCCAGCTGGGCGGCATGACCGTGCTCGTCCACATAGTCGATGCACAGCTGGTAAAGGAATTCCAGCTTCGGCTCGCCAATGCAGCAGTCCTTGAGCGACAGTCCGTAGTTGGGATCGCCCCAGCGCTAAGAAACATTATCGTTAATAAAGAATAAAAGGAAAAGAAGCGATCACCCACCTCGGCTATGTTAAACAGCTTGACAATCAGCAGTTCCTTCTTCTCGAACGGCAGGCGGGGTATGAAGTTGCTGCGCTTGGAGAACATGTACAGCAGATTGAGGACGGCCAGGACGATGTCCATGTTCTGGGAGGAGAGCAGCACCGTCAGGTGTTCGATGGAGTTGTAGAGGTGCCGCGAGAACGAGTGCTCGATCAGCAGTGTGGTGAAGTTAAGAACGTGCAACAGCAGTGTGACATCCTGTGAATTAGATTATGTAGGATTAATTAAATGTGTTTTGAAATGGATAAGAAAAACATATGCTTCGTCTGGCGGTACCCAATATCTACTGTTATAGGAACTAAAACGATTGTCTTGGGTTTCCCATTCACAGAATAAGATCGAATTCGATATAAATAACAACTTTTTGAGCCGCTACAACAAACAAATAGGTTTTAAATTGATTTTAGTTGCGAATTCTGGGAATTCTATGTGAAAAACCCATATAATAAGATCGAATTCCATATAAATAACAACTTTTTAAAGCGCTACACCAAAGAAATAGATTTAAAATGGATTTTAGTAAGGAATTCTGGGAAATCTATGAGAATAAGTTACGAATACTGGGAAATCTATGAGAATAAGTTACGAATACTGGGAAATCTATAAGAATATAAATATATTCCATATAAATAACAACTTTTTGAGGTTCTACAACAGACAAATAGGTTTTAAATGGATTTTAGTTGCGAATTCTGGAAAATCTATGACAATAAACCATAGTATCACATTTACATTCACAGAATAGGATAGAATTCTAAATAAATAACAACTTTTTGAGGCCCTACAACAAACAAATAGACAAATTCACAGAATAAGATCGAATTCGATATAAAAAATTACTCTTTCAGGTCCTACAATAGATTTTAAATGGATTTTAGTTACTAATACTGGAAATTCTGGAAAATCTATGCGAATAAACCATAGTATTGCATACTCTTTGCATCGATAGAAACTTTTAGGGGTAATCCTCACCGTTTCCTGGAAATTGGTGTCGCACTGCAGCACGAACTCGTTGGCGTTGACATGGCGCGACGCCTCCTCGAGGATCTTGTCGAACCGGTCGAGGATCTCGATCCAGTGGTAGAGCTCGCACTTGCCGTAGATCCAGACGTGGATGGTGTCGAGGAACTCGAGCAGCTCGGCCCGCGTCCGCCGCTTGGTGAGCTCGTCGATGAGCTCGCGGCACTCGGCGGTGAGCTCCGAGGAGCCCTTCTTCAGCTTCACCGTGTCCACCTTCATTGTTCGTGGAGCTAGTGGAGCTAATGGAGCAGCAGGTGGCCACCACTTGGGGTGGTGGTGCTCCTCCTCCTTCCTCCTCCTCCTCCTCCTCTTCCTCCGGCTGTTTGTCGAGTGGGCGGCTTGTGTAGATTGGGTGGTTCGTGGTGAAAAGGCGTCGGGCGTCGATTGTTTATAGGTTGGGCATCGAGTTGCGGTTTAAACGTATACGTCAGCGTGTTCAATAAACTGCAAGTGTATTTGTAATTGTTAGTTGTAGTTGTATTCGAAGCGGCTACTTGTTGTGGCATTAAAAATTGTATAAAAAATATATTTGGAAATTAAAACAAAGTGTGTGTGATTGAGATTTTTTCGTATTTTCGTATTTTCGCCAACTAACTGCACTTGTCAGCTGAGAGCCAAGCCAATTGGACAGCGAATTTCCCACTGGCAACAGCGGGAAAAAGCCAAACAGAGCGCGCGCGCATTAACAGAAACAGACTTTTGTTGCTGTTGTTGTTGTTTCTTGGGTTATATAGAAATGAGGTGTACGACTTGGATTTCCGATTCAATTGTTGTTTTGCACTATTTTCTTTCACAAACAGACACCACTCGCACACACACACACACACACTGGCACGAACACACACATGTCAAACGCAACATGTTTGAGCAAAATGTCAAATGAGCGAAAGGTGCATGGCGAAAAGAGAGAAGGGAGAGGGAGTGGGAGAAGGAGAGAAGCGGAGAAAGGAGAGATGCGTAAGTCTCAAGGTTGGGACAACAACAAAACAGGAGACTGCAGTGCAGATGCAGCAAACTAACTCCTTTTTGCCCCAAACATACAAACATACAAGTACAACAGTACTTTTTATGCCAATTTCCCCTTAATTCACAATAAACAAGTGAAAATGAGAAATGTACGTATGTATGTGTCTCCTGCTTCACCGAATTTTCATTATTGCAGCACTAACAACAAGAACTCTCTCCTCTCTCCACTACATTTCTTCTTTCTTTCCTTACTCTCTTTTATTCACACGCGAATTTATAGCGTATATAAGAAATTGAAGAAAAAGTACCGTAGCTGTAATACAACAGAAAAAAGTCAGAACAGAAACAATGCAGTGGGTGAGCGATGCGACTGTATGTGTGCGTGTGCCCGTTTGTGCGAGTGTGTGTGCTCGAACTGGCGTTTGTGTGTCTGTGCGATCTCGGAAATGCGACTGGCGATACTCACAATTATATTTAACTGCAGCATATTGCTGCTATTGTTATTTCGATCTGAAACGCTATAATTTGGTTAATTTAACTATCTCGGTTTTTGTGAAATGAAATTTCCACAGACAAAAAAAATGCAAGCATTAGTGTGACCACGCACCGCTCCAATCCACGGCAACGAAGAATTGCAATCGACTCTGCCTATCGATGGCTATCGATAGGCGCTGGCGTTTATTCTTTTTGGCAAATTGAAGGCAAATGTAAAAACTTATTGAATTTTTGTGGCAGATGTGAGTAAAGTAAGCTAGTATTAGCTCGAATTTAAGTTGTAAGTCGCAGCCTGGTGTCTTTTGAATAAAAGTAGCTTATCGATAGTTATATTCATTTCGGGCGGTACTAGAGACAAAATTAACAAGAATATATTAATTTAAAAAAATCCTTTTTAAGGTATCATTTATTTATTTCAAACAAAAGGTAATAGTAAAGTCAACTTAAAAATATCGATAGACTTTTAAAAATATCGATAACTTTTTCTTAATTTATTTCAAGCCCCGCTTTATTTAAACATTTATCAAGAGTTCGATTGCTTACAAGATATTTATTTTAAAAGGTATATTTACAGTTTCAACTTAATCGTTATTTGGGGAATGATATTTTCTACAAACACTGAACGACAAACATGTTAAAAAAAACGCCCTTTTACAGGAATACTCCTAGAACTGAGCACAAGGACTATAATCTACGCTTAAGGACTAGAAGGTATGCTGGAGCTGCGTGCTGTTCACCTCGGTGCTCTGAAACTGCCCGGTTTCCGCCTCGAACAGCACCTGCTGGATGCGCAGCTTGGCCACGGACCGGGAATACGAGTCCGTGATGGTGCGCAGCTGGGAGGCGATGCTCTGGCCGAAGATCACCAGCTCATCCTCGCCGGCGGAGTCGAGAGCCAGGTTGTACTTCGGTTTTCGCTGCGCCGGCAGCTGCTGTGGGTGACCCTGCTGATGATGCGGTTGCTGCTGCGGCTGATCCACCAAACAAAGCGGGGAATCATCAATGATTAGCTCGGCCTTGCCGCTGCGACTGCTTTCCGTGGCCATGGAAATGATGCAGCTGCTCGGAGGCGGTTTGCTGTGCTCCGGCGGACACTCCGCCTCCGCCTCGCCCTCCGCCTCCTCGTCCTCCTCCTCCAGCGCATCCTCGCTCATGCTGATGTCCGCGGCGGCAGTGAAGAGCAGCTTGCTCGAGGGCGCCAGCGACTCCTCCGTTTTCACGGGCGTTTGGGGGGCACTGGCATGCTTGTTCTTCGCCTGCGGGTGGGTTTTAGCACTCATTTAATTACAATAACCAAAAGACACCATCAAATCTCACCCTTTTGCAGTGGGACAGCGAAACGGAGCGCAGGAAGGAGTCGGCCAGCTTGAACCAGAACAACTTGGGCTCGTAGCTCCTGCCCAGCTCCTTCTCGCGCATCCAAATGCGCAACTCCTTGGAGTAGACGGTGCGCACGCTCTTGATCTTCAGCTTGATGTCCACCACGGTCAGTTGGGGGATCTTCAGGGACCTGATTATCGCCTCGTAGGCCTCCTCCCGGGACGAGCGGTTCTTGTACGAGTCCATCAGCGAGTTGTAGAGGCACGGCTGGCGGCGGTACGCCTCCAGGAACTCCGTGATCGGGATCTTGGTGTCGCTCAGCTTCGACATGGCCTATTGGGGGCCGTTTGGGGCCCTATTCTATCCTATAAACAACAGCACCTCTTTTTTTTGTTTACCCCGTTTGGTGTGACCAGAGGTAAACGGTTTTTGTTTGGTGGTTGTTTTGCCGTGATATATCGTTTACAGTTCAAAAACAGCTACGGCTTATAAAATAACTTATATTTTTCCTGTATTTTTAGATTAATACAAATTAAATCACACAGTTCTCAAAATAAAATATTATAAAAAAAAATAATTTTTAAACGTAAATACCTTTAAATAAAATACCTAATAAAATAAAAGAATTCGATAGTATCGTCAGCGGTGACATCCACCCACATATTTGGAAGGCCGATTATAGCTTTATCCCACAGAGGCTATCCGTGGGATACAGATGGGATTTTTGACAAATGTTAAATATAGCAAAAGCAGAAGATTTTTTTTTTTAAAGTTAAAATAATTCAGTAAAATAGCTGATATATCTCAATCCCGAGAGATACAGTGTTTGGAACTGCAAGGGTATATTAACATCTTTTCTTGGTTTAATTGAATATTGTAAGATCGTAGTTAACAACTTGTTTGAGATTTCTTTTCTGCCAATAAAAAGCAGAAAATAAATAAGTTTTAAGATCTTAAAATATTGTTTTGGCAATGGATTGTTTTCGTTTTCGTAGTGAAAGCTTTAGTTATATTTGTTTATGTTAGCGAAGTTTATAAAACTAATAACTATCAATAGTGTCTTCGATTATAAAAATATTATAGTTCATGTGTATTATTTGGTTTGCTTTTTAAATTACATAAATTGCTATTAGATTTGTAGTTTACAAAGTAAAATATTAAATGAAAAATATTTTGTGAAGTCAAATAGTTTAAATAAAATAACCTACATTACTTATTGTTTTAACCCAAGTCAGCTTTATATAAATAAAGAAACCTACATTACCTTAACCAAGCCGATAGTATCGTCAGCTGCTAGTGTGACCGTTGGCCCAGTGTGACCCTGCCGCACTGGCGACCGAATCCTCTCCCGCTCCGTGCATTCCGCGCAAAACGCCATCGCTCGCCACCACGTGGAGCGTTCAGTCGTCTCTCTCTTTTTCTACCGTACCGCAGCAGGCACTTTTCAGCAGCTGCTCCGTGCGTGCGTGTGTGTGTGCGATCCGAACCGATCTGTTCCGTTACGTTCCGTTACCGCTGGCCGTCGCCGTACCGTTACCGTTATCCTCCGCGAGCCTCCGACTGCAGGATAACCGCCACCGCAACCGCAACTCCTTCGCGCTCCACTCGCTTGTCCCCCACTGCTAGCCAAGTCCACGCCAAGGTGAGTAATTGCCCAGTGTCATCGTGGAAAATTCAATAATGTGCGCAGCGCAACACACATGCAATTTCCCGTTTCTGCGACTACCGAGTGTGTCTGTGTGTAGGTGCGAAGGTGTGAAGGTGTGAAGCCAGGTGTGCTGTGTGCCAGAGGGAGAGGGGGCGATGATGGCAGATCGTGCAATGCAGTTTTCTGCCATTTCCTCAAGTTTCCCGATGCCCCTGGACGATTCCTTGGTAATCCAGGGTATCCCAGTGATTCATCCATTCATTCACATCCCGGCCAGAAGAAGAAGAGGAAGAAGTGTGCCCCTCGGCAACAGAGAGGCAGAGAGAGAGAGAGAGAGAACGCGTGTGTGTGTGGGGGAGGAGAGGGGAGGCAGAGAGCGGCACAGTGGAGCGCAGACAGCACAGTGGAAATTTTTGAGTTTTTGCTGACGCTGTCTAATTTTAAAATTGAGTTCAGATTTTTTGTTGAAACAGTTGGTACACACGATCTGCAAGTGTGGGTGTGGGAGGGGAAAGAAGAGAGAGAGAGGAAGTGGGAAATCCTAATCCAGTGGCCTTGAACGTGATCCTGGCTCTCGCTCTCTCTCTCGAACAGTGCTGCCCATCGAAGTAAGGGCGGCAAAGGGCTAGGAACAGTGGGACGAAAGTCTTACCTTGAATTTCAAGTTGAAAAAGTTCATTCAATAACTTATAAGGGAAAACAATCAACAAATAACGGAACTTTGTGTGCTGGCAAATTTTACATGTGCACTTTTAGCACTTGTCCATGAATATTTAAAAAAGCTGATAAAGTTTGAAGGGCAAGTGAGTTGCTTTTGCCCACAAGCTGGCGAATTCGAAAATTCCACGGTCTTAGTATCCCTAAAACCTTGAAGAAGTGGAGGTGTTTATATTTTTATAACGTTTAAAATTATAGCAGGTACAAAATGCTCTAGAATCTAGATATCAAAATACATAAATTATGTTTTTTAATCCTATTACCACAACTGCTTTGATCGGCAATACTTAATCGTTCTAGACTTTAAGTTCTTTTGTTTTAATCTCCAAAAGGCAATCGGCAGCAAAAAAGAATGAAAAATATATAGAACGTGTCTGGCTTTTGTAGATAAGGAAACCACAACATTACTGGGAACCTGTTCCGGTTTTGCGACCTTGTGGGAAATATCTAACTCCTTTTTCACTGCGTTTTTCTATTGAATCATTTTTAGTAGTAGGAGGCATCCTAAAAAATTTTTTTTTTATTATTTCCTTGTTTTAGTTTTGTAGCACCCCAAGAAATCTATTATTACCTGTCACTGCGTTTTCCTATTAATTAATTTTCGTAGTAGAAAGTATCCTAAATTTAAAAAAAGGAAACAATTTTTTTTCCTTGGTTTAGTTTTGTAGTACTCCAAGAAATCTATTGTTACCTGTCATCACTTTGAAACCTTTGGCACAGAAAGATTGAAATAAACTCCCCCGAAAATAGAACAAAATACCAGTAAACTAAATCGCAATCCCGTTCCACTTTCAGCCGGAAGAATGTCGTCCGCCGCCAAGAAACGTGACGCGCAGAAGAAGAAGGATGCGCGCAACAAGAAGATCCAACAGATACCCTCCACGAAGAAGGCCAACGGCGTTCCGGATCGCGAGCTGACCGAGGAGGAGAAGCTGTGCGCCAAGCTGGAGGAGGAGGCGCGGATCAGTGCGGAGGCCCGATCCTGCACAGGATCGCTGGCTGTGCATCCGCGATCGCGCGACGTCAAGATCGCCAACTACTCGATCACGTTCTTTGGCTCCGAGCTGCTGCAGGACACCATGCTGGAGTTGAACTGTGGGCGTCGCTACGGTCTGATTGGGCTCAACGGATGCGGCAAATCCTCGCTGCTCGCCTGTTTGGGAGGAAGGGAGGTGCCCATACCGCCGCACATCGACATCTTCCATTTGACGCGCGAAATCCCGGCCAGCTCGAAGAGTGCGCTGCAGTGCGTCATGGAGGTGGACGAGGAGCGCATCAAGCTGGAGAAGCTGGCCGAGGAGCTGGCCATGAGCGAGGAGGACGACGCCCAGGAGCAGCTGATCGACATCTACGAGCGTCTGGACGATATGTCCGCCGATCTGGCGGAGGTCAAGGCGGCCCGCATCCTTCACGGTCTCGGCTTCGACAAGGCGATGCAACAGAAACAGGCCAAGGACTTTTCCGGTAAAAATTGGGGGAAAATTAATGCCTAATCCCTTAAGTAATCCTTATATTCTCTCTTTAGGTGGCTGGCGTATGCGCATCGCCTTGGCCCGCGCTTTGTTTGTGAAGCCCCATCTGCTGCTGCTCGACGAGCCGACGAATCATCTGGATCTGGACGCCTGCGTGTGGCTGGAGGAGGAGCTGAAGGAGTACAAACGCATCCTGGTGCTCATCTCGCACTCGCAGGACTTCCTCAACGGCGTCTGCACGAACATCATCCACCTGACGGGCAAGCGACTCAAGTACTACACGGGCAACTACGAGGCCTTCGTGCGCACACGCATGGAGCTGCTGGAGAACCAGATGAAGCAGTACAACTGGGAGCAGGATCAGATATCGCACATGAAGAACTACATTGCGCGCTTCGGTCACGGTTCCGCCAAGTTGGCGCGGCAGGCGCAGTCCAAGGAGAAGACGCTGGCCAAGATGGTGGCCCAGGGACTCACCGAGAAGGTCTCCGATGACAAGGTGCTCAACTTTTACTTCCCGTCGTGCGGCAAGGTGCCGCCGCCAGTGATTATGGTGCAGGTGCGTAAAATCTAAAGGTTTTATTTATTTATTTATTTATATAAAGCTGACTAACAGTGACTACAAGTTGATTATATCATTTCATCAGATCTTCAAATTTTTTCTTACAAAATAAATCACGCACTTCAAAGAGTTCTAACATTTTTTTTAAATACACCACTATTTTTATTAGCCATTGTAGTTTACAAATCCATAATGATTTTTATTTTTTGATTTTTATAATAAATCTCAAAAAGTAACTTATTTGTTGATTTTTATGTATAACATTTTTGAAAAAATGAAATAATTAAAAAAAACATGCTAACCGTGTTTTATATAACATACCAAAAATTTGTTTAAAAAAGACAACCGCGCATATTTTATAACTATATTTTTTTTAAATTTATTTTACCCACAAAATGGCCATAAATCAAGTTTGAGTTTTATTTTTGATCACGACGAAAAACTGTTATTTGCCAACTTTTATTATAAAACTAAAAAAAAACAGTTATTCTTTGAGTTTTACTTTACAAATCAGAAAATACTGTTAAGTGTGATTTTTAAAATAAAACTTATCCCTGGATTATATACAAAACATCACTAATACATTTCCTTTTACCCCCCACAGAATGTGAATTTCCGGTACAACGATGAAACACCTTGGATCTACAAGAATCTGGAGTTCGGCATCGATCTGGACACACGTCTCGCTTTGGTGGGGCCCAACGGAGCCGGCAAGTCGACGCTGCTGAAGCTGCTCTACGGCGATCTGGTGCCCACCTCGGGCATGATCCGCAAGAACTCGCATCTGCGCATCGCCCGCTACCACCAGCATCTGCACGAGCTGCTCGACCTGGACGCCAGTCCGCTGGAGTACATGATGCGCGCCTTCCCAGACGTCAAGGAGAAGGAGGAGATGCGAAAGATCATCGGTCGCTACGGACTGACAGGTCGCCAGCAGGTCTGTCCGATCCGCCAGCTGTCCGATGGCCAGCGGTGTCGCGTGGTCTTCGCCTGGCTGGCCTGGCAGGTGCCGCACCTGCTGCTGCTGGACGAACCCACGAATCACTTGGATATGGAGACCATCGATGCGCTGGCCGATGCGATCAATGATTTCGACGGCGGCATGGTGCTAGTTAGTCACGATTTCCGACTGATCAATCAGGTAATGCTTAGTTATTTTGAGTATTTTATGGAGGTTATAATTATTTGATTTCCTTTCCAGGTGGCCGAGGAGATTTGGGTGTGCGAGAAGGAGACGGTGACCAAGTGGAAGGGCGGCATTCTGGACTACAAGGATCATCTGAAGAACAAGATCACCTCCGAGAACGAGAAGAAGGCCAAGGCGGGAAAGTAGATGCGCAATATCTAGTGGATATCCCACACACCCGCACACACACAGCACCCACATCCAAAACTCACCCACAATCCTTTCTCTTCAATAGGCGGCGGGTGATATCCGCTTATTGGGCTGCCCGCTCGCTCTCGTAATTCATTCTGTGCGAAATTAGTCTTGAGTTTACACTACGCTATAGTCAAGTCATGTAAACGGCAATCTACCATCAGCAATAAACCCAGAACACCCAATCCAAAAACACAACCGTTGAGAGCTCAACAACTCAACAAGAATACACAAATTTTAGCTGAATTTTTTTCTTTTTATGTGTCGAATTAAACTAAATAAAAATTATAAATATTTAAAAATAGAGTGGACAACAAGAACAACTTATAAATACAACCAACCAACTACAAAACAGCTTGTGATCTTGCGCTTATATAATTTCGTTAAATTCTTCGCTAGGTTTCATATAAAAAACATATATATAAAAGTATATTTTATTTTTTGTAATTTATTTACGCCCTAACTATATATTTACATATTAAACAATTAAAACTACAATAACAAAAGTATGTAATTAGAGATCTGATTAAGCGAGTCGAACCAAAATGTGTGAGAAACCAGAGATGTTAAACTGCCCTCCCAAATCCGAACCGTGATTTAGCTGCCCGCGGATTCGACAAAGACGGCGTGTGCTTAGCAATTCAATATTCGATTTAAATTTAAAGAAAACAAATAAACAGACGTTAAAAGGATTAATGGGTATTACATGAAACGTACATACATATACATATATGAAAATTTACAAATTACATAAACAAAAGAAGATATTATAGGTTATTTAACAAATTGGAATTGTAAACTCCAGCGAAAAACACGAAACGTTTTGTATGCAAACACAAAAACAATCTTGGCAGCCGAAATGCGTTGTATTAATTAGCTAACTTAATTGAGAAATTGCTAAGACAAAAACAGAAGTTGCTTGACAAGGTAAATAAACAAATTAAATGACCAAAATAAAGCAAAGTCGTGGTTCCTTTTCAAGTGAATCTTGTTGGAAACATTTGGGTATTTCTTCTTGAAATCAAACAGAAAAACACACTCTTTTTAGTCATCTAATCTCCACTCGCCTTCCTTTATTTATTGTACAAATCTCAAATTTGAATGTTATTACATTTCATTGCGCTTCGCACCTCTTTCTCCTTATTGCTGCATTTATTAATGTGTTTTTTTTTTTAATGCGTGTAGGCACGTTCAAAGGTTAGTTGGTAGACTTGGTTATTCAGTGGTAATGACCCAGTAGTATATAATGTACAGTAAGTTCGTTACGCCTAAAATCTAGTAGCTCTTGGACAGTTCCAAGTGCATCACTGCAAGCAGCTGCCTTTCCACGCTGCTCAGGGCTCCAAATTCCGCTCCAAAGTCGCGTAGCAGGTGCTTAAGATCGCACATCTTGCGCTCCACCCAGGCACACGTGATCTCCGCCAGCGGGTACTGCTGCTGCTGCGGCACAAAGGCACCCGGTCGCTCCACCGATCCGCCATCGTCCGCCGAGCTGGGAGGCGCCTCGAATTGGGCTAGGTTGTAGTAGTACTCGATCAGCTTGATGTGCGCAGGAGACTGACGAGCGGGGGGAAGATTCAAGTGGACCAGGAGCAGCAGACGCAGCACCTCCACGCGTCGCAAGAGTTCCCCGTACATGCGAGCCCCTCGTCGCTCGTAGACATTGTCCACAATGTCGTCGTAGTGCTGCAGGGCACTCCGGAAATCGCCGCGCTGACCGCAGGTCTCCGCGCTCGTCTCCAAATCGCTAATCTGATGGGTGGGCGAGGCGAAGCTGCTGGTGCTCTCCAGCTGGCGCTGCAGCTGCTTCAGCTCCCGCAGAATGGCCGCCTTGAAGACGCAACCGTCCACCGCTCGATCGGCGGCCCGGTGATAGCAGTGGAGCGCTCCCTCCCGGAAGCCCGAGTGGCGGGTGCGCAGATGCAGCTGCCCGGATTCGTTGTGGGCCGCCAGGAAGGATCGCGCCGCACGCAGGTAGGCCTCCGACTCGCGCTGCGGGGCGCCGCCGTAGGACTCGCACTTGGCATAGCCGATGTGGCACATGGCCGCGTACTGCTGGATGCCCGACTCCTCGAAGCTGTAGGCCAGTCGCTGGAAGTCGGCCTGTACGTCGACCACGCTGGGCGCAAAGCGTCTGGGGATTGGAGTTAAAATATATTAATAATCTGGAATTTTAGTGATATTTTAAGGTATATTTTGTATGGTCAAGAACTGTTGGAACAAAATTATTAGACCCGCGAATTCTTAATCATATACAGAAAAAAGATACAACTATTAGATACCCATTACTCAACTAAAGGAAGTGCGAGGGAGATGGAAATATGCAGCAAAGCGACCTTTATTTGACCATAACTTCTTAATGAACAGTCCGATTTGAACATTTTCTTCTACATTTCAATAGGTATTCATAAAACTTTCGAACTGTTTTAAGATTTAACAAATTTTAAGGTCGAAATCTCTACGAGTAACGGGTATAATAATTAGTAAAAAATAGTTAGATGACTGAAATCCTACTTTATGATGAGTTCTATTAAGATTGATTTTAGAAATACTACAATTATGGATGGTTTTTATATGTTATATGATATGTATACGTTATATGACTATATACTTCATAGGGTCGGAAACCCATTACCTTTTACTCTACGAGTAACGGGTATAATAATTATAATTAGTAAAAAATAGTTTAAAGTGAGAACACTGAAATTCTACTTTTATGATGAGTTCTTTTAAGATTGTTCTTAGAAATACTGCAATTATGGATGGTTTTTAAAAAGTATGCATTACCACCCCTATACGTTTGTATGTACTTATCTCCTTGCTAACCCAGAGGGTTATCTATATACTATAGCCATACTAACTTAAAGAAGCCGGCCCGCTCGAACTTCTTGATCTTGCTGGAGGCCCTAAGATATTGCTCGATCAGGTTTTTGGGGTACTGCTCCAGTTGCTGGTGCTCCGGACCAGGATTGCCGCTGGAGGATCCGCCGCCGACCAGGCTGCCGCCGCGGAGTTTGTCCATGCTACAGCATGCGGGGTGGGTCGCCGTCACCGTCTCCGCGCAGGTTGATTCCGATCGCGTTAATAGCGCATTATTTTCGGCTATATTGTATTATTATTATTTGTTTTTCTTTTGTGAGTTTGTCATGGGCGGTGTGACCATTCGCGGAAAATACCGACGGGCGAAAATACTACTTGGCACACACTACTACATCGAAATGGAAGCAATGAGTTGCATTAATAAATGCGGCGAATTATATTTCCTTCTCGCCAATTGGCAAATTAAAACAAGCGAGGAAGTCCAAAAATGGCACTTTCCACGGCCATAGGGGGAAAATTCTATTTATTACTTTGCATCCGGTGATGTGTGTCAGTGGAAACATATGTAAATACCAAGAAGCCAGTATTTCTTGGTATTTCCTAAAGGTCACGCTGCGGTCCCACCAGATACAGCGAAATTGCTTTTTTGCTGCGTTTTTTCGCATTTAATTGGATAAAAACAAACCGAATCGCCAGCAGATCGCCAAATAAACAGTGAAAAGCCAAAAGACACAAAATGGCAATTGCCGAGCACGACAACGTCTTCATCTTTGTGCCAAATTTGATTGGTGAGTGTTGTGTTTTGGGCAAGGTAAACAAATCGCACGATCGATTTATGCGGCGCAGTTAGGTGTTCCCTAATTGGATTTGCATTTATGGGGGATGTTTTGGCAACCTGTGAAATGCAGGGGGCAAGTTCACCGATAAGGGAAGCCGCCTTCCCCTCCGCCGCCCCATTGAATCACCCCCCGCACAAACCCCTTAGATACTGAAACATATGGACTTCGTCACTCATTTATTGACCTTTTCCAGGCTACGCCCGCATCGTTTTGGCCCTGATCGCCTTCTGGTTCATGTCCACCAACTATGTGATCTCCGGCTGGTGTTATGTAACCTCCGCCCTGCTGGACGCCGTCGATGGACACGCCGCCCGGGCCTTCAACCAAAGTGAGCAAGCAGATCGCGATCCCTCCCCCTTTAAAATCTAAGTTAGCCCCAGCTATATCTGTATCTGTATCTGATTTGTGCGCGCACTTTGGCCGCAACGCACCGCCAACACCTGTCTCCAAAATGGTTATCTTCCCTCCGATATTTAGCCATTAAAACCCCTCGATATGGTCACGGCTGGATAGCCAATCGATGGATGACGTGGGGCCACGAATTTAGATGAAGAAGCAGGGCCAATATTGCTTTGAAATCCCTCTGAATATGGCTTACAATCTAGAAGGCCCTCTGAAAACAGATTATAATTTGAATATTTTTAAGAATATGAGTAATTTATGATTAATTTATGATAATCATAGGATTTTAAATCAAAAATGTCCCATAAAATGTAAAATTGTAAATAATACGAGTATTATATGACTGATTTTTGATATTCATAGGATTTCAAATCAACAATATCCCATAAGATATAAAATGTTCAAGAATTTGAGTATTATTTGATATCATAAATTAATATTCATAGGATTTTAAATCAGGAATATCCCATAAAATGTAAAATTTTCAAGAATATAAGTATTACTTGATTAATTTATGATATTTATTAATTTATTCATATTCAAATCAAGAATATCCCATAAAATGCTAAATTTTCAAGAATATATTATATTATATGATATCATAAATTAATATTCATAGGATTTTAAATCAAGAATATCCCATAAAATGCAAAATTTTCAAGAATATATTATATTATATGATATCATAAATTAATAATCATAGGATTTTAAATCGTGAATATCCCATATAATGTAGTTCAAGTCATTTAATATTAACGCAGATTTAGATTTAAGAAAAAAAACTGGCTAAAATCTATGTATTATTGTATATTTATTTAATTTGTTACCAAACTTTTGGCAAAAACTTTACCAGCTTGAAAAGCTTTAAGTATCTGTAAATATAGAACGAATCATTACTAAAGTACCCGCTTCTCCACCTTGCAGGCACTCGCTTTGGGGCCATGCTGGACCAGCTGACCGACCGCTGCGGCACCACCGGCCTGCTGGTCACCCTGGCCTACTTCTATCCCCGGTACATGTTCTGGTTCCAGCTGTCCATCGCCATCGACGTGGCCTGTCACTGGCTCTTCATGCAGACGTAAGTTTATCGGTTTATTGAGATCCCTAAACTAATGATACTTTTGTCCCTTCAGGAGCGTTGTGGTCGGACGCAGCTCGCACAAGGTGAATGAGAACTTTGTTATGCGGCTGTACTACCAGAAGGACATACTCACCTTCATGTGCTGCGTCAACGAGCTGTTCTACGTGTGCTTGTACCTCTTGCATTTCACCTACGGCCCGCTGAGTGAGTATAGCTTTGTCTATAGGCAGGGAAAATTTAATCTAATTGGTATTCACCAAACAATTGCAGTATTCGGCGCCTCGCTCTTCAAGATACTCGCCTTCCTCACGGGTCCCTTCGCCGTGCTCAAGGCCCTGATCTCGGTGATGCACGCCTACGTGGCGGGCATCGATCTGGCCGCCGTGGATGTGCGCGAGCGGCAGGAGAAGCGCCAGAAGTCGGAGCCGTTGGCCGGCAAGAAGCTGGAGTAAATTGGCTCCGCGCTCCAGGAGCTTCCAATTCTATTCAACAAAAGTACTAAAGCGAAACAACTCTTGATTCCAAGCAAAAAAGAAAACATGAAGAGAAAACCTTGAAGGCGGAAAGCGATCAGATGCACTAGGCAACCAACTAGGCCGTAGTAGAATTTAAATTATTTTTATGCGCTATTGCAAGATTGTTGACTTTATTTTTTATTTTTAGTTAGACGGGTGGCCAAATTACCCGACAATTTGTATTTAAATGATTTTTGAATTGAAATTGAAATTGAAATTCAAGCGATTCGTTCCAGTCAGTAGCTGTTGCATATTTATTTTGCCTTTAGTTAAACGTAATTTACAATTTCTGTGACGCTTACACCCAATATACATATATATATTTTACAGACATACGCATATATATGCAGGCCGATATATAAATGAGTGTCTATTTCCAGGATTTACCGACCTAGCGACCTTCTCCCAGCAACTCTCTCAATGTAACTAATGTATTTCTAATCGTAAGTTAAAAGAATGTAATTGGAGACCTGCAAGAAATATATGAAAAATGGATGTTAGATGTATTCGAAAGATATATAAGTATATATATATGTGTATATGCCAGGCCTGGCAGATATAGTCAAAATTATCGATGAAAAGTAGGAATAAATATACGTGGTTTTATGTGCTAAATTGTTGTTTTTCATTTTCCCATTTGAAAATAGCGCCCACCAAATTTATCGTTTCATTTTATCGATTTTTTTGACCGCTCAGCTGGGACGCAGTGCAGCCCTGATTTTTACACAACGTAAACATTCGGCTGGAGGAGCAGCTCGCACTTCCGGGACCATAACAGATAGCAGCGCCAGAGGATTAGGACATCGGGAGATGCTCTGATAACGGGCGGATGTGGATCAGCCAACGCCGGAATCGCCGCCATGAAGATCCTCTCCCGTCTGGGCCGCCTGATGCGGTACACGGTGGCCTATGCGGCCATCACACACTGCACCTTTGAGTACATAGGCGACTTTGTCCTGGTAAGTCATCTGTACCACAGTGGGTACACATACTTTTATGTAAACAAAAATAGGTACTTATTATGCCGGGTAATAAATGTATGTACCTGGGTCGACCATCATATGGTCATCCTTGCTTATCAGCTGTGTACCTACCTCGGGTACTCACATGGTTAAGGTCCTCTGGGCATAGGTACATTTTTCTTTATTCCTTTATTTTGCATCCTAGCATTACAAGTAATAAAACTTTTAATTTAATGTGCTAGTCACTTACAAAAATAATTTTATCTAAACAAAAATAGGTACTTATTATGCCGGGTAATAAATGTATGTACCTGGGTCGACCATCATATGGCCATCCTTGCTTATCAGCTGTGTACCTACTTCGGGTACTCACTTGGTTGAGGTCCTTTGGGCCTAGGTACATTTGTCTTTATTTTTTTTTTTGCATCCTAGCACTACAAGAAATAAAACTCTTAATTTAATGTGCTAGTCACTTTCAAAAATAATTTTATGTAAACAAAAATAGGTACTTATTATACCGGATAATATATGTACCTGGGACGATGTACTTTAGGTACTCACATGGTTGAGGTCCTTAAGATCTGGGTACATTTTGCACTCAAAAAATACTATCATTAATATATATATATAAATGTTACCTATGAATATTACCAGGTACTTTTTTAAAAAATTTCACCAATTTTGGCATTTTTGTTCAATTAAAATGTCTAGATTTAAACACAAATCGATTCAAAATTAAGCTACGATTTCAACAAGGTATGACATTCCAAATTTGGGCTATTATTTCCTTTGTTTTGGTAAAAAATCTGATATTTTATCATCACTTTTGGGACATTTTAAATTTTTACCAATTTTCCGATTTTTGATAATGATCATGATTTTTTGGTAAAAATAAATAAAAGCCCATATAATAAAATTAAAAATGTTACTATCGGTAATAGTTAATCCTTTTGTTTAGCCTTCAAGTTGTAATTATAGTTATAATCCGTTTGCTCCCGTAACTAGTAACTTCTAGTAACCTTTTCCATTTCTTGGAAACCTTTTCCAGTGCAAGGGACCCTCCATGGAGCCCACCCTCTACTCGGACAATGTGCTGCTCACCGAGCGCCTGTCGAAGCACTGGCGAACCTACCAGCCGGGCGACATCGTCATCGCCGTCTCGCCCATCAACGCCGGCCAGTTCATCTGCAAACGGATCGTGGCCGTGTCCGGTGACCAGGTGCTCACCCAGAAGCCGAGCCCCATTGAGGCGGAGTACAGCCGAAGTCAGGATGGCGCCGCCGCCGGCAAGAAGCCCGTGATGACCAAGGACTATGTGCCGCGCAATTACGTTTGGCTCGAGGGCGACAACAAGGGCAACAGCTCGGATTCGCGCTACTATGGACCCATTCCGGTGGGCCTGATCCGGAGTCGGGTGCTCTGCCGCATCTGGCCGATTTCCGAGGCCACCGGGCTGTAGATTGGCTAGCCCAAGAAGAAGTTTTAAATCAATTGGACCTATTTTGTTTTTTATAGCAAATTGTAGTATATCAATCCAATATTTTATAGATCCATTTCGTACCAATGGATGTCATATACTTGAACAACTGCCAATAACATATTTATTCATATATTTATTTACACTTCCGAAAATGGTCTCTTATTGAATTTTAAAATATTCTTGAAATCATCAAATTAAAAACCATGTAAATTGCAAAATTGGCTTTGCTTATACATTTTGTAGATAAAATACGTTGATAAAATATAAAAATACATACTTGTGATTATGAATAGAAATTTGTTATCTCTGGTTTTTATTTGCATCTTGCGAAGAGGTATCAAAATACATATTTAATAGGCTCAACCTAAACATTTAACATTTTAAAACTTCCAAGTTAAAAATCGTATTTTTATTTCTTTTCCATTGATAGTCTGCAATTCTAGCCGAAAACCAATGATTTTCGTTTAAAATGGTTTCAAATAAGTAAAAGACAAAACCAAATCTGACTTAGTTACTAAATATCTATAAAAATCGTATACTTTCTAATTGTTTTGGCACTAGAAATTTATAAATTTGTATAAATCATTTTTGAACTCTACATTTTTTTATTGTCACCTCGACAGCAATTCCCGAATTTGGTCAGGTATTTTAAAAGTTGGTACTATTTACGAAAATTGTTCTTTTCATTTCGGTATAAATACAAATGTTTTTATAATTTCTATGAAAAAAAATGTATAATTACAATATATTTTGCTAAAAATATTGGCTTACCTTCTAAAAAAGGATTACCATAGTTTGTGCGTTATTTTTGGAAATTTTCTATTACAAAGATCGTTTTCTCTTTACATATATAAAAAAATATAGCGTTTATTTAACTACATTCTGAACATTTCAATTGTGCTGCTGCTGGGATGGGGGGAAAAAAACTTAATAGAAATTGCACTAAGGATTTGGCCATTGAACCGCCTAGTCTTATGTATTCTTTTGATCCTCCTCCACGTAATACAGGTTGTACTTCTTCTTGAGCACCTGGTGCACATCGTCGCGACATGTGATGGTCAGGCCGCGCTTCTCGTAGTCCAGAAACGTGCGCACAAACTGCCTGTTCGTTTGGTGCACCTGCGGATGCTGCAGATACTCCGCAATGGGCATCCACTGGAGTCGCGCAATCTCCCGCTCGCACCGCTTAAAGTCCAGATTGAGGGGCTTCAGGGCAATGACCACGTAGAGATCGGAGCAGCCGAAGGTGCCGCCGTGGGCATGCCGCAGACTGACCACCGACCGGAACTCGGTGCGGATTCCCGTCTCCTCGGCCACCTCGCGAATGGCCGCATCGATGAGATTCTCCCGCGGCTCCACATAGCCGCCGGGCAGCTTCCAGCTGTTGGGTATCATCGCATACCGGTCGGACACCACCAGGACCTCGTCCTTCTCGTTGATCACCAGTCCGCCGACGCCCATCAGCGTGTGGGCGAAGTTGGGCAGGTTGCTGGACTCGTCCGCCGGCAGCCAGCGGTACATGGTCACCACTCCGGTCCGGGCATGATGGAAGTCGAAGCCGTTCTCCGCCAGAATGGGCACCCAGTCGGCCTGCTCCTGGTACACTCGGAACCAGATCGCCCGGTTCTTATTCGCTGTCCAAAAGTCCAGGGATTCTGGGAATTGAGATCACAATGACTGGTAAGCTTTAACATATTATTTTTTAACAATTAAACGTTAATAAAAAATACTATTATTAAAACCATCTATCCAAATACTCTAATTAAAATGGAGAACCAAGATTATAACTTTGACTTGATAAGGTTTCAATTAATTGTTGATAGGAATAGGGTTTAGAAGCCGATAGATTATAGGTAAGAAAGTCATTTGTAAGTTATATATAGTACTTTTGTTTGTTAGAGGTTTTACATAAGTCTATTTTACAAATATATTCCCAAACAAGGAGCTTAAAGATATTTCTTTAACTTTTTGGGGTACTAAATATAGGTTTCAATTAAATTCTGATTGAAATAATGTTTAGAAGTCAATAGATTATAGGTGAGAAAATATTTATAAATTATGGTACTTTTGTTTGTTAGAGGTATTTAGAAATATCTTCCTATACAAGGAATTTAAAGATATTTGTTGAAGTTTTTGGGGTACTAACTTGATATTTAAATTAATTTCTGATAGCAATAATGTTGAGAAGTCGATAGATTACAGGTGATAAAGTCACTTATAAGTTTTAGTACTTTTGTTTGTTAGAGGTTTTAAGTTTATTTTTCTAATATATTTCCAAACAATTAGTTTAAAGATATTTGTTTAACTTTTTGGGGCACTAACTTAATGTTTAAATTAATTTCTGATAGAAGTAATGTTTAGAAGTCGATAGACGATACGTGAGAAAGTCATTTGTAAGTTAAATTATATCTGTTATATAGTTTAAAGATATTTGTTTAACTTCTTAGGATACTTACTTTTCAGTTTGTCCCGGAAGCTGTCTTTATCCACCTTCTCCTCGCGACCATCAACAGTGACTCCCGCAAAGCGATCCGTGAGGCCGCGGAAAACATCCGCCGGCGTATCCATTACTTTGGAGCTTTGGGATTATAATATTTATCTTATAAAAATCGTAATAAATTTTAGACTTTATAAAGGTAATACTTACGCAGTGAATCCTCTTGTAAATTGCAGCTGTGGCTGAACCTCTTTGGGTTGAATTTTAGGCGCTGCCGTGGATGATGGGCGGTGTGTTGCGGTCCGGAGGAGCGTCCTCCATGAATTGAACGCCGGCAGGTCTAGAACGTTTCTGCGAGCCAGAAGACTTGCGGCCAACATTAAATAATCTCGCAGTTCGACGGAAACGACGTTGATGACGACGGCGGGCGACCACGTTGGCGTCACTGGCTCGAAACCGGAGATTCTTGGGGCCCCGGAGTGGGCGTGGCGGCGGCTACAACGGCTCGGTGGCTCAGTATTTCCAGAATTCGAGGCGACGGCAATCCCTGGGCACGCTGTGTGTGTTTGGGAGTGGGTGAAACGAGGCAAACGGACAGGTGAAAAAGCCGCATGGCTCCAAACATCGATGCAAATCCGATGGGCAGCCAAGCAAGGTGGAGGAGCAGGCTAGCCACTATCTCGTGGCGGCGCAAGATAAGCGATATGGTCGTTGTTCGTTACGTTCGGATTTCTGTTCTTGACATTTCGAATTTGGCGCTAACGTCAGTATCAAATGCAGGCAATAGAGATGAGCAAAAAAAATACTTTCAAAGTAACTTAATTAAAAAAAAAAAAATTTTAAAGCATAGGTAACAACAAAAATAATTGTTTAATTTTGCCCAAGTTAAATTCAAATTCTATTCAAATATTTTAGGGCAGGATCATTACTTTTCAAATGTAGTTGTACTTGTAAACGTAAGAAATCTATCTAATTTTACAAATTTAAATTTAAGTAAATTATATATATTAGAAATTTGACATAATTATGATAATTGAGCCATTTGAAATGTTAAAAATATGTTAAATATATGAATTAAAAATATTCAAAATTATTAGAATATTTCAAACATTTTAATAGCTCAATAGAGAAGTTGAGCTTTAAAGGTTCGAAGGCGAGTAAAACTGTTACTTGTCACGGTCACAGTCACTGCAATGGTCACCACTTGTTGCTCATCTCTGGCGCAACCTTGAGCAACAACCCAAGGTGCGTGTGGGTGGCGGGTGGTTGGGTGGTGGGGTCGTTTCAATTGTTTCCGCATGGGCTTTGTGTATGTTTATCAGCTGAGTGGAAAGGCTGCTGTTATCAACGCGCCAGAAAATTTATACGCGCTTTACATAACAAACAACGCCAAGCATCGAATTCTCTTGTTTTTTTTTACCATCTAGCGTAGAACAGAACTTTCTTGGAACTCACAGAGAAACCCACTGGTTAATGGCGTCGCTGAGCTAATCCGTCCGGTTCCAGGCGACTAATTGAGCGATCCAGCCATGGACTTTGGCATAAAAACAAGCGAACGAAACAGCGCGCGATTTCAATTCTCTTCCACTTCCAATGGCACGTTAATTTCTAGGGTTGGGAAACCAGCTCAAAAGTCAATCAGCTGTTTCGCCAGCGCTGGCAGCCTAGCCATTTCGTGACACCAAAAGCTGTTTTGGCTTTTTTCTAGCCAGTAAGTTGGTTAAAATGGTCCTACACCAAAAATACATACTGTTTTGAACAGATTACAAAATAATAAATAAATCCATGTCGTTTTCCGGGTCATCTTGGAAAAATAAAATTTTCGCCAATTTTCAATTTTTTTATAAGGGGGTATTTTTTACGAAAAATAGCAAAAAAATAAAATGTCCAGGTTTAAATGTCAATCGATTGGAAATTTAATAACGAGTTCAGAAAGGTATGACAATCCATATTTGGATCAATATTTCCATTGCTACGGTCAAAAAAACAATTTTTTTTGTGAAAAATTGGTATCTGGATCTGGGTCATATACAACGGTTATTTAAAAGAAGACTTCTTAAAAAAGGCTAAACGTTTCTTTTGAATCGTGTGTAAAAATGTTTGATGCTACTGCAGGCGCAATTTATTGGGCTTTTAAACGTGTGTGTGATATAGAATAAACGGAATTGGCCGTTGCATCTGTTGAAGCGGGCCTAGAAAACAATATTGATGTGATTTTGCTGATCGGTGGACCTCGGATCGGGTGTTCCCGGACGTGGCTCCTCCTCGCTGGCCACCATGCGCTCCCCCTCCCGCTCCGGATTCTTACTCGGATTTGGATTCGGATTCTGAGTGTGATTCTCATCTTCATCCTGGCCGCAAGTGCAAGTGCAATGGCAATCGCAGTGGCAATGGCAAGAGCAAGTGCAATTGATGCCGCGACAGAGGCACAACCAACGGTCGTCGATGGCATCGCGGGCAGAGATGCGACGATGGGGATCCGTGTTCAACATGGGCCTCAGGAACCCAGCAAATTCCTTGGCCTCGTAGCGCGACCATCCGTACTTGTTGATGAGGGTGTTGGCCAGATCACGGGACTTCAGGTGGGTGATATGGCGCAACTGGCCATTGGACTTGAAGATATCCGACGAGTACTCGCCGGCCTCCACCAGCTGGCGGGGAATGGGTCCACAGGTCTCGATGATGCTGGCTATGTGGGCCTCATCGAGGCTGGCCTTGCCGCGATTCTCCTTCGGAACGAACAGATAGTCGCCAGTGGCCAGTTCCCAGAACAGACAGGCGGCGCTCCAAATGTCCGCCCGCTCATTGTAGCCCGCCCCGAGGATCACCTCCACGGCGCGGTATTCCCGTGTCTGGATGTCGTCGGTGAAATGGTGATGCAACCAACAGCCATTGCCCATGTCGGCAATCTTCACATTCACCTCGCAATTCTCGTAGGCCGGGTCCTTGATGACGTTGAACAAATTGGCCTCCTTTCGCAACTTCTTGTATGCTTCGTTCTTGGCCTGGAAGGAAAATTATAGTTTAGAAAAATTTGAAAAATTTAGAAAATGTAGTTTTAAGGAATTAAATGTAGTATCTTAAGTACAGAAGTAGGTAAGAATTAAGCAGACACTTTGGGAGGCAGGCAAATTTAAGATGAGTCTAAAATTTACAATCTATTTTCAAGCCGGATATCCGATAAATATTCAGTTGAAATCTAGTTTTAAGCGATTTCTAATAATATTCGATTAAAATTTGTTTGAAACACTGGTATATTTTTCACTTTATCTAGAGAGTTTGATAAAGAGCTTGAAAATTATCGATATTTTCGATATTTTGATCATATAATATACACATTATCTAGAGATTTTGATATAGAGCTTAAAAATTATCGATATTTTCGATATTTTGATAATATAAAATACACATTTTGATAATATTGAGGGGAAAAAATGTATTGAAAGGGAAAAAATTCAGTTGAAAGCGATTTCTAACCAATATTCGATTAAAATTTGATTGAAACTGGTATATTTTTCACATTATCTAGAGAGTTTGATATAGAGCTTAAAAATGATCGATATTTTTTATATTTTGATAATATAATATACACATTTTGAAAACACAAATTAAATATCGAGAAATAGGAAGCTGTAGATATTTTTACAAGCTTAAGTTTGATACTTATCTGCCTTTGCCTTACCGGATTTGGAATTACCGATCCAGATTTCTTTTTCTTCCTGGCGCTCCGCTGCCTCTTGCCCTGATATTGGTCCTCGGAGGCCTGTGCCGCCCGATCCGACTCCTTGACCTTCCTGAGCACATATCGCATAAACTGCTCGGGGCTCTTGAGCAAAAGCTTCAAGGGATCCACGCTGCTCCCCGGCTCCTCGTCGCTGCTGGCGACCTCATCCCTTTCGGCATCCCTAGCCGTCTCAGCTCTGCGGCGTCCTCGCGATGGCCTGTCGCCACTGATGGTCGGATCGCTGTTTAAATTGTCGGCGGGCACATCGCCCACCCGTTCGGCCATGGAACTCTTCAGCCGCTCGACATCGCTATCGTTGAGAATCACCAGACCGTCGAAGTTAAAGGGCATAAAGCCCAGTTGGCCCGTGACGCCCAAGGCGGCGTGGAGCGGAGTAAGTTGGCCGCGATCCGCCAGGACGAGAAGATCATCGATGGCCTGCCGGCGGAGCCAGCGGCGGTGGCACTGGAAGAAGGTCATCACCTTCTTGGCCCGCGCCCGCTTCTTCCTCTTGGCCGTCTTGGTCAACTTGACGCAGTCGGGACAGCGATCCCTTTCATTTTCGCTCTGACTCACGCTTCCGCGTGCGGAGTTGTGTCTGTGGAAGGATTTTGGGTAATTAACAAATTCAAATTAAAAATTTTTTTAATAAATGTAATACACAGTACAAAAATTGACAAACGATTTTATATTTTCGAAAGATCAAGTTATTCATATCATTTTGAAATGAATAAAGATGATGTTTATATTATTTTACATTATTTGTTCAAAAAATACTACATTTGGTATTTTAAGTGATATGATAAAGTATCATGTTGATATGTTGGAGTCATAAATTTGACATTAATCATATCAGCTTTTTATTGCTATGAAATAAGGTAGAATTGAGCCTATTTCATATCGAATTTATTTATACTTACTACATATTTAAGTAAATACCTATTAATAAACCTAAAATGTTGTGTATCACATTATTCTAATATTTTATAAATGTAATACACAGTACAAAAATTGACAAAAGATTTTAAATTTTTTACAGATCATATCATTTTGATATGAATAAAGATGATGCTTATATTATTTTACATTATTTGTTCGACAAAATACTAAATTTGGTATTTTAAATGATATGATAAAATATCATGTTGATATGTTGGAGTCATAAATTTGACATTAATCATATAGGCTTTTTATTGAGATGAAATAAGCTAGAATTGAGCCTATTTCATATCGAATTTATATATATGTAGTAATGAAATTAATTCAAAAATATTTTTTTAGAAAAATTCACCAACGAACATGACGAAGTTATAGTACATACACATTTTTCCTTAGCTTGTCCTGGGCCTTCATGTAGTTGGAGATTGCCCGGTTGGCCAGTCCCCTGACGGTAGCATCGCTGGCACTGATTATCACATTCTCCGGCTTCAGATCGGTGTGAATTATGTGGCACTTGTGGTGCAGATAGTACAGGCCCTCGAGGACCTGCAGGGCTATCTGTTTGACATTATCGAGCGGCAGTCCATGGTAGCGGGATCTCTGGATGAGGGTGAGCAGATTGTCGCCCAGGACCTCGAACACCAGGCAGAGATGGGTGCCATTCGGTTCGGTCATGTAGAAATGATCGATGAACTCGACGATGCGCCTCCTCAGCGGATGACAATGGTACTCGTCGACGGCGCACAGCAAACGGATCTCATCGCGAGCGGTTTCTGTGAAGTGTTCCGCCGACTTGACCACCTTGATGGCGCAATAGCGCTCGGAGGAGCAATCGAAGCACAGCCAGACGGTGGAGAAGTGGCCATAGCCCAGTTTCTTGATCGCATGATAGCGATGGTCGAAGATGTCGCCCACGGACACCGGATCCGGTTCATCGTCGCCCGGAGTGGAATTGTTTGTCGAGCTCCTATACGAATCCATGGAGACATTTATGCTGTAGGTCAAATCATCTAGCTCATCAGGCTCATTAGGATCATTAGGATCATTTATAGGCTCATTTATAGGCTCATCTGGAGGCTTGACTTGTAGATCTCCATCCGAACGATCCTCGGAGGTGCCAGTCCTCGGAAGCGGAGCTAAATAACAGAAGGGAACTTGCGATTCGCTCTTTTTCTTTTTTACATCATCCGGATCGGTTTTCTTAAGTTCCATGTCCAAGTTATCTGTCATTTTAATTGGTAACTCCAAAATGCCAGCGTTTTTCAAATTTACTTTAATTTTAGTTGCAGTAGACTTCGTGGGATATGTTTTAGCGATAGAAAAGGTATACAAATATAGAACGGTGCGCAACGTAACTGTCTCTGCACGAATATTATCAATACAAAGGTATAATAATTTGTGAAATCGTGGATTAAGAAACAAACCGTACGCGTACTGATTAATGCACTTTGGGCTTCCGGTTGACAACCAAATTATACGATTAGCTCTTCCAAAGCAGTGTTTGTAGTGGCATCCTGTTGGATGAGAATGATTAATATTGTATTATTGGAGCTGATCTTAAAAAGACGGCATGCTAAGTATGTCCAATTTTGAACTTACAAATCATTTGACGAAAATAATCTGGGGTGGGCTATGCTTTTAACTTTTTAGAGAGCATGAACAATTTTTGTAAACCAAAAATACGGTGTTGGCACAAAAATTGTGGAGTTCGTGTTAAATTCTTACGTACATCAATGTAATTCTACCCTAATTTAATGCTAAGATATTTATTTCTATTGCAGAAGCACTATACCTTATTGCTCCCATAGAAATACTCGAATAAAATATTAAAATAAATATAACTTTCTTCCTTTTGAAGTAGGCATTTTTATGTTTGACAATTAAAAAACAAAATCTAAAATAGGGCAAAATTATATATGATATAGACTCTTGAAAATTGTCGATGCACAAAGAATTCGGTTTGATACAATGCAAAAACCGTATATATTGAAAAAGATGATACTTTAAAGCTATTGTGTTGATATCTTGGTTTTGTACTTTGTCTCATTGGTTAGTTGTTATGGAATTGGCACTTACATTTGCAATCTCTCCTCGATTCTGAAACCGTTCCTTAAGATGTCCTCTGGATGAAATATTCTCCCGTAGATGTGAAACAAATCTATAAAAGTATAGCTAAAACGTGTTCTTAAGATAAGAAGTAGCTGCCTATTAAAATATAAATGTTTGGCTCTTTATTTTAAATTTTTAGAGCTCTTTGCATGATGCCGACAAAATATTAACTGACTGATGTTCTACCAGTAAGTCATATCTGCCATGACACTTTCAACAGAGCCCACTTTGATCATCAAAATTAAAGATTTTTCTTGAAAATATTCGCCCCAAAAAAATTAGATATAAAATATAAGATTAATTGGTTTAAAACCAATTTTCCAATTGAATCTACAATATTATAAAAATTAATTAAATCATTTAAAAGCCTTTACCCCCAATGCAAAAGGAATTAAAGATATTTTAAATCTTTTTTTAAATAAAAAAAAACATTTCCTAAACTTATACATTTTTCCTACAATTAGGTCAACCTTCTATATAACTTTTTTGTAAATGGTCCAGTTTCGAGTTCTAGCAATTAAACACAATTCTTTTCCTGTGCCCATTTCTGTTCTTTTTTTCTAAATCGAAACTGTTGTGCAATTGAGGGCGAATCCTTTGTGCAGGTCCAGTGATTCGGAAAAGGCTATTTAGAGCAACAAAGCGCCAGTAACCAGGAAGCAGGAACCAGTTACCAGTTTACAGCGCGATTGAAGGGATTATAAAGGATCGTAAATCTGTTGCAAAATGCACATTGGCGAGAGTCAGCATGGGGGATGTCCTTGTTCCATATACTCAGGTGCTTCAGTTGGACAACAATAGCTCCCATTGAGTCGCCCTCGATCCCAAAATGTTTGTATTTTGATTGCCGGCTTAGCAATTTTTTGTTCACAATTTACTGCTTTCTTTTTTTTGGGGGAGAAATTCGTAAAAAAGTTCCCGAAAAATAAAAAGTTACCCTTCTCCAGCGGGCGAATAGCCGATATTTGCTCAGTTGTTTAAACAAATTTTCCGCTTAGGGTTGGATGGGCGACCTCCTGTTTGCACACAATGGATTTCCATGCGCTGGCTTAAGTGAAAATGCCATGTCAAATATTTATTAAAAAATCTATGGCTGGTTGGGGACATCTACTTTCCACCGCCGGCTTATCGAAGACTTCAAAACTTCGAACTCGGTGGAAAATCGGGGTTTTTAGGTTCCCAGGCGCGTTCTCCTTCAACCCTTTTTTATTTATGTTTTTTTCGTTTTTTGCGCGCACCCGGAAAATTCTTGTTTGTAATTAGGGAGTTTTCCTTATCATTTTCCCAATGCCCTCGGCATTCGACATTGTTTCTCCGCCAATTAAGCGTAATTTCAAGTGTCCCGTTCGTGTATTTGTCCAAAACAATTTCAAAACTCAAGGAAAAGGCATCGTCGCGTTTTGAATTTCACTTTCATAACTGGTTGGCTTCCTAATGAACTGCTTATATGCAGACAATGGTTGCAAATGGAAATAAATTAACGTCGATTTTCCCGTTCTAAGTCTGTGGGAGTGCCTTCGGCAGCTGAAGAAGGGATCAAGGTTTTTTTTCGTATATAAGCTCAACTGAAAGCCTTTTTTTGGAGGAGTGATAAGCGGAAAATTAACCATTATTAAGCCATTTTTACACCCCTTTTCCAGCCCATTTTTACGAAACTTTTTCACTTTTCCAGCAACAAGAAGGGGAGTACTTTGAATACTAAAAAACTGGCTTTTGAAAACCTACATTTTCTATGAGTATCATTACAAGAACTTTTTAATTACCTTGATATTTAATATAATAATTAAAAATAGGTTATCTTTAATCCTCTAGCATTATATTTACTATAATAATTATTTTGAAAGGAAATGCATATTGAAGGTGGTCTTTCTATTACAGCATTTAAAAGATCTCGAAAATATTTATGAAGGGAATTTGTTGTGCCCACTGAAGTGAACCTAAATAACTTACAAGTAATAAAAATCCGCTATGGGACAGTAAGTAGATGGCCGCGGGGTTGTTTTCTTAATTAATTTCCCGTGTTTTTCCACGGGCTTGAAAGGGCCATTCCCCGATTGCCAGCAGCATCCGAGGGGTCGAAGGGTCAGAGGGTCAAACGCGGACCTCGGGATGCTGCAAAAGGGTTAAGTGAACCTCCTAATCCAATTACCGCGATTGACCGCGTAACATTTTATATTTAAAAAAAATATATGTTTCAGCTTACAAAGAAAATAATAGTTGATGGATCATAATTTCAAAAAAATATTGTTATTGAGTTTTTGAGCAAGGTTGTAAATACTTGCATGTTTATGATTTCTTTTGCTACTCTAGGCATTTAAATTTGGTTCGCATAATGTGTTAGGATCAAGTTCTTTTCGATCGATCTCCGAGGGTCCTGCCTCTCGTCCTTCTTGCGGGAATCACAAACAGATGGAGACGCAGACAGCTGTCCTTTGGGTGTTGCCTCCGTCGGAGATTTTTCACTTTTCCATTGTTGCGACGCTTCCTTTTTGTCAATGTGCAGTTACGTATATTGCCGACTTGTCCCCGTTTTTTCCTCAACTTCTTCCTTTCGGTCTCCCGATTTCCCATTCTTTAGTTTTTGATTTTTTTCGCCAGAGTGTGGCATGTGCCGCTCCATTGTGTGCCAATTGGCAGAGCAGCTGCTGCCCTCCTTTTGTTCGTCCTTTGAGTTCCTATCGAAATCCTGCAAAATGCGCCAATTACGTTCTTCATTATCTTTGAACTTGGAGGAGGAATTGGAACTATAGGAAGAACACCTCAGATGCTTTTGAGCTTCGCTTTGCCTCTATTGTAACTCCCTAGAAAGAATGTCAAAATAACCATTATTAGATAATTTTATAGGTATTACTGTAAGACTCAAGTGAGCAAGTGCCTTTAAAGCTGTAATTCTATTATTATTTGTAGTTTAAAATTCATTTAAAATAGTACTTGGATTTGCTCTTTATAAAATTTAGCAAGTGCCTTTAAAGCTGTAATTCTACTATTATTTGGAGTTTAAAATGGATTTAAAATAGTACTTGGATTTGCTCTTTATAAAGTTTATACAGAAAATTAATCCAAGGCTGATTATTTTTAGTTTATTATTGATTTAAAATAGTACTTAGTTTTGCTCTTTATGAAGTTTATAGACAATATTAATTCAAGGCTGATTTGGGATTATTTTTAGTTTATCATTGATTTAAAATAGTACTTCGTTTTGCTCTTTATAAAATTTATATAGAATATTAATCCAAAGCTGATTTGGTATTATTTTAGTTTATCATTGATTTAAAATAGTACTTGGTTTTGATCTTTATAAAGTATATATAGAATATTAGTCCAAGGCTGATTATTTTTAGTTTATCCTTGATTTAAAATAGTCCATGGATTTGCTCTTTATAAAATTTATACAGAATATTAATCCAAGGCTGACTTGGCATATATCGTAGTAACAAATAGTATCGCTAGAATTACATTGCAGTGAATTATTCTTTAAAATAAATTTCAATTCATAGCTACCAAATCAAATGGCTTTTCCATCCTGAGCATTGTATCGTTGGGGATTCCCACATTCGTGGGCTGTTTTTCATTAAGAATCACTGAGATCATTCATCACGCCATTCAGCGGCAGGATATGTCGCAGGATATGACGCTGCATAAACTGTCCAGCGATCGGCGATCGGCGATCGTTACACAAACCGCATCCTGCGCAGATCCTGCCGAACAAAACGCCATTGTCCTGCTGCTCCTGCTCCTCCTCCGATGCTCTAGAAAACGTATCGAATGCGATACATCCCGGATCCCAGGATGTGCAGCTGCTGTCCGGCGGGAAGTTATCGCCGCAGTCATCGTGTCACCGTGTCGCCGAAGGACCGCAAAGTTCGCGCCCATGTCGTAATCCTTTAACTGTCGCAAAGCCAAAACAAACAACGCCGGCGGGTCCGGTGGTTCACCGAGTGACCTCTTCATTACACGGCGACAATCTTGGCGGGTCACCGGAATAAAATAAAAGGGCGGTTCAGCGGGTCGGAAAATTATGCAACACGACGCGGGATTAGCGATTCCTGATTTCCGATCCGATCCTCGATTCCCAAGCCGACACAAACTGACCCCTGCGCTTGTTTTTATTGCCTTGTGTCGGACAATTGATTATGTGACATACGTTCGGTGTAAACAGCTTTGGTCAGCTTTGCTACCTGGGGAAGGGAAAGAAATAGAGTTGTCAATGGCAATGGACATAAATCAGTGGACCGTCGCTGGGAATCCTACAATGGTCCGGTGATATATGGCCCACATATAATGGTAATCCATAATAATTACACACATGTGTGTGTTTGCTTACACAGTAATCGAGTACTTTGGCCCAGTTTGAGATTCGCAACAAAAGCTCTATAAGAATGAAAAGACCTATAAATAGAATATAGAATAAATATCAGCAGGGGAGTGAGCAAATTCTGTATCATTTGCTGAATTCCTATTCTGTAGGGTCATATTTATTTGTTTCTTTATATAAAAAGGTTTTTGTATATAAAGTAAATAGATTAAAATGTATAATGGTCTTTAGAAATGTTTTGAAAATTTTTCAATACTCCAGAAAATGTATCAAATGCTGAAACTAAAATTATTAAGACGTCATAAAATTATTTGTGAAAAGCAAGAATTAAAAAAAAATTTAATACAATTTATATATAATAAAATATTTACGAGTAATAGCTTTTATTTTTAGAATTTGTTTATTAAGACGTCATAAAATTATTTGTGAAAAGCAGGAATTAAAAAAAAAAATTTAATATAATTTATATATAATATAATATTTACGAATAATAACTTTTATTTTTAGAATTTGTTTATTAAGACGTCTTAAAATTATTTGTAAAAAGCAGGAATTAAAAAAAAATTTAATATAATTTATATATAATAAAATATTTACGAATAATAACTTTTATTTTTAGAATTTGTTTTTACCAAAATACTCAAACTACAAATCAGATAAATTACCATATTTTGACCGTTATTTGAAGCAGTTATTGAATCTCAACCTCGTTTGGCATATCTCCCTTGGCAACCGGGCAGTAAAAACTTTTGTAATTATGCAAGGACCTGGCTTCCTGACTTCCTGACTTTCCTGACCAGAAAAAAAAACAACATGCCACAAATGCATTAGAACGCGCTCGATATGCAAACATATAATTGAAAACTGTCAACGTCTGACAAATTTCCCGTCGTAAAACCCGGCGGGTAACCCTAAATTAACCCCACACAATGTACAGAAATATGGAAAAAGCGAACCGGGGGCGGGACGAACCCATTTCCAGAAGTCATAAAGTTGTGATCGACAGCAGGTCCTTGATCCTTGGGCCGTGTTAATGTGTTAGGCGCGTGGGTTGCCCTGATCTGGGGTGGTTTTCTCCCGGTGCCTGTGCAATTTGCGTTGATATGATCTGCGCAGTGTAGTTTTGACAGTTTATCATTATGCCGGCGTGATCCTTGACCCTCATGAGTGGTGGTGGGTCATCCGGTCATTGGTCATTACATTGTAAACATTTTGCGTTTTGTATTTAATTGATTTTCTGCACTGACCCAAGTGGCCAGGTTCCGTCATTAGTCGAGGGTTCCAGGTCCAGATAAGTCGGTTGCGATAGCAGCGGTATGATTAATGCATCTATGTTTATAAGGAAAATGAAATTTTTAGCTTAACATTTACATTTATAGTGGCAGGGTTGTGCACTTAATTTTTCTAGGATTAAAGAAAGGTAAGGTTTCTTGAAAACATTAAACTATTTATAATATTTAAGCATAAGTACAGCATTTTAATATTTGTTTTAAGTATGGGTAATTATATATTTCCTTTTTTAAACCTATATACATACCTTATATCGATCATCTGATTTCTTTGCCCTCTGATTTTGGTCCTTTCTCACGTCTTCCCTTCGAGATCTTTGATCCTTTGTGTTTTTCCTTATCGCTGCACACGGCGCGCCAAAAAATTCGCACACTCTCCGCAGATTTATTATTTGGCAAACATGCACACACATAAATCTCAATCTGTCTGAAAATGTGAAATCGAAAATGAAATCATTGTGCCAAAATCAAAATTTAACCGCAAATTAGGCAATAAACAATGGCTAAAGCGGTCATGGGTTAATACGTTTAGCATCAGCAGACAACCGCCGGGGTCGCAACCACCTCGATCGAAAGGGTTAAAGCGAGGGGTTAAGGATTGCGATATATCGAAGCCGCAGTTTTAAACGTGCGAAAAAATATGCAGTGATCTGTGTTTGTGCTCCAGTTTTTTTTTTTGCCTGCTGGCCCCTTTCATTATTGCAAAAAATTCGGCAATAAAAGGATAGCCTTTTTGAAAATGTTGCTGTTATGATTTGCGCCATTTTGTGCCTACAAAAATTCGAAAAACCTGTGCGGCTAAATAAGAGTTTAAAAAGTGAATGTTTTATTCAGCTTGTAAGCAGCAAATAATTGAAGAATTAATGAATAAAAATAGTTAAAGATCATGGAAAGCCGGTCTCGAAAGTAAAAAAGTTAAGCAATTGGAGCCGGAGAATCGGGAGGGTCGTCATGGGAGTTATCGGCATAGTTCTCATCATAGTAATTGGCATAGTTATCGTAGTAATCATCTTCGTACGAATCGTCATCGTCGTCCGACCAATCTTCTTCCGGTTCGGGCTCCGGAACTGGGTCTCCATCGATGACCCGGTTAACCACTATGGAAATGGAAAGTTAGCCATGCATTATACTATTATATTATAATAATATAGGACTAACCGGGAAAAGTACGGGAGTTGTCCTGTTCTAACCACTGCATTTTCATCTAGTCTTCTTCTTTTGCGTTTCTGAAATAAAAATTTAAGGAAAAGTAATATTATATTTCTTAAGTTTATTTTTCTATTTATTTTCGTGGGCAGCACCGATGCAGTTTTTAGCTAAACAAACATATAGCGGCTCGATCCACCATATGGAGATGGGTATTTGGGTTCTTGACCGAGGGTCGGTGGTAATTTACCATAATTGGGCTTGGGTCACAATTAGCAACGCCTGGACATGGGTCACTGGAATGTTCGCACAAGGAGACCCCGAAATGGAAAATGGGAAAATCCCGCCAGTGCCGCGGGCTAATCAATTACGCAACCTTTAAGAAAACGTCACTGGGTTGTTGGGGTTGTGTTTTCCTTTTCTTTTTTAGCCCGATAACTTTAACATTTTATTCACATTTAATTGCCGGCCATGCATTAATTTCGGAACCTGATCGCGTCGCTGTCAAACGTTTGACAAACTTCCCGGGGTGACATGTGATGTGAGGATCCCGGATCCCAGATCCCGCGTTCCGATCCCATTCCCATTACGGAATCTACATAATTTGCATTTTAACCCTTTTCTTTGTCTAATGATGCAAGTCGCGACCGTCTTCGCCGCCTTGCGGTCACAGTGCCGTCTCGCTCGCACAACTTTTGACGGCTCTCGCTCCGTCTCACTCTCGCCTTCGCGCTGCGCCGCAGATTTATGGAGAAACGCCACGGTTTTTTGAGTCGCTTTTCACCGGAATTGATTGCCTTTCCCCGGATTTATTTGGGTAATTTTCTTTACAATTAAATATGCAAATGCGAGCGTTAAACGTTTACTCTTTAAGGCGTTTGTTGTCCTCATTTGGGCGTGCCAGTCGAAATTAAAGCCCAAGAAGTTTCTTACTAAGAATCGCGTTTATCAAAGAAAATCCGAGATACCGAGAGGAAATGCAAATGTAATTACACTTACTTTTAAGTTAAGGAATCCTTACACTTGCTTGAAGCACAACAAATCAGCAGACTTCTCTTGATAACTGTCGAAATCAATTGAAAAAGCCTAGAACAATTTTTTTCTGAGGAAAAAAAAGAAGACGTCACTACACGAGCAGACTTTATAATCCCAAGAATATGGTCCTTTAATACGGGGCGATTAATACCACTTTACAGTGTTGCCACTTGGCTAATTAGGGAGCACTGCACGAGCTGAAGTGGATTCCTTATGGTTTGGGGACTATCGCTTAAAAATAGGGGAACGTCGTGTTTAAAGAATTCCTGTAAATAGTTATTTTTATAACAATTAATAGAAATAATCATTGTTAATAGACAACTAATATTTTATTTGATACAAGTATAAGGCCAACAACTCAAATGGCTAATTGCGCCATGCTTAGATCGATTTTTACTTTCAGATAAAGCTCAAATTTTATTGTGCTGTTGGTTTTATTATTTAAATTTAGTTAATCAAAAGTATTTAAAAGTCAAATGTATAATGAGAAAATAGCAAAATTTAAAAAAAAATTTAAAAATAAACCTAAATATGGTAAATTGGTATTAAATTTGAATACTCGATAACCAATTGGACTGCGTGTGACGCAAATAAAGCTTCCACACTGCACGGTGTTGCCACCTGTCGTTTGACAACGTGGCCACGCCAATCGAATGGCACCTCGCTTCCTTTTCCCCATCAGCGGCGCTTGCGCAAAGTTCACTACCGGAGAGAGAGATCCCGAAAATCTGCGAAAATCATGGCTTATCATCAGAACCCGAACGTAATTACCTAATTAGTTGTTTTCAGGGCAAATGGTAGAAAACGATGGTGATTCCATTTCAGGGAAACCATTACATGCAGCTTAATCCAAACCAAGTGGTGTACGGAAATGGGCAGCGTTACCAGCCGTGCGTGCAGAATTTTGGAACGGAGCCTAGCTATCCGAACTTCCCACCAAACTATCCACTGAACTGTCCACTAAACTATCCCCCGAACTATCAACATAACCCTCAACCCAACCCCCAACCAAACTACCCACTGAACCATCAATATAACCTCCAAACGAACAACCCACCAAACTACCCACTAAACTACCAACATAACCCCGAAACGCACTACCCACAATACTACTCGTCGAACGCCTATCCGCCTAACTCGCCCCAACCACCGAATCCGTACTCTTCACGCCCACCGATTCGCCGGGAGATCATACATTTCGGGAACACGCCCGGCTATTACTGGCACGGCTGTTGGTACAACTGCGGATTGCCTCGTCCCAGGACCCCTGCTCCCCAGCAGGTCGTGCAACAACCGGAATCCTATGTAATGGGGATGCAACCGCCGGTGGCGCCACCACCACCACCTCAACCTATCTATCAGATTAGAGAGCCAGTAGCGCCACCTCAGCCACCGCCTCAATCCATGGCCCACGATCCCCGACTACAGGGTGTCTACATGATGACAGGGCCACCGCAGATGCCACGCCCACAACTTCCAACCACACAGCAGGTGCCACTCAGCTACTGTGTCATGCAGCCCCAGCCTGGTCCACGAAAACTTCCTCCTGAACTCCAGGCACCTCAGGTGGTGGAGATCGTGTTGGGACCCTCAATTGACGTCACCCGAACCGACGATAAGTTAATCCTGGACTTTCGAGGGCTGCATCCTCCCCGTCCAGTGCCAGCAACGCCTAATCAAGTCAACGAATCGGAACAGATATCGGAAGATATCGGGTTTCAACCTGTATGTACCTATTAATTTAATCATATAATATAACCCTTTATCGGGTTGAGTAAGAAATCAGATTTTATATACATTTTATCATCAGATGTGTTCAAAAGCTTAAAACTATTTTTCCAAAGATAAATTTGGAATTATTCGAAAATTAAAAAAAAAGTTTTTATTATTTACAAGATTTTTATAACAACTATAAAATAACTCTGATAGAACGATGGATAATTTTCTAACTAATATAAGAAATTTTTCAGAGTCCACCTGCCGAGTCTAAATCGCCTCTTCCATCAGGATCTAGTAACACAATGCCTTCTACAAATGAATCAGCTGAAGATGGATCTCAAAATAGTGCAGTAAATGCTGAAAAACAACTGGAAATTATTCAATGTCTCAATAATGTAGCCCAGGATGTGGTATTAATCGCTGAGCATGTTGAGCAGAGTGTTCATAACCCGGCAGAAAACTTGGACATGGTAGAGCAAAAAGTTATCCAAGGCCATCCGAATATGGTTGAGAATCCCAGATTTATTCCTGCTCAGTGTTTAGATTTACCTACGAGCCAGCCAGAAAATGAGCCAATTCCGGTTCCGGTTCCGAACTTGGTCGCAGAACAGCAGGAAACCGAACAATCTTCCAATGCGACCTCAAACGAAGTGAAGAAGCCGAACGAATCTGAAACTTTTTACGAAGATCTTAGCGTAAATAAAGCTACCGAATTGGAGAAGCAATTCGAAGTCACTCAGGTAATACAAGAAAACTTTGATCTCAAATCCCATGACATTGCGGACATTGAGAAGGGAATGGATCAGTTGCATATCGCAGATCCACTGCCCGATCTGGTAACTCAGGCAGGAGAAACTCCTGTCCAAAATGAAAGAATCGATGATTCGAAAATGACTTGTACACTGCCGATAACGATCCCACCGGCCAAGTCCATCGGATCATCCCTTTTGAAAGTTATTAAGCAGGAAAATATCACTAGCAACATATTACAACCCATTAAAAAATCGGATCGGAATATTTCTGTAACGCACAAGAAAAAGGTGAGCAAGATTAATTTTTTCCAACCTAAATTTAGCATTTAAAATAATTTGTAAATTTTTTTTAGCTTCCTGTGCCTCGGAAACCACAGCACAAGTCCATCGGTGCATCCCTTTTACAAGTTATCGAAAAGGAAAACATCACCAGCACCATTCAAAAACCAGACGTGACCTCAAATACAAATATTTCTGAACCGCAAAAGAAAAACGTGAGCCATTTTAATTGTTTCCAACCTAAAATTAAATTAAAATATTTTTTTCTTTATTTTCAGCTTTCTGTGCCTCAGAAACCCTTGAATCAGTGGCCACCTTTGGAGACACGTCCACGAACTAGACTTGCGCCAATTAAGAAACCTTTGGCTCCGGGGATCAAGCTACAAAAGACAGGATCTGTAAATTCGCTACGGTCAACGCGCAGTTCCTTTGGGAGCCGGAAGATCTTCAAATCTGTGGAGCAAAAAGTACCACCGGCAGTCGAGCTAAAAATCAATGTACCAGAAGCTAAAACGGCCCCAATTTCGCCAGCAAAGAGGATCGAAGGAAATATTCAACAGGGTGTAAGGAAAAACTCGGCAAAACCCAAGGTAAATGAAAATGGACCTCAATTAGCACAGGCTGATAAGGAAAAAATCATAAGGGATAACTCGACAAAGCTCAGAGTGCCTCAAACTGAGTCACAATCAACGAAAAGCTCTTCGCCTGATAAAAAACCCTTGGTCAATACCAAAAATACTACTATTCATACCTCGCAGGTCAAAAAGAGTCCGGAAATTAAATCACCGCCCACGAAAAAGCCAATGGTGATATTGGAGAAGAGAGAAGCCCCAAAGCCAGTGACAGATTCCTTGGTCACAATATCAAATATGTTCGAGCTGCTCCTTGATGAGCCGGAAACGCAGTTATCAGAAGTCGATGATGACGAAAGTTTTCAACCAGAGGCCCAAAAAACTGGTAAACTGGTTCCGCAAAAGGCGGTTAATTCCAAAAAGGAAAAGAGGCGCCTGAAGAAAATTAGTACGGCCCAAAAGAAGCTGGAATTATCTGAGAAAAAGGCAGCCAAAGAAGCCTTAAGGGCTAAGAAAGCAGCAGATAAGGCCAAAGACTTGGAGTCAAGCCAAACATTCGAAAAATGCTTAGCGAGCATAAAGAAAAATGAGGTGGCCTATTGGCAGCTAACCGATCTCATGAGGAAGTCCTCGATGAAACCCATTGGACCCCCGCCTCCACCAGGAGCACCACAGCCTCCACCGCCTGCACCTGAACCACCTGCACCTGCTGGAGTTCCGGAGAGGAAGAGAAAGAGCCCCGGGCTAAGTAAGTTCCTCAGTGCGGTTAATGTGGCCGCGTTGAAACAAGTGGTTGCAAAGCGAAGGGAACTGTTTGAGAAGAGAAAGCCGGCTAGCAATGATTTGGATATTAATCCAACCCTTCGACTGCGTCCTTTGATTCCAGCTGGGGATGCCAAGGAACCAACTCAAAGTACTCCATCGGTGGTTCCTCCACCAAAAGTGATGAAATACGAAAGCCCTTTGCCAATGTCGTTCAAACCCATGCCAAAAAAAACTATTGATCCCGTTCCAAATATAATTGAACTTCCGAATTCTGCAGCTCCAGAGAATAGATGGTTAAAACAAAATAAGAGCATCAACGAACTTTTTCTCATACCTCAACAAGTTCCAGCCTCATATGCACCCCTTTCACCGGTATATGAAGTGCCACCGCGATCTGATTTGAAAGACCGCCGATCCCTGGATCGAAAAGAGTGGCGACAGAAGGATAAAGTAACAAGGAGGTATTTTCCCTTCATAACTTTCGAGGAACTAAAAGAAAATCGCATCCGAATTTTAGGCAAATAATTAAATTGCAAAGGTTAATTGACAATTTATGTGAATCATTCTGGAATAATTCTGGTATGATATGGTTTTCATTTATGTCATGGTTTAGGTGATACTTTAAAACTAGTCTTCCATTATTCTGACTCATAATCATAATAGCTATCTAACATTATTTCATGGCCTTATATAATAACACTTGTAAAATATCTATGTCTCCACTAATAAAATAAAATAAAAATGTAACGCAACCCCGTCTACTAATCCTTTAAAATACCCCCTGCTGATCCTGTAAGTTTATCCCTCACAACTTGGTATTTGGAAACTGGAACTTTGAGTATTTATTTCAGCCGGAACCTGTGAATTTCCACAACTAGGATTAGGTAAGATAATGCACCCTGTGAACTGCTTTATGATCTCATTCCGTTTGGCGATAATCTCTTCCAGATCCGATCTCTACCAGCAATCCAGCTTCATCCAAGACGAATGCCGATTTCTATGGTTCTCAGGCTCGAGACTTAGCCACAGTTTGGACTAATTAAGTGTCGAAGGGATTACCAACGCCTACCCAGGGTGTGTTGTGATTTACGACGGAGTACCTGAGCTACCTGTCGGCAGATCCTCATTAGCATCGGCCGACGGACGGATCGGATCGGATCGGATGCACCGGAGGAGGTGGCATCTAATGCGCTTGAGTCCCGAGGAGCGCGTGTGCCATTCATCGGGTCGCCTCCATTCATCTCCATTTATCTCCATTCACATGTACGTATTTCAGCCCATCTCGTGCTATTCTAATTTGTAAATCCCGTTTTTCCTTCCGACTGTGTGGAACTCATTTGGCTTAGCCCTCTGTGGCAATTGCTTTCGTATTGCAGGCGAATCCTGCAATGTCCTGTTTGTCCCCAGATCGAAATCCTTTCGCCCGTTGCACAATGTCCTTTGGGATCTGCTGGCAGCTGCAGCTCAGGTCTCGTGTGGGTGCCCGCTCCCAAACATTTGCATCTGGCTTAAGACGACGAACCTTAAGACGCTCTAAGCCAAATGGATGGGCTCATTGTGTATTTTTTGTTTTCTTTTTTTTTTGTCCATACATCCAGCTGTCCCTTGACAGAGATTGACAATCCAAGTGCACCCATTCTGTATTAAAAAAGGTTCTTATCTGTAACAAAAAATCTGAACCTTACCTTAAACACATTGAAATAATTATGGTGTAATTCGATTTTTATTTATGCCATCGTAATGATAGGAAAAATTTATATGTATTTAATTTAATTTTATATTAGATCAATACTTGCCGAAATTGTATATTCATTTTTAAAGTCTTAAAATTAAATATAACTAACGTTTCCATATCTTTTATTTTATTTTTATTTTAGTACAATAGGTTTTTTGATTTTTGAATTTCCAGGTAGATACTTGCCAAAATTATATATTTATTTTTAAAGTCATAAAATTAAATTTAACTGTAACGTTTCAATAACTTATTTTATTTCTTATTTTAGTACTATAGGTTTTTTGATTTTTGAATTTCGAGGTAGATCAATACTTGCCAAAATTATATATTCATTTTTAAAGTCAAATCACATATACTACTCCCATAAAATAAAATAAAACTGTAACGTTTCCTTATGTTTTCTTTTATTTTTTATTATAGCAAACAGGTTTTTGATTTTTGAATTTCCATAAATACTTGCAAAAATTATATATTCATTTTTAAAGTCAAATCACATATAATACTCCCATAAAATAAAAGAAAACTAACGTTTTCATATCTTTTTTTATTTTTTATTTTAGTACAATAGATATTTTGATTTTTTAATATTTTAACACTTGATCTTCATGTTATAGAGCCCAACTTTTATAAAGAAATAACGTCTTAAGAAATTCTTCAGACTTTCTTTTCCACTTTCTTTCGAGCCACTTCCGTAACATCTTCATTTGCGATGGGCGAACTTGCACCGCGCCTGTCAGCTGCACGTGGTCACGTGGTCACCTCAATTTGGTCCCATCAAACGGGCGACTAACTCGTCTAATTGGCCTGCTCCCGCTCTCCATAGCCACTTGGCCAACGGAGTGGAGTGCCTATCGTAATTGGATCTGGCTTTTGCTTTTCCGACTGCGTCATGTCACATGTTGTACATTGGGTTGGGAAAAGGACTCACGCGTATCGATGTCCCCGCGGACAGCGTTCATGTGTCGTTGTTGTGATGTCCCGATTTCGGAATCGATTCGGATGCGGCGACCCTTGAACAATTTATTGCTCAATTTATATTTGCTTAGACTGCCAATAGTTCAATAATTCAGAAAAAACGCCGCGAAGCTATCGTGTGTCCTGGGAATTTGCATAAACATGATTTGCATAAGGCAGCTGCCTTCTGGGAGTAGGCATCTCCATCTCCATCTCGTGTCGATCCTGCCTCCTTGGCGCGGCAAAAGGTGTGAGCTGATGTAATGGGTCTGAATGTGACTCTACCTGGACCTTCCTTTCCTCCTTACTTCCTTGCACGTAGTACCTTTCATTTCCATTCCGTTCTGTTGTTGTTTGCCATCCGTTGTTTTGATATGTAAGTTGATATATGATATTTGATTTCTTGGAGAGACTTCTGGGTGTCGCCGGGGTCTCAACTTCAATTACGGCAAATGGCAAGCACGAAGCTAGTTAGGCGTAGTTATGGGTTTTCGTCTCCATCTGCCCTTTTTTTCTATCCACGTTTTCCCACTTCTGTTGGAAAATCCTTACATTAATCTTAAAGGTTAATGTTACGTGGTAAACTTGTCTTTAATGTTTTAACCTTATGATTTAGTAATTAGTATTCTATAAATAATGAAATTACATTTAATATTTTCATTATTTTCTTTGAAGTTAGTATCACAGGGGTATATACTTTTGGTCCTATGAAGATAAATTCCCTAGCAATAAACTAAAATTGGCTTTAGTAATTAGTATTCTATAAATGATGAAATTATATTAAATATTTATTAATGTATACATTTAATTGTTTGAAAATAAGTGATTTGTTGATATTCCATTATTTTCTATGAACTACAATTTTCTTTAGTGACTAATATTCTATACATAATTAAATTACATTAAATGTTAAGGTATACATTTAATTGTTTAAAAATAGGAAAATTCTACATTTTTTGTTTTTTTTATTATTTTCTATGAGTGTTAGGATCACCAGGTTACAAATATCTGCAGCGGTATATTCTAAGTTTTCTGGTCCTATGAAATTAAATTCCCTTGCAATAAATAAAATTTCCTTTAGTAATTAGTATTCTATAAATAATACATTTAATGGTTTAATGGTTAAAAATAAATTCTACGATTTTTGGCTATTCTATGATTTTAATTAAAGTTAGGATCACAAGGTTTCGAATAACTGCAGGGTTATATGCTAAGTTTTCTAGTCCTTTCATGTTTTGCTTAATATATTTCTTTCTTTTTGTACATTTTGCATAGTCTCACAGCTGCCGCTGCTGCTGGAATGGAATTCTATGCAAAATAGTCGAAGCCGGGCGACTTTTAGTCGCGCCTGTCAAGTCGAGTCCATATGGCCACATGGCAGGGCAGTGCAGCGAGGATCGCTGTAGCGGAACACACGCTACCTACCTGTGCAGGATGCACCCCCTACCCTGGACTACCGACTACCGACTGGAGTCGCACCAAAAACCCGACCTTTGCTGAAGTGCGTTTGTAAATTTGTTTGCCAAATCAGTTGGAGAGTGCGCGCGCGAAAAAAGAAAAAAGGATATAGGGAAGTAAGGATCCCGATCCCACCATTTGGCATTTGTCACCCTCCGATGAACAGCCCTTTATTCCCTATCGACGCCTTGGGATTTCCCCCGACTTTCCTTTCATTAGTGCAATGCGGAAAATTGCAAATGATTCAATTCTAATCCGATGCCGCGTCGCATTTAAATTTTTGCACACTTCAAGTGCAGGGAATCGAATCTCACGATTCGAACCCAACGGGTTACTCTATAAAGTAAAGGGTTCGGATTCTCGAGGATGATTTTGTCACATCCCGAGACTCCTGTCAAGTGAGCCGCACTTAATGAAGTAGCAAAGGGAAGATGGCAACAAAGATTGCCGAAAAAGATCGGGCAAAGTTTCGCACAAGATCTCCGCTGTGCCGGCAATTGTTATAATAATATTTTCAATGACATGACAGTCCCATAGATTTGCATTAATGATATGCGGCCCGATGATGTGCAACATTTGTTCGTCCCTGCCCCTAAGAAGATGGTAAAGGGTTGCTCTTATTCCTGAGTGAATCTTGATGGGTTTCCATTTTTTGTACAAGAGTCTTGGGTTCCTTGAGGAATATTGGCAATTATAGCAGTCGCCCTGGACGATGATGCATGGCGATATTATGCAGAGCATATGCAAAGCAGGCTGGGGGGAGTCTAATCCAGATCTAAGAACTCCTAAGATTGATTATGTCGAGGGGCCTGCGACTAGGCCAGGTTGAATATTTATGGAAACATCCGCAATCTGCCACAGAAAATTTGGATTTTGGAATTCCCGAGTTCGGATCTTCGACAAAAAAGAAATTGATTGATTATTTCCGTGGCTCGAAAGGATTATATTGAAATTATGCTTTTTTCGATGCATCTTCTTTGGGGGTTTCTAAAGATAGAGATTCCCACACTTCTTTTTAAATATCTAAAATATGGGAAGAGCAATTTTTAAGAATTTTAAGTTCTATATAAAACTTTATTAATTGGTTTTATTTATTTTAATTTTAAAATCTTCTAGATTTTCTAATTTCCTTCTTGTTCAACGTTTTTTACAGATAGTGACGACTTGCACCAATATTATTTTGGACTCTCCAACAACTTGGTCTGGATTTTCAGCTGTGACCGCAGGACAAGGACCTCAAAGTCCTTTACACCTGTCTTTGACCCAGTGTGCTTGATGATGTGCGGTTTGGCAGCCCAAATAACATGTTATGTGCGGCATAATTAAACCGAAAAAAATTGAGGATGAGTCGAAAAGTCAAGGGCGGCGCATCGGCAGCAGCAGCAGCACCAGGAACTTCAAGGACCCGAAGCAACCGAAGGACATTGCCCTGGCCAACAGGTGAAATTTGGTGTTGCGAGGGACACGGCTTGTTAGAACCTCGATAGAAGTCCTTCGACTGCCCGTTTCTCGATCGCATTTAGCGCCTTCCACTCCACCCGCATTTTTACTACACCGCGAGAATGGTATTATAATTATCTAGAAATAATCTTGTAACATTTGTCACTATATAAATAAGTATAGTTAGTATACTACAGTATATTATATAAGTATTTATATGGTTTTGTATGGATTAATATAAATGTTAGTAATTTTAAATTACCGATATGAAGTTTAAAAACACTATTCAAAATTCCAAGGAGCGGATATACATATAAAAAATATTGTTTAGATATTCTACACGCATACACATAATATAATAAATACTTTTACTTATTTTTTAGATAGAAGGCCATATGAAAATGAAATAATACCGCACTGATGACCAATTTTGGCAGCATTTTTCCTCCGAAATGAGGGGAACTGAGGGGCAGGGGCGCCCGCAGGATCCAGTAACAACATAACTGTTACGCGCTAAATGTCCTTTGTCCTGGTCTCCTGTTTTTGCACATGCTGACACATTTGCACACACGTTGTCGACGTTGGCGAGTGACATTGACTTCCTGACAGGACATGCAGGAACCGGGAAAACTCAACCCGCCCTCTGGTCCTTTGGTCCTCTGGGTTTTTCGGGCTGTTTTTGCAACTGTTCGCGCCGATCGATCAGATCGCCAGGCGATAATGGAGGAGGCACGCGTGCGTGGCCAGCGGTTCTCAAGCGGATCTCAAGCGGGCAATGGCAACAAAGTGCGGGTCGAAAGGTGCGTTAAATATTGTCAATTCAATCGGTTCGGTAGTCCATCCATCCCCCTCTCCATTTCCATTTCCCGATCCCAAAACACCGATACGATACTTTTGTCCCTGTCCCAAAATTAAGCGGGCGCCTGTGCGCTGGTGTTTCCATTTTCGCCACTCGATAAACGTTTAAATCGCAATTAGAGTTTTGGAGTGTGCCCGCCTTTAATGGGCGATTTTTCACAATTTTCTCAATTTCCCAAAATGGGTTTTCAATTGAGTGCAGATCGCCGGATTTCATTGTTTTGCCCAGGGAACATCTCTTTCTGTCTGTTAAAGTTGGAATTGGAGACATTTCAATTAAATTTTATTATTCCTTATTTTTCTATAGGGATTTTTAAAAAATAAGTAGTAGTTAATAACAAGTGGTTCCCTATAAAGAACATTTTCAGATTTTATCTTATAATATAATTGTATCATATGATAGTGGTACATACCTTTTTAAAATACTTTTTAACAAACCTAAGAAGTGTAATTTATTTTTCTTAACCTTTTCCACAGATAATAATAATAACAATAATATTTTTACATACCTTTCTAACAAACCTAAGAAGTGTAATTTATTTTTCTTAACCTTTTGCACAGATAATAATAATAACAATAATATTTTTAGATAATATCTGATAAAAGTATACTCTATAAAAAAGTATAAAATAATAATTTTTAGATTTTATCTGATACTAGTATCCTACTATCCCATGATAATAGTAAAAACCTTTTTAAAACACTTTTTAATAAACCTAAGAAAAGTAATTTATTTTTCTTACCCTTTCAGATTTTCCATATCTACGTTATGGAAGCTTGCCTCAACTAACGCTCGACTCATTACTCGTCAGCCATCCGAAACCAGAAGATAGCGTAGATTCCGAGGTTCCCAAGTGCATGGCACATCCGGATTTTGGACTGCGTAAGTATCCGTTTCACTTTCAATCAAAACGAAATTAAAGAAACGTAGGTTTAATGAGACGGCAAGTCTAAAACTGGACAGGGGCAATTCAGAGCGGGAAAAATGGAAATGAAAATGAAAATTCGGGAGCGGTCATTAGCCGGACGGACAAGAAGAAGAACAAGAACAAGAACCAGATAATAAGAGCAATAATAATAATGGGCAACAGCCCAAAACAGCGCGGTGGAAAAGTGAAGAAAAGCGAGAGTAATAAAAAAGCAGCGGCGTGAACCTTCTTTTCTTTCTGTTTTGGGAAATTGGAAAGTTCAGGACGCGGACGCGAACGACGAGGGTATGACAAGGGACCTGCCCTGATTTCGGCGGGTTATATGTTATATATACAGACATATAGATCCTTTGGCCAGGCTGCTTGACCGCTCGACCGCTCGACCTTCCTGCGATCGAAACTTGAAGGGAGTTCGTCGGGTATCACATAATAAAGTATTTTACTTTGTTTTGCCTGTCACAGTGCACAATGTATTCTGCACGAGATGATGGTCAACCCATCATCTGCATATGAAAGTTTCACGCTCTACTGAACATTGCCATGGGAAGTGGAAGTGGAAGTGGTTAAGGAAGTGGATAAGGAATTTCCTTGCCAGACGTGTTAACGCTTCTGGCTTAACCCACTCCTTTCCCCTTCGTCTCAGGGGTTGGACAAAATGTTATGACAGCTCATTTAACGCCATCGATAGCTTGACATCCATCTGGCCATCCATCCAGTTCGGGCTAATGAGGATCGGACTCCTTGGGGAGCTGTGGGAATTGCCCAGGCTATAACCCATCTATGCCCTGCAGGATGTCTGTATACTTGATTGCTGCTTATCCTAATTTTGTAACGAGTTACAGCTAATAGTTTTCCTAGAATCCTCAAGATTAAGTTTACTAAGCTCTGCAGGCGGTCAACTCATTAGAAAATTATTTGAGTTTATATTTTTCATTTCTGGAACGCAAGTTTTTCCTACACCCAAAAAAATCGATATAAAACGTAGATCGATTTTACATTATTTAAGATCTATTTTAATTTGAAAAGAGAGACAAAAGAGCATGTAAAAACGATATGGGTTTGCATGACCTGAAACTTACATTGCCATATCGATTTTAGCTTAGTTTACATCGAAACTAACCCTAAGAAAACTGATTTAATAAGTACCTACATATTTTTAAAGATAAATCTTTAAATTATGATTTCATGGAACAAGAAGAAATTATAGCTTTCGTTTCTTTAAAAATATTATTGTGCTTCATAAGGCCATTAATATAATTTTACTGCCCTTTTATTAACTACGTTCCAAAGAAGCAATTTCCAAATAAGAGTAAGCCACTTCCTCAACTAAGATCCGTTTTGAGTTAATGTCACCTTATAGCCACTACCTGTTGTATTTCCAGGTAGACATTATCATCTAAGATCCCACATATCTTGGCTGCTTACCCACCGAATTCGTTAATAATAATTCCTAGCGACAATTGTCGCTCAACCCCTTTGGCCCTCATTACAGTCTATAGTCTATAGTCCACAGTCCAAGTTTCAGACTTCTGGAATCCCCTATAGCTCGCTATCAGAGCATTAAAACGCCCATTAACCCGGTCGCCGGGTTCTCACAGAAAGTGGTCTTCTGGCCCTCAGAAGAATTCCTCTCCACGCACCGCTGAGCTTCGAGAGGTGTTTTGCATAAACTGCTGGTTCCTTGTGGTTTCATCCGAATTATGACAGCCCCTCCAACTTCCCCTTCCCCGCAATTCTATTAGTCCAGGTAAATTTTTGCATTAAAAATGATTTATTCCGACAAAAAAACGTTCTTAGGGCTATAAAAAAAAAGTGTGTTGTAAAAAAAAAGTAGGAATATCCTTGAGGATTAGCTCTGTTCCGCCAGGGAGAAGCTGAGTCGTCTCTTGGTGGCATCCCTGGCCTGCACCTGCAGCCACATGGCGTCCAGCTGGCAGGCCTCCTCCAGCTCCTCGCCGCCCAGTCCCCGATTCAGCTGGCAGTGCTCCTCCTCCTCCAGTTCGCAGTCGCTGGTGGAGTTGTGCCCGCTGTCCGGGCTGATGTGGCGCCTCTTCTGGCTGCTCCGGTGGCTGGGCACTCCGGATCCCGACCTGGCCGCCGCCAGCAGCTTCTGCGCCGACTGCCTGACGCTGGAGGAGATCTTGGTGGTGATCTTGCGCTTGCGCCGCACCACCCGCTGCCTGCGCAGCTGCAGGGAGTGTCTCTTTCCCAGGCTCTGGCTGGGATTGGGATGGGGATTCAGATTGGAGGCGGGGGAGCACACCTCCCGCTCCTCGAAGCCATCGGCGGGAAGGGAGTCCCTGCGCGAGGGCGACTTCCAGTACTCGCACAGATCGCTGGCCGGATCGAAGGCAGGTCGATAGGTGGGCGAGTGGGTCTGGATGGCTGACTGGCTGTGGCTGCTCCGGAGCACCTGTTGCCTGTGCCGCTGGCGGAGATGCTGCCTGGGCTGGCGCAGATGCCCCTTGCGGTTGCTCTCCAGGATGGCATCGATCATGCGCTCCAGGGTGACATCCCCCATCTGGCTGGAGCTCAGAGTGGTCTGTGCGGAAACGGGGGCAGGAACAGCGGGATGGGGCAGAGGCTTCTGCTCCAGATAGCGGGGCTTCTCGAAGTAGCTGTCCGGGATGCCCACGCCACGCAGGGCGATCAGGGAGCCAGGGATGACGGCGGCATTGGGCGAGTACTCCGCCTCGAAGGTGGGCAGGGTGCAGGCGAACTTGAGAGGAGCAGCTGCTGCTGTTGGAACTCCTGATGCTCCTGATGGCGGTGGTGGCGTGGCCAGGATGTTGCTGAGGTCCTTGAGCAGTGGAGTGCGGGTGCCGAGGGTCAGGGAGCTCGGCAGCGGAGTGGAGGTCAGCTGGTTCTCCTTGCCCTGCGTCAAACCGAGCGACTTCCTCTTCAGCTTGCCGCGCAGGGCGTGGAACTCGCTGTAGCTGGAACCCACCGCCTCCTGGTGGCTGGTGGCCATCAGCTCATCCCTGGCCAAGTACGAGGGTCTCGGCTGGTTGACGGCCCACTTGAGCATCTTCTTTGTCTCGTTTGGACTTCTGACTCTTTGTATTTGTACTTTGTAGTGGGTGCTGCAAGAAAGGAGCAAGGAGAAGGGGTTAGGGAGGTGCTTTATTTCTGGTTCTCGCATTCCAGAACTTGACTTTTTGAAGGAGCAAACACAAAAAAAAAGGGCAGCAGCAAAGTTGCCGGGTGAGTTTTCGGCAATTTTGGCGCGCTTTTTCCGCGATATATGTACATATATATATATATAAATGCACATATCGATTTGGCGAAATCAGCCAAGCGGCAAAAATGAAATCAAAAACGAAATCAACCACTCCTCACGAGCAATTAACTGGACCACGGGCAGCCTTTTTGGCTGGACCTTAATAATTTAATTGACTTTCAACTTGATATGGTCAATTATTTTTCGGAATTTTTAAATACTAATGGATTGTGTTTTTTTCGGCATTCAAATTGCATAGTTGAGTGAATCTCGAAAAATCACAACCTATCCAAAAATTGTACTCCTCTTAACGATTTTTTTTTAGTTATTAAGTTAAGATCACTTAAGTTCAATCACTTGAATTTACCTTTTTCAGTAGGTTTTTTTTGGGGCACTGATTTTTTTCTTTCAACAGCAAAAAAATTAAGTTTCACAGATTTATTTTCGATATTTTTTTGGATTGTTAATTGTATAGTGCGCGATTGGTGAATTTTTTTTAAGTGTAGCCTTTATTATGTCGCGTTTTTCTGGGAGAGATCGACTGTGTGCGTTCCCTTCGCCGTTCGCTGGTTGAATGACTGTCGCCTTAACCCGCAGAACCCTTAGCTGCCCGAGGTGAGACATGGGTTAACGGGAGAGCGGGAGAGTGGCAGAACGGGAGAGCGGAAGAACGGAAGAAAGGGAGAGAGTGGAGGTGAGAGAACGGACATGTTGCGCATGCGCAGACGGCAGGAGAGAGCAACAGTTTCAATTGAAATGGCAGGCCTTTCAACCAGCGGCATTGAAAATGTGGGTGGTAGGAGGCTTTTCATAGACAATTTTTGTAAAATAAATATATCATATAGATGGGTCATGTTTTATGAAGATATAATTTTTTAAAATAATTTTATATTTTTCTAATTACAGAATTTTATTGTCAATATTTTTATGACATTGAATTTAGTTTACTTCATATGCATGGATATTGCTTTATTGCCTATTAATAAGGTAAAAGTTATAATGATATGTGAATAATTGCTCAAGTTTAATAAAATAAGTGTAAAAAATTTCAAATATTAAAAAAAATTTTAAAGGGAATTTACAATGGTTTTGAAAGGTTTCTTAAAGATTTTTAATATGCATCTAAAATATATTCAGAACATATTTTCCCATGGAGTTCTAAATGTAAAACCGAAACCAACTCCCTAATCTCTTTCCAGATAACCATTATGTAGTACAAATTGGAAACCAATATCTTATCAATTTCATAGTTCAGAATGGGCTACGCTTTGATCCACATTAACTTATCTTGACGATCGGTTTTTATAACCGTTTACCGATCGATTTACGATCCGGCAACAGCTGTGCGAATCTTCTATGATCGTGAGATTTTTTAATGGCCACCGAGGATCATCAGTTGGCCAAGTTGTGTTATGAGAAAGAGATGGTGATAGAGGTAGAGCGAGTGGGACAGGACACAGCTGGCCAGCTGTTCTCATCGCCGCTTACGCCACAAAACATAATTTTCAATTACCTTTCTCGCAGCGTGTGGCTCCTTTCACCTTGGTTTCCTTATTATACCCTGTTTTTTTATCTTAAGAGTATACTTAATATCGAAGGATTTGGGGAGCAGGAAGTTAAAAATAATATGAACCCAATGTGTGCTATAGATTATTTATAATAAAGTTTATAAGAAAAATTGTAATATTATATTTTATAATTTAAATAGATGTACGAAAATATTTATGTAAGTTTATTTTAAAACAAATATGGTTAAATGCTTTAAGTATGATGTTGTTTTTTTAAAATGCTCTTCTCATTAATAACTTTTAATATATTACTTTGTCCCCCGAATAATAATAATTATCTAAACTTTAAATTTAAATTCACATAAGGTAGACTTATAATACCAGGTATCTCACAGTCGTTATAATCAACCATACTTATTCTTCTTGTTTTTTTTTCTTCCTTCTTTTTCGATTTTCGCCAAGAAAAGGACAACACACAATCGGCGGCACAGGAACTTGGGCATTGTACAATTTTGGCCCATTGTTTATGGGACAAGCAGCGCTGCCGACTTCGCTGTCCGGGGAAAAATGTTGTGGAAAATTGTGCAATTGTTTTGCAATTTATTGGTTAAAGGGCTCCTGCTCCTCCTTTTACTTTCCATCCTGCTTTCTCCCCTGAGCGCAAATTTATGATATTTTCGCAGCCGCCGAGTGTCCGCCGGAGGAAAAGAGAATTAAATCTCTCTGCTAAGAAGCGGTACATCTGTCCATCCTTGGAATTTTCACCATTTCTTTTTCCCAACTGCTTGCCTAATTTATTTGACAGTTTTGTGCAAACACTAAACAAATTTGTTGTTACGATTTTCGATAGGAAGTTGATTGAAGCAGGTCCTTGGGAGATTTCCGGACCACCGAGTGGAATTCAATTTATGGTGCAATTAAAGATGTTCAAGTGATGTGTGTTCATTGGGGACCAAACAATAGGGTCAGGTCCCATGGGAATACCCAAAGGACAAGACATCTTCATAGAGCAACATTTGTGAGACGAGATATTTTGATGGACAGAAAAAATTGAGTGCACAAAATTTGTATTCCAATTAATACCTAGAAATTATTTAATTAATTTTAAAAATTTCCCTAAGCATTTGCAAAATTTTTTGTCTAACTTTAACTGAAAATACCCCAAATCTTGAACCAATTTCGATTCTTGATTGCTTTTCCCACAACCGTTTATTCAAATAAATCTTAAACCTTCGTTTCGCAAAATTGACATCCGAGAGGCGCTTTCCCAGACCAAAATTGAACTGAGCCCTAATTTGCTGCCCCATTGAGGGTGAAAAAAAATGGAAATTATGGTGCATAGTACTTCGGACACCGATCAGCTGCCCGGCAACGTTGAGTGACCAACGATAAATCTCGGGAAAAAACGAAGCAAATTGAAATAAATCAATAATATTGGGCGGAGATCATCGAAGATGGCCAGCAGCTGCCGTTCCTTTGCCTCGAGTTGTGCGATCTTCCCAATAATCCGTGCCAGTCCTTTTGAATCAAAGGCAATTTTACGCATTGGTCACTGGCCGAAGACCGAAGGATAAAGCCGAAGGATCGAGGAGAGAGAGGGTGACAAGGAAGATAAATTAGGGCAGAAGGAGTCGGAGCCTCTCGCCGCTCCCTTCGATTTATTTTCCAGTTCCTCCTCCAGCCCTGCCGCTAATAAATTGCCCAACAATTGTGCAATTTTTCATAGATGGAGATGGGGAATTGCACCGCGACCTTGACGCAAAGACTTCACGCTCTCGGATTTGCTACCGTTTTCCTTCCGCATTTTGTTCCCTTTCCAATCGCTTTCCCAATCAATGGAGTTTTCTTCTACACGTGGAGAAAAGAAAGAGGGAAACTGGAGGGAAGTTTAGGGCCTTCAATTAGCCTGAAGAAATTTTTAAGAGATTTATTAAATTGTTAGAATTTAAGTCCGGCTATAAAATGTTTCCCAAATGAATTAATTTATTTAAACATTAAAGATTTCGAAAAAGTATAAATGCCACATTGGTGTTCTTATTAATACCTATAAAACTGCAGAAGAAATTTTTCAAATCAAATGATTCATTAAAAAGTTATGAGCAAATAATGAAATTCAAGCAATGCAAGCAGTCGCTTTATAATCTATTGGTTGCTTTAAATTTAACCCGTTAAAATGTTAATATTTCTTTTGAATTACTACCGTTGGTGTCCTTATTAATACCTATAAAACTGCAGAAGAAATTTTTTAAAACGAATCATTCATTAAAAAGTTATGAGCAAATAATGAAATTCAAGCAGTGCAAGCAGTCGCTTTATAATCTATTGGTTGCATTAAATTAAACCCGTTAAAATGTTAATATTTCTTTTGAATTACTACCATTTAGATTTTTTTACATGTATTTATTTGTAAGTTTCTTAAAAATCTACTATTACTGATATGGTCTTCTTCTCTGTGCAGGATCGCTGCTGTTGGGCCGCCCCATTCCGTTCGCCATCGCCGGGGAAAACGTGCGGCGGCAAGGACATCTAGATAAAGTGGAAGGTAGGCAGGGGAAAGGAGTCGGGGAGGAGTAATCTTGAATCACACGCCGCACACTGATAGGAAACCCGGGGAACCTCAGGAGGACCCACAATCCCTGGCCGGACAGCTGTTCGGGGATTAACCGAGGCCAGCCGAGCTCCTTCTCCCTCACCTTTTGCTTTCTCCCATCTATGTACTTTCTCCTTCGGGGCGCGCAAAATTATTAAAACCTGGCCCTGAATTATGGGCCATAATTTAGAATTTCAACGAGAGCTCCCTGCGATCGCCGTATATTTGTATTTGCTCGGAGCTTCCCTCTGGCTCCTTCTTCCTTCTTCATCACGTTTCTTTTTCTTCTTTTTTCCCTGGCCGATAAGGCTGGCGGGCAAAAAAAGAGGGTGGGCTGTGTTCACAGGACCCAGATCCTTTGATTGATTTGGGATCGCTGTGAAAAGCTGGCATTGGCATCCATTGACAGGCAGGCACTTCAAGATCGGGTTATTTGCGCAGGATCAGGCGAAATCGCAAGAAAGGATCTGCAGATCAATAGGTGATGCAGAACACAGCGAATAATTGGATCTGGCTAAGGAAAAACTAAAGGGAAAAGGATATAGAAAGCGGACAAGGGAGATGAAGGTATTGTTAGAGCAGACACTTTTATATTTCTTTAATATAATTATTTTTCCAATTTTAATCGGCAAACTTAAAATAAATCCTTTTTATTAAAGACTTCTAAAAACGTTCTCTTAATTTTAAAAACATCTTTTAACATTTTTTTCGATCAATCGTAGAAATATTTCCGGCTATCACCTCGACACAAATCAAAATAAAATCTCAATCAACCTTTTTCAATTATTCCTTGGAAGCGATCAATTTTCGAATATGTATATCAATCGCACAATTTATGTCCCAATGGCAAGTCCCTTGCCAGCCATTATTATAATATATGCTGATCGTAACCGGGGCATTTGTCAGAGATTATTCGATGGAAATCCGAACTTGACAAATGCCAAGTGAAATGGGCTGGGAGATGGAATGCAAAGCATTCGATTTCAATATCAACCCGTTCACTCCAGGGGGCGGGACGAGTTGACATTTCCAGGGGGTTTTCAAGTTCAGTCCAAGGGAATGTCCTCCCGAAATCGCATAGGAATTCCTCAACAAAAAGGAAGAGAGAGAGAGCAATCTCACCTTCAATATTGAAAGGTGCTGCCCAAAGGTGGTTGTTCAATCGGTACACAGCAAGAAGTAAGATTTAATTTAATCTTAGCTGGTATATTATATGGAATGCAAATGAAATGTGAACAACTTGTAATTTGCTAAAGATTTTAAAAAATCTGCGGTGAATATAGATTTTCTTCGAAATGGCATAACATTAATTAAGATAGATTTTTGGAAAAGAGCCAGCGAAAAAAATGCCAATATAAAATGTTTAAAGCTCATTAATAAATACAATTTTAGTTAAAAATGTAATACTTAAATGGGTACACTTTCGCTGTTATCCTTAGAATTGTATTTTCATTTACCCACATGGAATATAAATTTCCTGGGGGATTTACAGATGGGTTGTTCAGCTAAAAATCATTTTAAAATAATAATTAATAGGAATAGAATTTTTTCCAGTGATCTGGGAGAGGTTACCCTCCAGAGAGCGAGAGTTCTTCAGCGAGGTGAGCACGCAACGTTGCGTGCGAGGGGAGAATCAGTCACTTTTCGTCTGCTGCAACGACAGGACGTGTTTTTCCCTGCAATCGCGAGCAGGAGAATTTTTCAAAATTACAATTTTGATTTGCCCAACAACCGTCTCGTTACGCCTTCATTTTTTTACCGTGCAAAAAAAAAACCAAAATTATATACGACATTTTTTGATTGTGAAACGATGCAACTCTGCTGAACTTTGGATAAACAAAAAAGAACGCGAAGTTATTCGCTCGCCAGAAAATACAAATAAAAAGGTAAAGATAAGTGAAGTGTCTGAACTGGAATATGAAAAACATGTGTGCATATTTTTCGGCTAAATGTTCATTAAAAATGCATTAAAGCAGAAGTGTCTGGGAAGCGGGCTTTAATTAAAAACACCCCATAAAAATCGCCAGAAATTGTATAAATTGTGCGCGTGCGATTTTGGGTTATGTGAGTTGGGCTCTCGTTTGGGTTTGGGTTTGGGCTATGGGTTAATGGGTTTTCGAACTCGGGGTTCTCGGCCAAGTGCTCGAGTGCTCTTCAGACCAAAACGAGAGCGGCGGCTGCAAAATGCGCAAAAATGCTAGCACGCATCCTATCCCGAAACCCATCCCCTCCTCCGGATTCGGATCCCGATCCCCCTCATCGGCACATTCACTCGAGTGGCCAGAGATCGACACCACTGGAGGATGGGGCAGCGGAATAGGCAGAGTGTGCCGGCACCACCATTTTGCTTTGACCCACACAGGGAAAAATATCTCTTTTGGATACAATCCATTTTTAACGGTCCTGTAAATACTTTTTATAAATATCATTAAAAAAAATTTTTTTTGTTTGTTTTTTGGGAATTAGAATATAATAACGAATTAATTGTTAAGGTTAGTACTTTCATATCATGTATACATTCAAGTAAATACTCTTGAGGGAAGTACATTGGCAGGATTTAACTTCCTAAGAGGGATCCAACCAAACTTAGTGCTAAAAAATTTTTTTGTTTTTGTTTTTTGCGAATATCCAATTATTTTTTAAGGCCACTACTTTCATATCAAATACACGTTTTTATAAATACTTTAGAGGAAAGTAGATTGGCAGGATTTAAATTTTTAAGAGGGGTCCAACAAATAAACGCCAAAATTTAGTAATAAAAAAAAAATTTTTTTTTTTTTTTGGGGAATTAAAGTATAATGTTGAATTAATTGTTAAGGTTAGTTCTTTCCCATCATATATACATTTTTATAAATACTCTAAAGGGAAGTATATTGGCAGGATCTCGATTTCTAAGAGGTTTTCAACTTTGTAGGTTGCAAATAAAGGCCGAAATTTAAAGCTAATTTGGTGGATATTTTCTCCCTGTGCCGGCGCACCACCCGAGCACACGGTGCCAGGTTCGAGGCGAAACCTTGGGCTGAATCGCAGCTGGAGGGCAGGGCGATGAGAAACCAGAGGCCGAGAAATCCGAATTCGCGAAGCTTTAGCGCGCTTTTCCTTTGTTTCCGGGGCTCTTTGTGCCTGCTCAATTGTTCGCAAGGACAAGCGGAACCAGAAACTCCTTGCGGAAATCAGGAGGCTGCCCTTCAGCTGTGCAAATCGAATCAAATCCTTGCCGAAATCCCGAAGGAAACCCCTGCGAAACTCGTTTCGCGACAAGTTAGTCGGGTTTTCGCTGCTTGCTTTTTTTCTTCAGTCCCCTTAAGAAGTTTTGCAAATAGACAATCGCAATCGCTAACTAGCCCTATATTTTTGCCACTTTCCAGATATCCAGGTATCTTGACGTAGCCACCGAAGGAGCGACAGACAGCAGCTGGCAAGATGCTTAAGTGGGCTGTCAACCAGCCGCGAAACTCGTATTTGGCCAAGGAGCTGGTCCTGGGAAAGGGATTGGAAACGGGATCGGAAACAGGACCAAAACCCGAGGTCGTAAGCTCCAGCTACAGCGAGTTCCACGCCCTGCGCGGCAAGCTGAAGAGGAAGTCGCTCGGTTTGACGCAGGGCAAGGAGAACCAGCTGACCTCCACTCCGCTGCCGAGCTCCCTGACCCTCGGCACCCGCACTCCACTGCTCAAGGACCTCAGCAACATCCTGGCCACGCCACCACCGCCATCAGGAGCATCAGGAGTTCCAACAGCAGCAGCTGCTCCTCTCAAGTTCGCCTGCACCCTGCCCACCTTCGAGGCGGAGTACTCGCCCAATGCCGCCGTCATCCCTGGCTCCCTGATCGCCCTGCGTGGCGTGGGCATCCCGGACAGCTACTTCGAGAAGCCCCGCTACCTGGAGCAGAAGCCTCTGCCCCATCCCGTTGTTCCTGCCCCCGCACAGACCACTCTGAGCTCCAGCCAGATGGGCGATGTCACCCTGGAGCGCATGATCGATGCCATCCTGGAGAGCAACCGCAAGGGGCATCTGCGCCAGCCCAGGCAGCATCTCCGCCAGCGGCACAGGCAACAGGTGCTCCGGAGCAGCCACAGCCAGTCAGCCATCCAGACCCACTCGCCCACCTATCGACCTGCCTTCGATCCGGCCAGCGATCTGTGCGAGTACTGGAAGTCGCCCTCGCGCAGGGACTCCCTTCCCGCCGATGGCTTCGAGGAGCGGGAGGTGTGCTCCCCCGCCTCCAATCTGAATCCCCATCCCAATCCCAGCCAGAGCCTGGGAAAGAGACACTCCCTGCAGCTGCGCAGGCAGCGGGTGGTGCGGCGCAAGCGCAAGATCACCACCAAGATCTCCTCCAGCGTCAGGCAGTCGGCGCAGAAGCTGCTGGCGGCAGCCAGGTCGGGATCCGGAGTGCCCAGCCACCGGAGCAGCCAGAAGAGGCGCCACATCAGCCCGGACAGCGGGCACAACTCCACCAGCGACTTCGAGGAGGAGCTGGTGGCCATGGGATCCTTCGGCGGGCGGGCGGAGGCGGGCACCAAGCGGCGACTGAGCTTCTCCTTCGCCGAGGATCTGTTCGTGGACAAGTGATGGTGTTACTTTTTGACTATTGTTCGGTTACAACTAAATCCATTTTTTTTGAGGGGCTAAAAGCGCAGCATTGCCTTGGAATCCGTATGCTAAAACAGATCCTATAATTATCTAAGAATCCTTTTTTTTTGAGTAATAAAAAACTGATTTGAAAAACAAGTTTGTACTTTTTCTAATTTTTTATTGGGCGAACATAACATTCGTTTTTATAAGGTACCTATAAAAACTGAAGGTATGACACACAAACAAAACTGTTTCCTTGTTAGCGTTAGATAAGTACAACCATTAATTAGGGATAAACGGCCCTTCTTGGACTACTTCTTTGCCGGGGATTACTTGGCAATATTTCAGCTATCTTTTGGGGTAAAAACTGGATTCTCACGGATCCCAGTTACGCGTTCCGCCCTTGAATTCATCATCGTGACTGGGACATTGGCGGACGGCGACTTTTGAGCTGCGACTGGGTAATGGCAGGGTATACAGGGTGCACAGGATATGTCGAGGGTGGCAGTAAAAATGTTGCGGCATATCCTGTGCGTCCTTTTACACGGCACTTATCACGCACCTGTGCACCACCAAATGGCGAACCACCGACAGGCTACAAAACGGTGGGCATTTGCATAAATTTGCATAGAATCGACCAAATTCTACGCTCGAATTGTATCGCAGGCTTACGGCCAGGATTCGAGGTCCTTGTTAACTGTACCCGGGATCTAGGAGAGCGACCCACCGATCCATAACTGCACGGAGAGAAAAAGCACTCTAAAATAAGAATTCGAATCTTTAATTCAATTCAAGTCTGTGGAGAAACATACATAGAATTTCTTAAAATTTTTAAATATTTTTAAAAGTATTAATTGTAAAATTCTACTAGTAAGAAATCGATCTTCTGTGGAGAAACATTGACACTAATTTTAATTTCCACCATTTCATGGAATTTATTGAAATTTTAATATATTTTTATAGGTATTAATTGTAATATTTTTTCCAGTGCATCTAAGAACTGTGACTCGGCGACTTACCGACCCATAACTAAGTTATGCCAGTTATATGTTAGCCGATCATGAATGGGTGGAAAAGTACATACAGACATATATAAATATATGGTTTGATCCTGCAAAGCCATCTGGCGGAAAAGCGGAATGTAGAATTGGAACAAGGATTTCTGTAGAGGACCCAAGACCATTAAATCATGTATAACTAGGCAACGATTAGATCCTAAAGCATTTCAAAGTAACGAAAGAAATAAAATCTCTTTTCATAATAATATATTTAAAAATATATATTTTTCTTTGTCATTTAAAATCTTTACATAATTTTTAAAAATTTTATTAGACCTTATATAATTTCCCTCTGCCGTAGGTATTAGTATGCTTGTAAGATGCCCATTAAATAGTTCTATGAAAATACAAGGATTTCTGTAGAGGACCCAAGACCATTAAATCATGTATAACTATGCAACGATTAGATTCTTAGGCATTTCATAGTAACGAAATGGATAAAATCTCTTTAGATAATAATATTTATCTTTCTTTGCCATTAAAAATCTTTACATAATTTTTAAAAATTTTATTAGACCGTATATAATTTTCCTCCGCCGTAGGTATTAGTATGCTTGTTAGATGACCATTAAATAGTTCTATGAAAATACCTTGCACCATTGTTTAGTCCTGTTCCTGTTGGCGATCCTTGTTTTCGTTTCTGTCGCAGCTCGGATGCTATGCATTGATCCATTGTCGGGCTGCTGCCTCCGTTTTTCATTTTCTCTGCTCAATTGAGTTCAGCCAGCTGCCCAAGAAACTGAATCGCATCCCGGCCTGAACTCGAGTTGAAGATGAATTGAGAGTGGAGGTGGAGGAGTACTCTGATTCTCTCCCTACCTCTCTTGCCAAATGTCACATAAGAACAGGATCAGGATCGGGATCGGCATAAGGATCTGGATCGGGATCTCGAGCAGGCGGAGGCGGAGGCGCAAAAACACCTTTCCGAAAAGTGCGCCAAAAGGGAATATGCGAGAATACCGAGCACGAGTCAATGGCAAACACAAAAGGAGGAATGGGGAATGGGAATCGGAATAAGGACGAGAACAAGGAGCAGGCCCAAGAAAAAGGACACAAAATCGCATCGTGGCATGCGTCGGCGGATGAGGAGGGCGGGGAGGGGGAGTCCTCGGGGACAGCTGTCGTCGCAAACACCAACGCAAATATGCACTGAAATTTATGCCATTTTTTACGATCACTTTCTATATTATGGGGTAAAAAAGTGTCCATAAACTGCATACAAAATAAATCAAACAATAACAATTGATAAGATATAAAATGACTTCGTAAAAGGATTCCCCATATAATATAGAGATTATATTATGTGTTGTAATATACTAAAAAAAGTAGTATACATTTTTGTTGATTTCTTTTGATTTTTTTAAATTATTAATGAATTATAATTATGATTACTACGTAGGCTACAAACAAGTTTTTTACTCCCTGTGTTAATTTTGATTTTAAATTCCACCTTACTTTTCTTTCAGTGCAAACAGCGTTTAGCGGGGGAGAAGCGCCGCCGTCTAAGGATCTAAGGAGGCAAGGATAAATAGAAGCAGGGAAAAGAAGTTCAAGGAGTTGCTCAAGTGCTGCCACATGTTGCCGTTGTAAATTGGACAACAATTGACGGCCTAATAGGGTTAAGTGCCGGAAATTACGCGAACCAAAAGTGGCAGAAACTGCGAATTCAAGCAGGCTACTCTAGACTTTATAAAATGTGATCTAATTTATACTCTTATTGCCTCTACAAAAACATAATTTTGATACTTTCTTAAATGTATGTATTCCAACTTAAAGATCTATTTTAAATAATAATTCAAATTTCTACCATAAGAAACCCAATCCTTTATAAACATTCTAGAGTTCTGAACTCTAAATTAATTATAGAGGGTAAAATTGTGCAATTCCCTTGGTAAATGAAATAAAATGATCTCTAATGGAGTGAATTGGAAAGATTCTCATCTCTGGAGAGTGCCTAAAACTGATAACGATCATTAGCGAAGCTGTGAGATGACAAGGTTCAAGATGCCGAGCGAACTCAATCAACGTCAGGGGAATGGATATGGGATATAGACGGGAGGATATTCAGGAAGGGAAGGAAAGCAGAATGAATCGCAACTGTCAATAAATGGAGCACTCTGGAGGGGAAGAGTCCTGCGAGATACAAAGCCTCTAATCCCATATGACGTGAGCAATAAGTAATAAGTGGAAGTGGCCCAAAAACCAGACCAGATCAGGGGAGGATCGGCGAGGAAATTGCCAACTATTTGTATTTGTCAAAGGCTCTGATTTCACGGCACCAAGAAAATCCAGATCCTCGACGATTAATCAATGTGACGTGAGTGCCGCTCTCTCTTTCTCGCTCGCTCTTTTCAGGACAACATCTTGAGTTGGTTTGCGCGCCAAACGAATGTCCTGTAAAATTCCTTTTTGGGCTGAGATTTTCAAGTCATCTTGGGGATCCCAATTCAAACCAAAATACTCGCACTTTCTTCGGGGATGAGAGAGGTCAGGATCAGGATCAGGAGTCGGGCCACACCGCAGGATCAAACAATCCAATCGATTTGCATAGCCCGGCAGCCAAAGGGTTGTCCTCGATCTACAGATCTCCTGATCTCCAGATTGCGATACCGATTGCTTATGTAAATGTTGTTTGCCCGACAAACTTTAGCTCTCGGCACAATGCCAAATGCAAACTAATAGATACATTCTTATTGCCGTCCATTCCGGGGGTAATTAAGAATCTTTACGGTCAGCCAAAAGGATCAGGATCAGGATGCTGCCGTGAAAGGACCGAAAGGAGTGAAGGGAGGGGCCTGGACTTTCGGTAAGCACTTAAGCCAATTTGATGTGAACTGAACTTTTGCGGCTTTGTTTACCTTGAGGTTTAGTTCTAACGCCTCGAGCCGGAATTTAAAATGAAATTTATTCATTTAAGTACTTCAGAAGCTGTTGACTAGACTATTAAATGGCCTCAACGCTTGTAAAATTATCCAGCATGCCAGTAAATCTGGAAAATATTTTAAAACTTATTAATATTATTTAGAAAAATAAGTTGCATGAAGCAAGAAATTACACGAAAAATATTAAATAAATAAATATAGTGTTTTGTTTTAAAAAAAGGCGATTAATAGTATTAATAATTATTTAATAAATTTTAAGTATTAACTCTCCTCCATTTTAGACCATTTTGTTAGACATAGAAAGCCATCAATCCAATACTTACTAAGTACAAAACTAAAAATCTCTAAATTACCATTTCCAAACTAGTACCTACATAATTAAATTGGTTCTTTCTTTGGGCTAATTTAAAAGATACTTATCTGAATCCATGCTGCGATTTGAATATATGTACGCCAAACATTACGTTCTAAAAGAAATAAAAATCGTTTTATAAAATCAGTTGTTTCAGGTACAATTTAGCGAATGTTAAATGATTGTGTCTTCTGATTCCAATGCTATTCCCCCTGCTGATTTTCGGTCATCACTCGCCCAAGCAGATCCCTTGCCAGGATGCGGAAACGCTGCCGTGACTGCTGGCTTAGGGATTGGACGAAGGGCACCAGTTCCCTTACGTAGATTAAGTCAGGATCGTTGGAATTCAAATCCGGATATGGGGGAATATCCATTGATGGCGCTGCAGGCGGAAAGGGAGGAAGATCCGCCCCCAGGGTCAGGGCAAGTTCCACCTTGGGGTCCCACAACCAGTTCTCGGAGCCCAACTGCCTGGCCATCTCCTCGTCCATATCCAGACCGGTTTCCATACTGTCCAGCACCACAAATAGATGCTCCGCCACCTCAAAGTGGAGACCACCAGAGTGGCAGAGCACCGGCGCCACTTCCTTTTCCTTTGGCCTCAAGAAGACCTCGCGCATGAACTCCATTTCCTCGAAGTACCGCCAACGGCATCCTCCCACGCGGCGGCGCACCTCGGTGCGATAATTCCCGCGGAGACCCTTCCACAGGCGCTTGCACTCCTCCACGCAGCACCTCATCGCCTGGCCCACCGCTGGCCAATCGAGGAGCATCTTGGGACGCCGGACGGCAAAGTTAATGCGGGTGTCCCAGATCGACGGGCGCTTGGAGATCTCCGCGAGGAGACGGCTCTTGTCCACTCTGCAGCGTTTGGAGGGCATCACAGGTGTCTTCTCAGATCAAAAAGTTGGAACGCCTGTTCGATATTTCCTAAGTTTATTATTTTTTTAGCTCAACATATGTTTTTTGACGTGACTTATCTGCCTTATCGATAGCTTTTTGGCAACAATGCTGCCCATAATAATCGGTTTAAAAATGCTGCCAAAGCGTCAAGTGGTCAAGTTTAATTTATACTTCCAATTAGAAGAACATTCTAATTGTATTTGATTGAAATTAAAACTACGTTAAACAAATTGTGTATTAATTAAGAGGCATACAAGGAACACCTATAAAAATAATATTCCATCTAAATGCATTCTAATCAGCATTGCCAATCTCATAAAGCAATGTAATGTCCCACATAAAGAGTCCTCACTCCTTGAAAACCCGGAAGATAGCTATTGTCCTGGCTACACACAATGTTTGTCCACAAAAGACGGATCGTAAAACGTGTAAAAAGTTTCGAATTATTATATGTGCTTAATGAATTGTTTGTACCCCAAATCCAAGTCGTAAAACACGGGAAATTTCTTGGGCCGGGCTGCCAGCGAATAAAAGTGCAGTAAAAGTGCACTAAAATGTACCGATCAATTGTTTGCCTTCAGGGATTTACCATCGAGCATTTACGAGCGGGATGGAAATTTTAATGATCGCACTTCAATCGTCGCCAGAGAGACTTTATCAAATTGCCATTAGAATCGGAAACCTTCGGGGCGTGTGGCAGCGGAAGAGAAAGGACTATTGTGATTAGCCCGTGATCGGCAACAGGATCGCATCCTAGCGGAGTCATAAAATTGCACCTTGGCATCGCGGCATCGGCAGCTGATGATGCGGGCTTCTCTTCCTGCCCCAACCCACCTAAATTCCCATGTCATTGTCATTGTGCAGTCACTGGGACATGTGCGAAATCCCTATCCCTATCCCATTCCGATCCTGAGTTATATATCGGCAAATCGGAAATTAGCGTATTCGCTGGCGAAATTAGCCGCTGATTATGCTGGTTGACGGTGTTCGGATGCAAATGGAGTGTCCTGCATAACGAGAGTCTAGTTTTTCAACCTGCCTCTGTATTTATTATGGGGGTACGAACACATCCCTACACTGGCCAAAACATGCCACAACAAATTGAGTAATGCGGGTGAAGAAAGAAAGAAAGATACTATATTTCAGAATATTGGTTTCTTGAATTCTTATCATATTTTTCCGATATAGTTTCCAAACCCTTAATACCTGATTTTTTTAGTTTTCTAGAACCATATTCAAAGATTATTTTAGCCAAGAGTATTAAAATATATTGATTGATATTGATTTCTTAAATTCTTAGTCCTCAATATAATTATCATATTTTTCCAGTTTATTTTCCCAAAACTAATAACTGAATTTTTAAGATTTCTTGAACCATATTCAAAGATTATTTTAGCCAAGAGTTTTAAAAATATTTTAAAATATTTAAGTTATTAAGTTAAGAACTTGTATTTAATATTTAATTTCCATTTAATAAATACCAATAAGGAACACAGTTTTTGAGCAGTGCAAACACTAAATATTTATGCGTTTTCTTGAAGGGGCTCCAGTGTGTTTTCGGGCCTGTTATCCTGTGTCCTGTTGCCCCGTGGCACCTGTCTTCATTAGTTGGCCGTCATTTCCTCGATAAGCAATCAATAGAGTGAGAGAGAGACAGGGCCAGAAAGAGAGAAAGACAATAGGCACTTACAGGTGCAAATGCTTGCTCCAATTTGTTTGGCGGCCTGTTCAGGCGACTCCATTCTGCCTTTGCATATTGATGAGACCCAATTTATGGCTCCCAACTCACCTGCCGAACGATAAACGGAGAAAACCAACTGGAGAGTAGAAAGTTGAAAGGCTTATGTGGCCACATGCTGGGCACATCGAATCGGGAATGGAAAGCGGAAAACTCAAACAGTAGCGGGAAAATGCTTTCTCGATAATCGACAGGTAATTTCGAGAGAGTTCTGTTAGGTTTGCAGGAGAAGAATAATTGTTAGAAATAAGAATATAGATTTTTCAATTAAAAATAAGACTCATTTTTCTAAGGTAATTTTTATATGTTTCTTATATCCAAAGGTTTTCAATATGTAATAATAACTAAATAATAATAACTAATCTAATCTAATTTTGTTTTTACTAATTAAAATCTACATTAATATAAGCACTGAACCCTATGGGCACACCTATCCCGATCTGTTAAAATGTTCGCCTTCTAACGAGGTTCCATCATTTGGCCATTTGTTATTCCTAAAGGATCTCGCTCCGAACTCTCTCGATTCTCAACTATCGTTTCTCATTTGTAAGTTCTGGTTCCTATTCCTCCGCATACCTGACTCGACTGTTAATCCTGGCGCAGGATTCTTTCGTAGTCCTGTGTCGAATGCGAACCAGTTTTCCGCTTCGCTGCAACTGACGCATAAATTGCGGCACTTTCCAGACCCATTTGCCGGCGGGACAGGACGAAACAGGACTCCGTCGATTATACACGCGGAGAAATGAAACCTCGAAATATTTGAAAGTTAAATTATTATTTTTTTTTCGTAATTTTTGAATTAAAAAAATATTTTAAAAATGAATGAATTTAATGATTGAAAATACAAAGTATATGTACTCCGTCTTAATATCATAAAATAGTTTTTTCCTGATAATCATTAAAAAATCGTTGTTAGATTTATAATAATCTAAAATCTCTTATGTATTTTTTAAGTTCAGGAAACACAAATATAAATCTATCAAATCGATCTCCAAATTCTCACAGTGTTAGGGTTCCAGTTGATTTTCCTTCAGCCAACATTTGCGCTCGCCAAGAAGTGCGTTGAGCTTCCCTATTCAAATTGTTTAAACTGGAAATGCGGCACGGTGATTTTTCATTTCCCCGGTCGAGGAATTAAGGATAGGTTTTTCGGGGATAGGGTAGTATGCCGGCCACATCGATCAGTTTATGGCTTTTCAAAGAGCTGTGCACCTGTTTTTCCTCCTGCCCGCGATTTTTCCACAGCAGCAGCAGGTGCCAATCGAATTTTCCCCCCACCGATGATGACATTTACATATTACTATCTTGTCTGTGGCTCCAGGATGCGAAGAACACAGGAGCAGCCTGCTGTTCTTCGGGGATCCCTATAGGATCTATAGCTATTTCGATCGTGATCCCCGCATGACAATGCTAAGTGGAGGTCCCCACCTCCTCCTGTCGTCGACCCTCATCAAACGAGTCGATTTTATGTTTCCTTTCCAATTTTTCACGCTGCATTTTCCGCTGCTGCTGCTGCTGCCCATGCTGCTGACCAGCGGGAAACTCAGGCAAGGGTTGCAAAGGTCCGAGTTTTCCCCTTCCCTTTCCATTTCCATTTCCTCAAGACATTGGCACGCGCTTTTGGTCAGTTGGTCAGCGATTGTTTTCCACCCTTTGACAATGGTGTTGTGACAACGGAAAACGGACAATGGAAAATGGAAAATAGCCAGTGGAAATGCAATTCGAGTCCTTGGACAATTGAGACAAAACCGCGATATGACAGCCCGCGAACGCCCCAAACTCCTTGGAACTTGTTGATTAATTATTTTGATTTCAATGAACTGGAAGCTTAGGGGTTATAGATTATGTTCTAATTTTTAAATACCTAAATTATTTTCATATTTCACCCGAGTGTGGAGGAATATTAATCTTAAATATTGTTTATATTTAAATGAGTTTCTTGTTCGAATTTTTCAACAAAAAGTTGACCTTCCTTTTCCATAGTCACATTTAAATACTTTTAATCTAATTTAAAAATATTCTTTATCTTCTTTGGTATTTTAATTAATAAAATTTTTTTAAATCACGCAGCTGCTAGAGGAACCCATCCTTTCAGGTTCCAGAGAGTTCCCATTTCTCCTCCTTTTCGAATCCCGATTTCCGCTGCACGGGCAATTAGTTAATTAAGCGCAACTTCAAGTGTCCCACTTGGAAATATATCACACGAGAATCGCTCCTTGTTGACATTTCTGCAGCATCATCCAGATAATTTGCATATTTAATTGAAGAATCCCATGAGCCCAAGGAGAAAAAACCGATGTTTTTTTTTAAATAAAAACTACGAAAATTTCAAGCGACATTTTTGGAAGGCAAGGAAAAGAGAAGAAAAAGGACGAAATCGAATGGAGAATCTCTGGATGGTGACGAACGAGTGGAAACCCCGCGGCGGCCATCAAGGAAAAGGGTTAAATGCAAATTAAAACAGAGTTCCTTTGAGAGAGAGAGCGAAAGAAAGAGGCGATCCCGGAACAGGACACACGGACTCGGACTCGAAACTCCAACCCCTGAGTCCCGAATCCCAAATTCCGAATTCCGAATCCCAATTCCCGGGCAGTTGTCAAACGCGCTTGACAGATCTCCTCCTTGCCCGAAACTGGATTTTTGGCATTGCGTACATGGGGCCTGCTCAACAAATTAATTTTCCTTCAACTTGATTCGGGACTACCCCTTCCCTTTCCACAGGAACTCATATATATGTACCTATGGTATCTGAGAATACAGGAGAACGGGATACTAGGTGGACTCGAGGTGAAAAGGTGTAGCCTATTCCTTTTTTTTACAGTCAAGAAATATTTATATTTTAATGGAATTGCTTTAGTTAAAGGGTGTGTTGTTTTTACATTTTGTAAGACAACATTGAAATTATAAGCTGAACAATTTTTAGTGCAATGCATTCTTTTGTATAAATATGATTTATAAGAAAATGTTTCATTTAAGTATACATAAATATTTATTTAGTTTCTTGCTCCTCAAAGTAAATGAATACTTTTTAGATTTAACAAGAAGTCATCATTAGACATCGGATTTTAGGTGAAATCGTTTTTTTAATATGATTTGATTTGATTGGATAAAAATTTTTAACAAAAACCTCAATGAAGTTTGGCCTAAATCTAATTATACCTTAATAAATAAAATTTGTAACTATTCAATTGTGGCTTTAAATCCTATTTAAAAAAAACGATTTCACCTAAAATCATATATATAATGACTCATCATATATTTTTTACAGCTGTTTAGAAATTTTTCCAGTGCATCCCCGGGGTGCAATGTTCTTTTCTTGAAAGCAGCAGCTTTTCCTCAGCCCACGAAGCTCTGTAATTTTATTAATCAAAACAAAAACAGCAACACGCAAGGGGGGCCACCCATCTGAAAAGTACGAATAACGAATTGTGAGTCCCAAACTGAGAGCTGCGAACTCTAGAGCTCTAGAACTCCCGAATTCCGATCCAAATCCGGATCCGAATCCGTTGTAACGCCCATCGCGGCGCCGTGTCGATAATTTAGAAATTAAATGTAGTTCGCCCAACTGTGAACCGAGGAAAGGGAATGAAAAGGAAAGAAATGCCGCAAACACACAAATCAAATCTAATCAAGCAAAGAAAGCGCACTTTCCCAAGGACGAAGGCAAGGGGTAGCAGCCCGATCTCCCACCCCTCCCAAAGAAAAAGGGATCACCCCTCACGAAGGACTAGAAAAAAGACCAAGAAAAAAACACCAAGGTATTGGTCTAGTTTTTTGTTCTTTCCTTGTCGCAACTGCAATTACATTTCATTTTTGGGATTTCAATTTCGTTTTCGGTTTCGTTTGGACCCAGGACTCACGCCACATCCACATCCTTATCCACATCCTCGGACGGGGTGTCCTTTTGCCATGGGTGTCAGGATCTGTCCGACCGGCTATTATTATTATTGTTGTTGTTTTTTTTTGTTGTTTTGCCCTAGACCGGCGGGCCTTGTAATTATTTAGTTTACGTTCCTTTCGTCCTTGCTCCTTGCAGCCTCCTGGTTTTTTCCTTGATTGCATCGGCGAATCGGCTCAGTGGCTCGGAAACTTTCAATTTCATGCTTAGTTTTTCTCCAGAATCAAAGAAAATGGCGGAATGGCCAAGTAACTAGAGGATTTATCCCGGGCTTATACAAATCTTGCTGGGAAAATCGATTGGAAATTACGAAATTGGATCAAATTTCAAGTAATTATATTTTATTTAAATTTTAAATTCAATAATTTGTTTTCCTGAAAAATATCACAAAAAACAAAAACATATTAAAATGTTTACCCATTTTAAAAACGTTCGTTTAGTATTAAATTTCAACAATATATGTGAACACATGATCGGCACTTGGTACCCACGTCAATCTCTTTTTCCTGCCGGGTAATGAGGCAATTTAAATGCTAATACTTTGCCCGACAAAATATCAAATTATAATCCTTCGACGCTCTGGAGGGTTGGGATTTGTAATTATGGAATATGAATATGAATTGTGTATTAGTTGGGAATTGGCTTTCAGCTTTTATCATTTAAATAGAAGTCGCCTAATAAGATTGCCGACTAATGGGTGCATATGAAAAAGGGAAAACTTTAAATTTTACTGTTTCACAATGGCATATTTCGTATAACAATATTTTCAATTAATTTAATTTCAGTTTTCATTTTCTTCTGGCTAATTAATATATTAAAATATTATATTAAAATCGATTAAACCTTTTCAATTTTATCCAAGGTAGATTTTATATTTTAGATTCCAGCGAGGACCGTTAAAGTCAGTTTTTGGAAAGTTTGTTTTGCCGTTCGGTTGACCGGAAACCGAGGACACACCTAAACAAACAAAAGCTGCAGCCACCACAATTTAAACAATGGGATCGAAATCGGGAATCGGGGATCGCTAAGCTGATGGACCTGCTGGCCGCAGGATGACCGCGCAGGCGCGTGTGTCGAGGTCAAAGGCCACGCTGCCCTTCGCATCCGCATCCACAGACTTTCAGCAGCTGACTTTCCCGCCGCCAAACAATGGAAAAGCCAACACCGCGCTCTTTGTTTTCCTATTTTTTAATAAATTAAACAAATAGAGGAAAATGCGCGCGCGCGCTTTTCATATTTTCTTATTTGCTTTTCGATAATTTCGAATGTGCGCACGCTCCCCGAAAAGCGAAAAAAAAATGACAAACGATGTCGCTAAGCCGCGACAATATGAGGCTATTAGGGTAATAATTTGTGGGATTAGAGATGAAGTTCAGCGGACCCGGAGTTGGGAGTCAGACCTCCACCATCCACCAACCGTAAAAGGATTGCAGGTTTATGGGTTGTTTTGACTCGAAAAATGTGTTTTTAAAATAAGCCAAGAAGCTCTTAAATATTACCATTGACCAAAAAATTCTTTATAATTCTTCAAGTATTAATTAATATTAAATGTTATCTATAAAATTGCGGCGATAAATTAAATATATTATTTTTAGCATTTGTTGGCAATAGTTTGACTTTTGTTTGAAGATGTTATATTTGTAGGGAAAAAATATTCAAATAATCAAATACATAATATCTGTGAGTTTCCATAAACTTCTGGCATATATTAAAGTCTGAAAATATAAATATATTATAAATGTATGAAAGGCTATTTGAAAAGAAATCGTTAAGTGTCGAAATTCAAGAGGTGCTTTGACCAACGTATTTGTTTTCTCGGTGTCTAGCTTTGCATTTCCGTTGGCCCAGCGGGTCCTGGTGCCAGGTCCTTGTCGTCCTTCGGCCCCTCGGTGTGAACTACTTGCCCTTGCGGTTTTGGGAAATTATTTCGAATTATGACATATTAAGATTTATGCTCCGGGGAGGGAGTAAATCGCCGGGGCGCGGGGATAAAGCGTTTGCCAAAATGTGCGAGCACAGGAGGCGACCGCAGGATGCTGCTCCTTGGTCTGCTGCATTGGTCCTTGGATCGCCCGAGTGCCCGATCGGGTTTCAACCGATCGCACAATGGGCGCTCCGTGACTTACATACAGCTGTTCTCAAAGGAGGAATCCCTCGTCCTCGTCCTCGTCCTTAAACTCGACTCGTGTATCATCCTGGGCCGCGGGCAACGCAACGAACACGGTATTATTATTTCATATTTTGATTTATTGTTTTGCTTATTGTTTTGCCGCACATTCAGCGCGATGGCGCCGTAATTTTTGGCAAATGCCTTTACCTTCAGCACCGCCTTATCCTTTTGTTTATTCGTCCTGCGGTCTTTGGTTTTTTGGCAAACGATTTATGTTAATTTTTCCCCAGCTGAAATTTCGCGTCGTCCTTTGTTGGCTTACTTTCAGACAAAGGACATCAATAATTCACATTTCCAGCAGTCTGATAGGTAAGATTTATTAGGTCCGGAGGCTAAGATAAATATCTTGCAAATTATTTATTTGGAAAAAAACTACTTATATTTAGTAGAATTTTTACTTCACATATATATTTTTTTAAAACTCAATTAATTTAAAAATTCTCAGTTTTATTCATCAATTTGAAAAACTTTCAACGTTTTTAATTTTAGGTGGCGCCATCTATGCAAGTTAAGTCAGTGGCGACCACTAGTGCCGTGAATTATTACTGCGATTGGTGGTTCGGCTAATGAACGGTAGGTGGCTCTTAACTATGTTGTCTGTAGGAGGATAGGTAAAATGATGTAGATATACATGTTACATACATTTATCTGTCAATAATAGATTGTTAAAGAAATTATCTGATTTTAGAAAGCATAATATAACTTTTTAAATTAAATTAAATTCAACTTGTGGAACAAAAAAAATTAGAAAAAAAAAAATGCTATTTATTTAACTAATTTATATAAACAAATTATTAAAACACTTTCCCGAAAATTTCTTAAATGTTCTCTTATGTTTGTCTTTTTGCTCGAAGGCGTTAAATTTAAACAAATCGGATTTGCTTGCGAAACACTCATATATTTATGAATAAAATTACCCGGAATTAATTATTAGCATTAGCAGATTGAAGTGGCGATAATTGACGAGCATTAATTTTATTTGGACTACTCATTGGTTGAGTGTTTCAATATTGATGGATTTTATGAGCTACTAGATGAGGTCTCGATGCTGAGTGGGATGTTGATCGATGTTGGCCGAAATAAATACACAGAAATTAGTGCCGGCACTGGAAGAAAAAAGGGGTTTAAAGTGCTAGGTTCCTATTCTTATTGAACTAGAAAAGCATTCATTTTAAATAAATCTATGATGATCTATATTTAATTCAAAATTTAAGTATTATATGGTTACATTTTATAAAATAGATGCACCTAAGGTATACAATTAAGTGACATTTTAACATTATATGGAATCGAATAACATTTAACTAATGAAGAACTCTAGCCCATGTTTATAGTCTGGTTTTTTTCCCCTGTGTGGCATTTTCCAGATCGATCCGATTGTTTAGAAAATTCGCAGGCATTGCTCACCCGCTCACCCGGGGATCTCATCCGGAGATCGCCACCAGCTGCATGACATCATTTTCAGCCTGCGTTGTCGGCATTGTGAATGAAATCCATCGCATGAATGACCTAATAAATACAACAATGAGCGCCATGAATCAACGGCAATGAATTTTCCACAATGGGGAAATTGCAGTCGCATCCAGTGCAATTGCCACCCCCGAATGCCGAATGCCATCGAGAGCGTTGCATTTCACCAGAAACAGACGCGGTGTCGCCAGCACCACCCACTGCCACCCACTTCCACCCAGCGCCACCCACCCCGACCCACTGATCTCCATCCCCACTCTCAATTAACCGCTCGGCATCGAGTGACGTTGAGGAGCCCGAGCCCCTGTTAATTAATTAATTAATGGAAAACGCCGTTTCACTCTTAATCACTCTTAAATGGTCGCTCATAAGGAACCCACTTACACCCACTGACCCACCCACTCGGCCAGCACCACCCCAACCACCTCACCCACCCATCCAACCGATCACGGATTACGCATTCTATGGAATCCATTGAAATTTGTTTAATGTATGTAGTTCACAACTCATCGCGAGGAAAAAGAGTGGGCAATGCGAAGGTGGGCACATAATGGCTTCTTCCGCACAGGAAATAAACGTGTGAAGATAAATAAATATTACGATGAGTAATTTTAATGTTTTTGTATTATAATATCAAGGGTGTTATTTAAAAATGTGGTTTTGAAATTTATAAATGAAGATAAATAAATATTACCATGAGTTATTTTATGATTTTGTATTATAATTATATTATTTGGTTATATAATTATATAATTATATTATTTGGTATATTTGGTTATTTAAATATATATATGGTTTTGAAATTTGAGGATTTTTTCGGTTTTTTTTGCTGTAACTTGGCCAAAAATGGTCCCACACCAAAAATACATACTGTTTTGAACAGATAACAAAATTATCAATAAATCCATAACACTTTCCGTGTGATTTTGGAGAAATAAAATTTTCGGCCATTTTTGATTTTTTTATAAGGGGTTACCCCATGATTTTTTGCGAAAAATTAAAAATAAATAAAATGTCAAGGTTTAATTGCCAATCGCTAGGAAATTTAATAACGAGTTCAGAAAGGTATGACAATCCATATTTGGATCAATATTACGGTCAAAAATCGAATTATTTATTTGTGAAATATTGGGATTTGGGCTTTTGGTAAAAATCAAAATGTTTCCTTTTGGTTTTTTTGCTGTATTTTGGCCAAAAATGGTCCTACACCAAAAATACATAATGTTTTTTCAATTTTCACTTCATACATATGTATGTATATATGTGATTTAATTGGCCATATTGAATGTTCACTTTCGCCATCTTCCTCGTTTCACTTACATCACCTCGGCCACAAAACCATTAATTGGCGATTCCCATTTCCATCACCTAATTACAAACGCCGTTCCCTGGCCACTTTTTTGGTTAATTAGCCAATGTTTATTTGTTAATTGGCAGATGGCAGCCTACGCGGCGATCGCGGTCGATAATTTCGGGGGATATAACACTTTCGGGCAGATTACTCATACGCCACGTCGTCCACTTGCTGTTACAAACGTGTAAAAGCGCCGGCGGCGAAACGAGTTTCCCCCTCCAAATCCCCGGGCTCCCAGGTCTTTTTATGCTTTTTTGATGATGTGTGATATATGGACACGCAATGAAATGGCAACAATTATTATGCAAATGCGACGTTTTGTTTTACGAGCCATAAAAAAAGAGGCAAGGCAGCAAACATTGTGTGTGTGCGTCTGAGTTTTGCAAATAGAAATGGCTGGCAAATTAATTGAAGCTAATTACAAGGAGGAGGAGGAGAAGGCGGAGGAGTTGGAGGCGCTTGAGGATAGGGAGGCCAAGATTACGCCAGCATGGACCACACGTGCTGACGATGCTGGCGATGCACCCGGAAGATGATGCCGCAGATTTGCCTCGGCAGCTTTTCAGCTTTTCAGCGTTGATTAAAGCAAGTTGCAACAATAAATGCAGTTTCATTGGAGTTAATCAGCCAAGGCAGTCGCTGAACTCGCTGAGCAGTCAAATAAA